TACTAAAATGAAAAAATAAATATTTTGTTATGAAACGGAGGGAGTATTTAAAAACTAAATTTTGAAGACATTTTATAAGGAATAAAAATTAAATATTCACTCCCTCTTGAAACAATTAACACATTTAGTTTAGTTGTACAATATTTAAGATAATAGAAATCAATAAGTTAATAATGGTAACTTATAATATTATTTTATTATTATTTTTATATGAATAATGTTGTTAGTATTTTTAAAATAGAAATTAATGTATATAATTTAAAAAATATATAATTAAATATTTTAAATATTATTCTCTTTATCTCATTTTAATTAATATTTTTTATTTTTATCTGTCACAATTAACACTTTTTAATTTTTTGGTAAAATTTACTAAATCAAAATATATTTAATTTACATCAGACTTGTTGAAAACCTTTTTATTTTTACATTTAAAACTTTGTAAAAATTAATTTATGTTAATTTTAAATAAATAAATTAAAAAAAAATTATTCACTAAAAGAATTTATATTTATATTATATATATTTTTAATATAAATTTTTAAATATATATTTTAATTATTTTTAATCATGTATAATATTATATTCTCTCCGTCGTTCAGATTTATGCTCATTTTCCTTTTTGGATTGTTATTGAAAAATATTCTCATTAAGTAAAAAATTATTATATTTTTATATTATTTTTATATAATCATTATTATTCATTTTTATTAAAATTCGTGCTCGGTCAAATAAGTACATATTTGCATGACGGAGAAAGTATTATTTAATTAATAATATTATTAAATATATAAAAAATAATAAAATAATGTTATAATTTATTATTATTAACTAACTAATAAATAAAAAAATATTAATTCACCCGATACTCCGATCGTAACCTCGCTTGACTAGTTTTGAAAAGCTTGTTAAAATATTACAAAATACATTGTTTCAAACATAATAATAATTGTGATTATTTTGAAAATAATATGAACAAAATAATGGACCAAATTTTCTTTTTATAAAATTAGAAAAAAAAAAAGAAAAAAAAAAACCTCGCTTGACTAGTGACCATAGATGTTAAAAAAAAAAAAAAAAGCTTTCGTTTCTACATTTACTTATGGTGTTACGTGTAACGAACCTTGCAATAAGTACCTCTTAATTAACCAATAAATCAAATCAGCCATGGACATGTCATTCATTTTAAAGTGACCTGATAAATCATTCATTAATTAAATACTCCCACCGTCCCATACAATATGAATGTATTACTGTAGACACGAGAATTTAGGGAAAATATAATTAGTAAGTAATTAATAAGTGTATCAGTAAAAATAATTATTATTTAGTAAAAATAATTATAGATTAAGATTAATATAAGTAAATAGTTTAATTAAAATTAAGAAAATTATAAAATTTAAAATTTAAAATGCAATTAAAGTGCATAATTATATTTTCAAAAATAGAAATGACAAGTTACGTGGGACGAACGAAAATAGAAAATAAGGACAAATTATGTGTGACGGAGGGAATAGGATATTCAGAGAGAGGAACTATCACCCGTGATCTTGATACCCTACACATAAAAAATTATTACCCTATGTCCATATAGTTAGCAACAAATTTTAATAAAAATAAGCAAAAGGAATTATGTTTTTTTCTTTTATAATAAAAAAATATATATATAAAAAAATGGTACGCTTTTTTATAGTAAGTAAAAATATCTTTTGATACAATTTTTTTATATTTAAAAAATATATAAAAAAATACAATTTAAACGACTATCTATGAAATTTACTCAATTTTTTTGAGTAATCTAATATGATTATGTTTCTATTTAATTAGTGTCAATTATCATAAGAATAAAACTGATTGATTTTAATATGAATAAGATCGAATAGGTCAAATTATAATGAGACCAATTACTATGATTTTAATTTTTTTTTTCTTGCAAGTCTTTTCTTTTTTTCAACACAATTTTATTTTATTATTCTAAATACAATTTAGCATAATATTATAAACAAAATTAATGTATAATGGAGGAACAAGGAAAAAATCGTTAAAAAAAATAATATTTTTAATAGATAATATAAGTGAATTATAATCTTATTTTAAGATATTTTGTGTTGTGTATAAAGAACAAATTCTTTTTTTTTTTTTCTAATTTCTCACCAAGGTATCTTTCCTTTTTTATAAAGAGGAAGAATTTCAAGTTCCAAAGTTCCAAACCAAAAAATAAAATAAAATAATTGATCATAAAATAATCGCTAAAGTATTTTGAAAAAAATTCAAAAATAAATTCGTGCAAATTTATCCAAAATAGATTATATTATATTATTTATTGAATTGCTCGTCACAACAAACAAACATATATATATATATATAAATAAATATAAACGAGTATAAAAAATATTACATCCCAAATTAATTTACATCACAGATCTATATTTACAGATCACAATGGGCATTTGAAATTGTGTTTAAATTTTACTGTATGTATAGCTTCAATTGTTTTTAAAATTCCAATAATTATTTACATTTTTTCATGTTTCAAAAAATATATCGAAGTGGTAGTTGTAAAAAATCATTGGCATCCATCGTCTTATTATATTTTACGCATACATAAACTGTTCACTATAAGAAATAATTAATTTTATAACAATTTTTTTAAATTTTTAAATTCATTTTTTTCTATTAATAATGACATTAGAGATAAAATTAGAGATGAAATTACTTCAGTTACGTGAATTTTAAAAATAAAATTCCGTTACAAATATATTATTTTTTGTAGTACTGTGGATCATGTTTTCACTGTGACCAATTTATTCAAATTCATTTATACTTTTTAAATTTTACTCAAATTAATGGGTACTGTTACAAATCTCCAATATTGCTGTTTAGGGACATCGGCCACCACCCGATCTAACTTGCCAGCCTTTATCATTACAGTCCTGATCGTCAAATGTTTGTTTTTTTAAGGTTCACTTTTGATCTATTATTTATTTATTAAAATTTTGTTTTTTTCATATAATCATCAAATTAAACACAAGTTTATAGTATAATACTGTCTCCGTCTCGGATTAAATGACTTATTTGACGGTACAGTATATATTTATTTTTTGTGTGAAATTTAAAAAATAATACTCATTCCGTTTCATAAATATAATTTTAATTAGGTTGAACACGAGATTTAAGAAATATTGATGTTATATTGATAGTAGGTAAAAAGTATGAATAAAAGATTTTTTTTTGCCCTTGTGAGTGTATTAGTGTAAAAAGTAGTGGCAATTGTGTAATAAAAATGAAAAAGTAGCAGTAGTTTTATAGTGATACGAGTGTTTATGGAAATAAGACTATTGTTTTGGAACGGACAGAAATGGTAAACAAAACTATTGGGACGGAGGGAGTAATATTTTAATTATAGTGAGAAGTTAAAAATAATGTAAAAATAATAATGTAATAATAAAATAAAAATATTTAAGTTACTTTGTAATTGGATTATTAAAAAAAAATTTGTGGCCGGACTAAGGAAGCGTTATACTCCCTCCGTCCCGGAACTATAGTATTAGTTGTGTTTGACACGAAATTTAAGGAATGTTAATATTATATTGATAGTGAGTAAAAAGTATAGGTAAAAAATATTTTTGCTCTTGTGAGTGTATTAGTGTAAAATGTAGTGTCAATTGTGTAATAATAATGAAAGAGTAAGGGTATTTATATAGTGATACGATTATTTATGAAAATAAGACTATTATTTTAAGACGGACAAAAATAGTAAATAAAACTATTGTATTAAGACGGAGTATAGAAAAGAAAATTGATAATGACCTCCTTTTTATCTGAATTTTTACTAAAATGAAATTCGAAATAAATGGATAATCAAACAATTGTAAATTCGACAACAAATTCACCTATGGCTATCTATCAAATGGTTCAACAGAAGACACACCTCTATGCATATATTTATAAAATAAACATATTAAAAATAATATATAGCCAGCCAGAATTAATGTTTCATGTTGCAGTCGATATATACATGTTTTGACCTCAACACGTGATATACACATACATACATACATACATACATACATGTGTATAGTAACATAACAGTTCTTGACAAACGTTGTCACAAAACACACACATAAATTTATAGAGTTCATTGCATGCAAAAAGAATTCTAACAATTCACACACACATAAATATATTAATATTCACATCAACAAAATACAACTGGAACCAATAGTTAAAAAAAGAAGGAAAGAAAAGAAGGGGGGGGGTGGGGGGGGTGGTGGGGGGGGGGAGGACAAGTTTTTAGGGTTTTGAGAATGTGGTAAGGGTAAAAAGGCAGAAGAGGACAACAAAGTAGCGAATAATAAGAGTGGACAAAAAAGCTTAATATCACTGAGTGACTGTATGTATTGTGTATGTATATATAGACAATACATGTATTATCATAAACAGTCCCGGACCTGGAGTCCATAATGATTTGTATCCGTCGATTAGATGTCTGGGAGGGAATCGACGGTATGGGTTGGCCCAGAAAACCTAACCCTCTGTTATCTATCTATCTAATATCTATCGTCTTCATTTCGTAGATCATAGATTTTTCTCTCTCTCCAAAGCCAAACCTCGATTTGATCACTCACAATTGATTTCTTTATTATTTTTATTTAATTTTTAAAAAAATAAAAATGGGTTTTCTCTTACATAGCATACACTTCCCAAACAAAGATCTATGAGCGAATTCTCTCTCTAGTTTGCCAGTAATGGCAGTGATTCAGTGGCAGTGCAAGAAAAGAGAGGGAGAGTTTTCATTGGGAAGGTAAAGCTTTGCTAAGATAACAAACATATGGCTTTCCCTTCTGTCATTATCATCATCGTCGTCATCATCGGCCTCTTCCTCCTTTCTTCCCTAAGCTAAAACCAAACCTAAGCTTCTCTCTCTCCTCTGCAAAAGTCTCTTCTTCGCTGCATTTTTTACTTTCTTTCCTGGTAGTATCTCACTTGTTTTGTTTTGTTGGTCTCTCTGTTCAGAGGGAGAAAATTTAATGCGTGTTAATGACCAGGGAGAGAGATAAAAAACAAAGACACACAGAAGCACACTAAAAACCCCATTTCCAAAGGCAAAAGATTAAAAAGAAAAGAACCTGTAAAAAGCCTGAATCAGTAAGCATGAAACTCGGGAGGCCCCTGCCCCTGCCCCTGCGTAGGTTATTCCGGTCTCTAAAAGAATAAGTAAATAAAAAAAATAAAATGTAAGAAAATCAGAAAAAGATTGCAGCTAATTATGCGTGTGTGCGTGTACAACAGGAAAGAGAAACAGATGAGAGAGAGAGAGAGGGATGATGAGTGCATGATCTTCTTCAAGGGTTTATAAAGTGATCTCAGGAGAGCTATACATACATACATATATACATACATACACACATCCATCGTCCACAAGCTGCAGAAAAGTAGAGAGAAGGAAAAACACACACACACAAATGGATGGTGGTGGTGGCTCGGGTAGCAATTCTTGTCTGATGGCTTTTGGGGAGAATCATAATAATAACAGTAATAATAATAATAATGGGTTTTGCCCTGTGATGATGATGCCGCCTCACATGGCTTCTTCTTCTCAGCCCAATTCCGACGCCGGAAACGCCTTATTCCCTCCTCCTCCGCCTAATCATCACCACGAACTTAACCCCGGCGGCGGTGGTTCTATGATGCTCGAAGAGCATCAGAACCAAAGCAACAACCACACCAGCACTGGGTATTATTTTATGCACCAGAACAATGATGCAGCCACCGCCGCCGCCGCCGCCGGCGGCAGCTCCGCCAAGGCGAAGATCATGGCTCATCCTCACTACAACCGCCTCCTGGCTGCTTATGTTAATTGCCAAAAGGTAAAATTCTTCTACTGTTGGTAATTTAGGAATTCTCTTCTTCTCTCATCTAGCCCTAATTTTTGAAAAAAAAAAAAGGAAAATTGGGGATGGGTTTGAGGGTTTTCGTTAGTTGATTTTGTGTGGGATCGACAGATAGGAGCGCCGCCTGAAGTGGTGGCAAAGCTGGAGGAAGTGTGCGCTTCCGCCGCCGCGATGAGCCGCCGGCACGGCACGATCTGCGTGGGGGAGGATCCTGCGCTGGACCAATTCATGGAAGCTTACTGTGAAATGCTGATAAAGTACGAGCAGGAGCTCTCGAAACCCTTCAAAGAAGCCATGCTTTTCCTTTCGAGAATCGAATGCCAATTCAAGGCCTTGACTCTTTCCGCGCCGTCTGGGTCCTCTGGTGACCAAATCAAAAACAGTTTCTTCCCTCTCTCTCTCTCTCTATATATATACATATATATACGCCATAGTATATATCTTGCCTCATTATGGATTGATGGATGGTATTTATGCTCCTCAGATCTTACTGTTTTGGAGTTAAATTACTGCATCATTTGGTGGGTAGTTTTGTTTAAATAATGAGCCTGCCTGCCTGCATGTGCATGTTTCCGAGAAATTGGTGAATTATGTTTACCATAGAAAGGAAGATGGTGTGTTTCCAGATGCTGTTCATCCATTGTCCCATGGCTTTTCTCTTTCTTCTCTTTCTCTCTCACTCACTGTGAGTGAGTGAATGAATATAAGTATTATTCTATGGAGGGAGGGAGAGGGAAGATTTGCATTTAGTATTATAAAATTGTTTTCTTGAACCCATCAGATCAGATCAGGATTCTTTTTACCTGTTTTCTTCTTGATTCACTCACTATTAGCCGCGTGAATCATTTAAAAGTGACAATTATTGTTTAATTTAAAATTTCGAAGATTAGCAGATAGGTTTTTACCTACACAGTTGAATTTCTTGTTGAAGTAAATTTGGAGTTGCTTTTTGTTCTATTTCCATTCAAAGGAAGTTTGTTTTACAAAACCCTTTCGGGTTTGTGATGAGTTTCTTGAGCTTTTGTGACATTTTATTTTCTGAATTTGCGTTAATTAATTTTTTTTTTCCCCCCACCTGGATTGTTTGTTGTTTTCAACGGTGTTCTGAGTTCTGGAAATCCCATGGCACTGTAAGTAAACCCTGGATAAAAATTTGAGGATGATTAAACCCCCCCAGAAAATGTGACATAAAAGTTGTATATTTGACACTCAATAATTCAAAATTACAGGCTTCTCTACTATTAAATGAGGCAATTCAAACTGTCTGAAAACTGTTTCATGAATTTGCTCATTGTTGGGCTTTTTAACCTTTTAAGAAAGTCACTATGTTTAATTATGGCTTTGATGTCGAAGAAATAGATCAATAATCATCAATGGTGGCACTGTTTCTTGTTTCAGCATGTGTCGAAGCGATGGAGAGAAATGGATCGTCCGAGGAAGAAGTGGATGTGAGCACTAACTTCATCGATCCTCAAGCTGAAGACCGCGAACTTAAGGGGCAGCTGTTGCGAAAATACAGCGGATATCTTGGAAGCCTCAAGCAGGAATTCATGAAGAAACGGAAGAAAGGGAAGCTGCCGAAGGAGGCCAGGCAACAGCTGCTCGACTGGTGGACTCGCCATTACAAATGGCCTTACCCTTCTGTATGTATATATATATGTATATATGCGCCGTGCAATGCCATGCATTCGACTGATTCTTGTAATGTTAATTTTGGCGAACAGGAATCGCAGAAAGTGGCGCTGGCGGAGTCGACTGGGCTGGATCAGAAGCAGATAAACAACTGGTTCATTAACCAGAGGAAGCGGCACTGGAAGCCGTCGGAGGATATGCAGTTTGTGGTGATGGATGCAGCCCACCCCCACCCCCACCCTCACTACTATATGGAGAATGTTTTGGGGAATCCATTCCCCATGGATATCTCTCCTCACCTTCTTTGAACAAGAAGCAACTATTATTATTATTATTATGATTATTATTATTATTATTATTATTAGAGGAGCAGCCATGGAAAAGGAGCTTGAGCTTGAGCTTTGAGGTCTTGTTAATGAATCTAAACTGATAATGGGTGGAAGTGGATTTGTTCTTGATGTTGATGTCTTTGTGTGTAGAAGATGCTTCTAAGTAAGAATATGGTATGTTGCAGCCATTGTTATCTTCAACAATTACTGCTATTACTGTGGCTGTTGCAGTACTACTGCAGTGAAGTAAAATATGATCTAACATATCTATCTATTCACACCTATTGGCTGTTGCTGCTCTTTCTTTTATTTGATGCATATCTTTTCTTTGGTCTGCTGCTTGAGGTTTCTTCTCCATTTGATTTTTGCTCAATTTTGCAAAAAATGTTATAAATTTATTGTTATTTTATGATTATATATGCCAGTTTAATTTTCTCAAATAAAATAGTATGGCTTCAATCAAGATGGACTTTCTTGATTATGAAAATTTTGCCAATACTCTACGCCACTTTACATTTCAAAATAAGTCAAAAGGCTCAATTGGGGTCATAAAATCTTTGGTGAGGACTTTGATTATTTGAATTTTAGTTTTGTGTTTTGATTTTGAATAATTATTTAGTCAAGTGTTTTGTGAAAAAAATATATGAAATATAAATAAAATTTTTAAGTAAATAAAAGGTCAAATAATTTCATTAATTCAATTTAATAATGCTTCTAGTTTATATGTTGAACATCCTTTAAAAGGCTGCTGTATATAGCTGCCGTAGATTTTCATGTAAAGAAAATACATAGGTTTTGTTTCTTTAATTTTTGATTTGATGTATATTTTTTTTATATGAAATATAAAAATTTGTTTAGGTAAATACAATAGAATATGTATTATATTTTAAAATCGGGTAAAATAATTATTAGACAATAATTGAACATGCATATATTTAGTATAGGGTATATATATATATATATATTTACTCCAAATTTATGTTACTGTTTGTGAAGGTGTATTTAATAATTATATAATCATATGTTTCCATATCAAGATGCCCGAATTTGTTACAATATGCATATGGCTAAGGCTGTTTATGGATACAGGTTTTTAAAATTTTTAAAGATTTGAAAATAATATGAAGTTAGAAATTTAATGTGATGTTTGTTAATGATAATAAATAATTGATGTGATATTTTTATATATATAAAAAAATTACTATCAATTAATAGTGTCAATATCTTAAAAGATATGTATATAAACAAAGCTTAAAACAATGAGACATATAAAGATCCGATATTACATCATTACATATGACATCTTCATAGATATGTCAATTTTTTCTGAGAGTCATCGTGGACTAAAAGTGGTACTAATAATGTCTTTTGCTTAACAATTTTATAATAAGACAAAAAATTATCTGATCAGATACTTATTTCTTTTAATTTTAGTAAACTAAGTTAATGCAAGATTTTTATCAAACAAATTCCACCAATAAAGATATCATGAAAAAATTGTTTCCTTTTTTTTTTTTTTTTAATGGAATAAATTTGTTGCAAGTCTGTTAAAAGTAAAATGGGCTACTAAAGGCCCAATGACGCCGATTTCTTATGTAATATAATTGGGCTTTCCTGCAATAGGCCCAACGTTTACCTTATATGTATGGAGCCCATTATTCACCAATAAAATGTTGCCACCTGTCAGATTCTTAATTAATCAAAATAGTAAACCTTAAGTAACACGCGGCTAATCGCGCCATTGATTCCTGCAAGCTTAAAATTCCCCATGTCAAAGAACAAGGGCAGCTCTCTAGGGTTTCGTTGACTGCAGAATTATCCCCAAAATTCTAGGGCTCATAGATCTTCGCTCCCTTTTTAATTTTTCGAATTTTTCCCGGACAATGTACTCCGAATTTCGAGAGTTTTTCCATTCGGGGAGTCGCTCTTGCAATGCCTTATTTCTATAAATTTATCTGAGCGAGAAAATACAAGCGTGAATCGCTTTTGCCAGGGGAAGAATTCGCTCGAGTTTATCAACCGCGGTTGACGACGGACATTGTTTGACGACCGATGTCGAAAACAAGACCTGGTAAAAGAGACATTGCCTCGTACACCATTAGAGGTACCAACAAGGTTGTAAAAGGTATGCGCGTGCACGCCATTGCGTAGAATAACGTGTAATGAAGTTTGTTGATTTGAAAACTGTTTTATTGTGAGTTAATAAGTGAAAAGTGTTCTGTTTTCATGGATATGTATCGGTTCGTTAATTTTTTTTGGTTGCGATGAACTTGAAGGATCGTTGTGTGCATGCATGTCTATCTTCAGCTTTATGGTTTCTGTCCTCCTTTGAGTTTTAGTATGAAAGAAACGCTGTTTTGTGGAAACGAATTACTGCTGAAGCTTTATTGTTTCCTTTGATTTTCTTTTAGGGTTTGTCGATTCATAAGCTTGAATCTACTTGGTTCCTTAAGAAAATAGATTTTTATTTTTATTTTTTTAATCCATTTGTTATTTTACTGGTTTTGTCATATTTTTTATGCATGTGATATTCCTTGAGTGATAATCTGTTGTTTTTCTTTGATTGAAGTTGGAGATTGTGTTATGATGCGACCATCAGAGATCAATTCAGCTCCCTATATAGCACGAGTCGATAAGATTGAGTCTGATGGCCGCAACAATGTTAAAGTCCGGGTAAGATGGTACTATAGGCCAGAGGAATCAGCTGGAGGGCGGAGGCAGTTCCATGGAGCTAAGGAGCTATTTTTGTCTGATCATCATGACATTCAAAGTGCTGACACCATTGAGGGGAAGTGTAATGTTCACACTTTCAAGAATTATACGCGGCTGGAGAATGTTGGACCTGAGGATTACTATTGCCGATTTGAATATAAACCTACCACTGGAGCATTCATGCCTGATCGGGTGGCAGTGTTAGTACTTTAATGATTTTATTTTGATTTCCTTCATAGTATTGTGACTTTGTGATGCTACATTCCGAGAAAATGCTAAATGCGGTTATTTTGGTGGCATGTTTTCAGGTACTGCAAATGTGAAATGCCCTATAATCCCGATGATCTTATGATACAATGCGATGAATGCAAGGATTGGTATGCTAATTGCTCTTTGCTCATTATCATCTTTAGCTATTCAAATTGTGTTTGCATCATCAAATTTCATTGATGGAATGAATTTGAAGGGGAAAAACTAGTTGTTTTAAATGTGTGTTTTCAGTTTATTTATTACTCCTACTTTATAAATGCCGATTGTTTTAGTTTTTTTGGTAAGGTTTATCGTCTTTTAGAAAGTTTATTTCCATTAATTGAATCAGGACTTCACTTATATGTGTCGCCTGCATTTTCTTCTTCAGTAAATCTAAAATAAATTAATGTAGGCAGTTTTTCTTTTCATTCGATTAAGTTTGAACTTTGAACTGATGTAGTGCATGTTTTATGTAGTAGTTCTGTTCTGTTTTGTATGTATCTGATTGAGGTTTTTACTATATGTGCGCGCATAATATTGTATGACGAGTACATTAATAAAGGGAAAATGATACTTTATTAATTTTACATTTTGCGATGGTAAAAATGGTAACAAGAGCATGCCTTTTTTATTTTTTGTCCCTATTCGATCCTTATTGCCTCACTCACTCTAAAAATTGGTTATTGTTTTTGCAGGTACCATCCTGCTTGTGTGGATTTGACTATAGAACAGGTTAAACAGTTGGATTACTTCATTTGCTACCAACATGGATCTGATGAGGACGTAAAAAAGCTTCGTAAACCCCCATTCTCAAATGACAAGGTATGCTTTAGTAAATTCATATTAGTATTGGTTACTTCCCTTAGCTTCAATTGAATTTCTTTCGTCAATAAGCTCCTTGTTCATTCTTACCTGTTGTAGGTACTGTCGAAGCGCCAGAGGAAGTAACCCAACCCTTCCAGTATTGTATGCTGATGATCTTTGTCTCAATGTACAGTGGAAATAGCTGTTCCCCTGGTTAGACTTGTGGCAGTTAGTTACCAAGAATCTTTAGTCCCATGTCCATGGATGTCTGGCGATGAACCAACTAGTTGTGGTATACTGTTTCTGTTACTCTCAGATATTGTAGTCCTGATGTCCCTATGAAGTCTTTACAGATTTAATTAGTGCACAGTTAATGGATCCTGTCTTTTAAGAATTGCATTTTGAGCAGAATTGACACATTTGTGTGCGTGTGTGTATATATATATATATATAGATATAGATACAGATATATATTCTCAAATCTATAAAGGTTCCATTGACTGGGTGAAACAGACTAGTTTGAAAATGAAAATAAAATACAAGGAATACATACAAAAATACAGTGCATTACATAAAGCAGCATTGTTGCATTTCTCAGTTGTGTGTATTAGTCATTTTATTAGTTCCCCAAATTCATGCCTTCGGAAAACCATCCACCTCTGCACACATTCGTGCTCAAAACTTGCAAAGGTTGTTCGAATTCTTGCTACAACATGTCGCTGCCACCGTCGCCACCGGCCTCATGCTCGGGAGTCTTGAAAGAGAACCCTCCTGCTGCTGCTGCTGTTGCATCTTCACTGGATCTTCTCGTCACGATGCTCGCCCGCTGCATCAGCCGAACCAGTGCTTGCACCACCTCTGACATGGGTGGTCGGAATTCAGGCTCCGGCTGCATGCAAAATAATGATCATTTTTCAAATTTCTGAGTGTTTTTGAGATTATTACATACCGTAGGAACCAGATATATTATTATTATTATTATTATTATTATTATTATTATTATTATTATTATTATTACCTGGACACAGAGGGCAATGATATCTGCGAACCGGCTTAAGGACTTTGCCGGATACATGCCATTCAGAGCAGGATCAACCATCTTAGATAAAGCATCGATGTCGTGGAGCTGAGGAGTTGCCCATCTCACGAGCGACTGTTCTGACCTCGCCCTTGAACTGAGCATGGGAAACAAATAAGATGAAATTTTTGGAAGGACGTCGCCACTATTTAAAATTGGACGAACCTGTCGAGAGGCTTTCGCCCGGTTAGAAGTTCCAGCATAACCACACCAAAGCTGTATACGTCGCTTTTTACTGTGTATATTCCAGACAAGGTAAATTCAGGTGCGCTGTATCCGAATGAGCCTACCATTTGGGTCGATGAAACCTGTAGAAAGTATGCAATGATGCTTAACTTAGGCCATCTCCATTAAGGCGGCATGTTTAAGTAACAATAAAGTGAGTGAGGACTTACCTGTCGTTCCAAGTTTGGCGTAAGAGCTGCCAATCCACAGTCGGATAGATGAGGATTGAGCTCTTCGTCAAGTAAAATGTTTGCCGACTTTAAATTTCTATGTATAACAGAAGGTAAGCACACTTCGTGTAGGTACCTAAGCAAATACAATATGACATTAGAATCAAATACGGAAGGAGATTGTGCCTTCGCATGTGTGTGCATGTTGTGTGTGTTATTCGACATAACATACTCTAAAGCTCGGGCAGTTCCGAGTGCCACTCTGACCCGAGCATTCCATGTCAGCATCCTGCTCCTCTCGTCAGCAAAGTGTAGGATATCATGCAAGCTGCCATTTGCAATATAATCATGAACAAGAAGACGCTGCCCGTGTTCAGCGCAGTATCCCACCAGTGCCACAATATTTGGATGCCTCAGATGCGACATGTTTGATACGGCTTCAAGGAAATTATCTTCGTCCTGCAGTGACAGTGCTGCATTGTCGATCTTTTTGATGGCCATGACCTGAAAACCAACAACTTATACAAATGTAAACACATACGAGGGAAACAACAATGGCTTATCCATAAATCAATCAAGCACTCGAAGCAGGTAATTTCTGATCTTGTCAAAAGCAAGCTCTCATTTCAAAACCTACATGCAACAGCAGGAGAAAACAAAATTTCTCATTTCATGCAAGAATTGCTGAAAACTAAATCAAATTACCTTTCCATTGGCGAATTCTGCTCGGTAAACGCGACCAAGGGAGCCTTCGCCAATAAGATTGTCTTGACTAAAGCTATTTGTTGCAGTCTGAAGAGCAGCAACTGTGTAAGAAGTAGCAGTTATAGGTGATATCACTTTTTTTACTGATCCATTTTTCCCTTGTAACCTTTCCACTGTCACAGCTTCAGCTGGTGGGGGCTTCAAATCAGATACGGTAGCAGTAAGCTGCGGCCTTATCTCTTGCATCTCCATAGTTGCTATAAACAAAACGGTGCAATAAAATGCAAGTTAACAGAAACAGTCAATCAAAATTAGGCATGTAGCTTCTGTAGAAGAACAACAAACAAAGCCATACATAGTTAACAGTAAATTTTACCAAAAACAGAGGAATGGATACATCACTGACAAGATTTTGTGACTGATATTGTTTTCTTCGGCGACATGTTTTAACCATATGTCATTTAAAAGACAGGAGTTTATGCTAACTTAAGAAAATATCCGAATGAAGATTATTTAAATAAAACAGGTGTTACCTTTATCATTGCTGACGGGAAGGCTCATCCTTGGCAGCCGTACAGCACTCTCCTTCTTCTTTCCTCTTCTAAGGCAAAAAACTAGCAGAAGCAGAAACAAGGCAACAGCAAACAAAGATCCTAGAACAATGCCTACAATAGCTCCTGTTGACAACCCGTTTTTATTTTCATTTTGTGAATTGCTTGGGACATTGGTGCCAGGTGAACGACCGCTGGGATGGTTTCGACCACCATTATTGTGAGATTGACCAGGAGGAGGTGGGGTATATGGTGGAGGAGGAGGAGCAGGACCATTGGAAAAGGCATTACCGTTGTATCTGGTATATGAAAATTTTAATGGGAGACAATACTAGTTAGAGCTTTCGAAGTATCCAATTCATGAACTGTATTCTGTAAGAATGAATGGAATCACTTACACAAAATTTGGGATAGAAAGGAGCTTTGGTGGAATCCATCCAGTAAACTTGTTGTTTGCCACATTTCTGAAAAATTAATATGAGTTTTAAATTTTAATGATTCACAGTATTGCAGATAATTAACCTCCCAAGGTTGTACTTACAACTTTTCCAAAGGCAAATCAGCAAGGGCATTTAGAGAACCAGTAAGTTGGTTGTTTTGCAGTAGACTGCCAAAATAATGTGAAAGTGAAGTCAGTAGTGACAAATGGTACCCCAAAAAAGGAACAGAATGAAAATTAAAAAAATAAAATAATGATTCATCATGCAATAGTTGTAATCCTTACAGAGTTGAAAGATTTGTTAATGAGGCAAGTGAAGGCGGGAGGTCCCCAGAAAAATTGTTGAAGGATATATCTCTGCAAGTATATCATCAATAGCACACAATTTTAAAATTAGGGAGTTGCTAGTTCTGCACTAAATGCATATTCCAAAAAGATTGATCTGTAATTTAGAAGTATGTACAAACCAATAACAAGTTATTGAAGAATTGACTGATAAAAGGGGACAACCCCGGTGACTTACATGGTAGCTAATGCAGAATGGTTAGCAAACATATCTCCAACTGATTGAGACATCGCATTTCGACTGGCATTCCTGGGACATGTTTCAGGTAGAAAAAGATCTAAACCACCAAATGAGATCATGCAAAATAGAAGTTCTAAGGGGTCCAGGAGATTTTATACTCACAGATAATTAAGAGAACCCATGTTTAAAATCGAATAAGGAAGACCGCCACTTAAATTGTTACTCCCAATATTTCTGCACCCAAAAATTAAAAAATAAAATAAAATAAATCCTTAGTAAATTTACTTGTTTGATGTACTAGTAACCCCAAGAAGCCAAGAAACTTTAAAGGGACAGCTAAACATTACAGGCTTGTCAGATTCGGAGGTAACTGAAATGGAATTGCATCATGTATATTATTGTCACTCAAATCCCTGCAAAAGTGAATGAATGGTTTATCTAAATGAAATTGAAAAACAAGAACTAATGTAGCCCACTGAGCAGAGAGACTGCTATTACAATGTCTTGAGTGATGCAAAGTTGCTGAGCAAGTATCCCATTGTTCCATTGAGTCTCAAACCAGATATTTGGCTGTTACAGAATCAAGAAGACCATCTCATGAACCACATGTTAATATAGACTATATACATAGACTAAATGCTGCAGCAATATAACTTACATTGATACAACAGAAGAACCTTGACAAGTAACACCCTTCCATGACTCTCCACAGGGATCGCCGCCAGTGGATTTCCATCCTGTTAGCTGTGAAGGACTATTTAATGAAGTGTACAACACTTGAAGCCCTTGAACTGCACGGAGCAGGTAAATTCAACATGTATGTTTAATTGATCCTCTTCAAAGGACATGAATTCATTACTTGAATCACAAATTTGCTTCATTTTCATGAAGCAGCAGGGACAGTCTATCCCACAAGACACAGAGCCCCATACAAAGCAAATCCTCAATCTTTAGTTTTCTTTACAATCTGGAAGAACAGTTTCTGACTTGTTCAGATCCATAAATTTTCAGGTCAATAAACTTAAACCAAAAAAAGGGCTGTTGTTACTCAAATTTCCTTTTTGGACAAACGAACTCATGTTCATAGATAAAAGTATATTTGCATAACCAAGTTCTTGCATTTTCCTTCTAACCAAACAAGGGCAATATTTTTCATTATCGATATGTAATAAAATTAGACGTTCAAAAGCAGCTTAAAATCTCAGAAAACTTTCCTGAGATATTTCCAACAACGTTACTTGACACTCTCACTTTCTACTGCCCCAATAAACTCCAAAACCGATGAAAATTCCATTGGAACTAAAAGTTCAAACCCATACTTTTTGTCGAAGGCAACATTGAAAGAGTTTTTGCGAAAACAGAACACGCCAAATCACAACTTCTAACACTGCAAATTCCTTCACTCTCCAAAGCGAAAGTCGAACAAACCTAAAGTAGTCATTTTCCACCGAGCTTAAAGGAACTCACCAAACAAATAAGCCTACTATCCAGTATCCACAAAACATATGCAATTCAATACCAACAATACAAAAAAGGGGAAAGAAAAGAAAAACAGAAAGAAAAACTCAAATCTTTACCATCATTAGGATCAGTAGTAGCATCAATCACGGCGCAAAACCTGAACATCACCGCTGCGATCACCACAACTTCAGTTAACAAAACTCTATAGCTGGCCAACGCTAGCTTCAACCCCATTGCCGATGACTACTTGCGCCGCAGTCAATACGAAATGGATTGCCGCCTATTAACCTAAACAAGCATTGTCGGTGCGCCGTATCGAGGAGGACGACGAGATGGAGCAGGTGCGATCCTCTGCGACAGGTGTCACCGTCGCTATAAGCACGCTTCTGAGATTCGAAGCTTCATAGTTATGGAGACGGATACAGAAGCGGCAGCCACAGTACAGGTAAATAAATTAAATAAATAAAAATGTGTCGGCCAAACTGGGAAGTATAATTAATAGTAGCTGATTTAATAAAATCGATCAATTTACATGGAAATATAAAAATCACGGGAGTGGTTATAAACCTTTGGACATGAAAAGACTAAAAAGCCCTTGTTGAGAAGCAATAAGAATCACCGACGGAAGGCTAATTTGGAATTTGGACGTAGGATATGAACTGACTTTATTGCCCTCATCGACTAATGCCTATAGGCTAATATTTGGACACTTTTATAGGTTTTTTTTTTTTTTTTCCCACATAAATACTTATTAGACTTTTTATTAAAAGACAAAATGTTAGGAAAATTGGAAATTGGACTAATGTTTGTGTAGTTGTATATATGGTCAGCTTCGAAATTTTATTCCGTAATAATTAACATTTATTGATTAGTAAATTTTAGTGATAAAAAACATATATGTACTGCATCAAAATAATAATGGGAATTAAATAAGATTTTAATATTCTGAAAAAATAATTACTTTAGGTTTTTTTAAAAAAAAAAGGAAAAAAATACTGTACTTTGGAGTTGTGGACAGCGAGGCTGAATTGAAATGAGTGGTTCTTGAGAGATCCGGGACTCCGAACACCACACAGATGGTCCGCGGGCCGTGTGGATTAAGCTGGTTTTGAGGTCCACGGACCAGTGACTAATTAATGGGGGTTGAAAAGTGGGCCCTACTTACCTAATAATTAGTAGCATAATTAATCGTAATTTAAAAATGATATTTGAACGTTGATTTATTAAAATGGCAGTGTTGAAAAATTACGTCCAAAAAACCTAAAACCTACTCTACGTACTACTTGTCTAGTCTAGTCTCCGGTGTTTGTTGCACTAACCGTATGAAGCCACGGAAGTCTTGGCTTTAAATGCATCCTGAAAACGACGACGTTCTTGTGCTTTACAAGAATACGTAGAAAATGACGTATTTATGCAAGGGGGGCTTTTTGTTTCCGTATTAAGGCTTCGACCCTACATTTGAAACCTCGGTTGTTCTTAAATCTTAATAATCAGATTGCGATACGTATTGCATTGCAATTGATATTGATACAGTTCTTAAATCTATGCTTATTTTTTTTTGAATTATCATAAAAAAAAATATATTTTTGTTTCTCTTTAAATTAAAAATTATTATATTTTTATATTTTTTTTACTATATAAAAAAAGAAATAATCATTATTATTCACTTTTATTAAAATTTGTACACAATCAAATGAGCAAATATTTGCATAACGAAACTAATTATTTATATTTATTTATCATTTTGTTTTCACTCTGTTGTACACTTATACTTAAAACCAAAGACAATTTGGTATTTATACTATCATAGTATCTACCGACTATTATTAAAATTTATGTGTAAAAAATAGATATAAATATTAAAACTGAAGGAAAAAAATAGTATTTTAATCAAATAGATTATATTTCATAATCAAATATTTGATAGTTTTTGTGGCTTTAACAAGCATGATGTATGTTATTATTCACTATATTTTGAAATAGTCAAATGAAATATATATTTCATTAGTTTTAATTAAATATTTTATTTTCTATATATGATAAGTTAAATATAATAATATTTTACTAGTTTGTAGAATTATTTATAATAAGCATTGCTTGTATCTCTTAAAATTATGTTTATTTTTATTTTTATCTATCTAAAACATATTTTTATTAAAATATGATATTGCTTTTTATATATATTTTTTAATTATAAATAAAAAAAACTCAATCAACCCCTCATACATAAAAACTCATGCCAAAATTTTTTGAATATTAGGAGACAGTGACAATAGTTTTTATTTGGATTGGAAGGAATAGTAAATTTGTGATAAATTCATTTTTTGGTACTCATTTTATCTAATGCATATATTTAAACTATATGTATATATGATACTACTATTTAGTGATTAAAAAATTGTAAGTATCTATTGATAATATCATTATTCAATGTGTTTTTATTAAATCCAACTGTAATATAATAGATAATACATACATTATATATTTATTTATTTACTAAGATGCTTGATAAAAATAGTTTTCTATTATATTTAAAAGTATATATGTGGTTATTTTCGCCAATTTCATATAAATTTAATTATATTGTTTAAAATTATTAACATAAATATCAAGATTCTATTAATTCTTACATATATATTATAAAGATACCATTAAACATATTTTATTTTATACATTACAAATGAAAAAGAAAATGTCAAAATGTTACTACATTATGTAGTACTTCCTCCGTCCCAATACAATAGTCTTGTTTACTATTTTTGTCCGTTCCAAAACAATAGTCTTGTTTCCATAAATAACTATATCACCATAAAACTACCAATATTTTTTTATTTTTATTATACAATTGCCACTATTTTTTACACTAATACATTCACAAGGGCAAAAAAGTCTTTTATCCATACTTCTTATTAACTACCAATATAATATCAATATCCTTTAAATTTTGTGCTCAACCCAATTAAAACTATATTTATAGGACGGAGGGAGTAATAAATAGTGACAAGTTTTCTTTACATTAAGTTTTTATGCAATATGACTTAAAAGGTGGTAGAAAAGTACGAAAAACTTCTTAATTTAATCATTTGTAATGCCATAATAATTAATAATGGTTCCTTTTAGATATATTTGGAGTTTTGAAATTTTATAAATAATAAAAAATTAATATTTAATATTATATTTTATGAAATAAAAAATACATTTTATATGACATTTTTCTAAAAGTTAAATAATGTCAGAAATTTAAAAATATTGTATAAATAATCTATAAATATATAATTTTTAATGAAAAATATATAAAAAATTACATCTATCTATTATTTTATTTTTAAAAAAATAATAAAAATAAAACGTAGGAAAATAAACACCCATTATTGCTTTTAAAAAAATAAAATAAAATAAAAACAAAGCAAAGTGTTGACTTGCGAATATGGGGAAGCATCTGAAATTTAACTTTTACAAGCAACCATCCTTTTTTGGGCAGTGCCAGATTCCTTTGTCAGTGTATTTTTATTTTTATTTATATTTATATTTATACTCAATAATGACAACAGTTCTAACAGTAGTAATAATTTGTAAATTTTGAGTATACAGTTAACATTATATTGTATGTAGCTGTAGACACATCACACATAACATGACATAATAATAAATAAAGTTTAAGGTAGAGTTGGTGCAATAATTACAACTAAAAATGTGCAATTGACATATTGTTGTCTACCTTAGAGCACCAAATTTGGAACACAATAATACTAATTAATATTATAATAACAATAGTAATAATACATGGCTGGAGACTATCAATTATTCAGTTACGTTGTGGGCCCCTTTTTTAAATACTGGGGCAGGTGATGAGTGCCATCATTTACACTTATCCATCTTTCAGCAATCAATTATTATTATTCTTACTTCGCCCTGGTATGTACCAGGTCCACGTTGCCGTCTGTTCCACATACTATATTATTTTTTTTTTTTAAAATAATTACACACTTTAATTTTATTTTAATTTTTTTAATTTTATTTTTTAAAATTTTAATTAAACTAATTAGTTATCTTAATTTTAATTTATAATTATTAATATTATAAGATAATTATTTTCACTAATATATTCTTAATTATCTACTAATTATATCCCTTCTAAAATACAGTGTCTACAGCGTAGCTATCGGGACGGAGGTAGTATTATTTATTTATTTTTTAGGGGTTGGTCGTTATGCCAATCAATATTTTGTGTTAAGCTTTGGTTGGCTGTTCACCTACAATTATTTTATTTCATATATTCCAGCGTGGCATTACATCGGGTAGTTAACTTCGGGTTTCAACTCGAATATTATGTTGGATCGGGTCGGGTGTTTGCGTTTATATTTTGGTCAATTTGGTTAATAAAATGGGTTGGGCTTTTATTTTTGGGCCTGAAAATTACTAAATGGGCCGCCAGATTGATTACGGTCGAAGCGACGTCGTTTTGAGAGGTGCTCGATACTGGTCGGCTGGTGGGATTGGTATGTGATTTGTTAGTAGTGACTGTACGAACCTGAGGGAGAGTCACCGTACGTAGCCGGCTAGATTGACAAATGAATTCCGAAAATACTGCTGCAGACATTCTCCAATTGGTATAAATAAATAAAGGAACAGATATATCTGTTTAATCATTATGCGCAGGAACAGGAAGGCTCTCGCCGTGCTGATGCGTGCCAGAATGCATCCACTTTCCCCCACCTCGGTGAGTAGTTCCGTGGCGGATACGATTTGTTTTTTTTTTTTTGAATTGGCTCAGTTGATCTCGTTGAGTCTCGGTGATCGAGTTAATTGTTGCTGCAGTTAATAGTTTGATTTAGTTTAGTCTACTGTGATTTCCTATCGTTTGATCACTGATTTGTGTTACTACCGATCAGAGGATCAATCAAATGCAATTTCCTCCACTGGATGGTAACAGCAAAATTTCTCGTTCAAAGGATGCATCCGGTAGTGTACACACGTAAGTTACCGTACATGCTTTTTGCAGCTCTTTTGAAATGTTTATGTTCACTAGAATACAGCGGAAGTGCGATCGCATGTTTATTTCAGTTCATTTTGGCAATCTGAACGGTTTTGGAGGTCTGAAATGTTGAAATCATGCATATAACTAGTTGTATGTCGTATTCGCTTAGTGATACTGCTATTGGTTTTACTTAAATGAATGTGGAGTATTGGCCAATTTCAACCTTAGATTTCTTTGTAAAACATGAATCGAACTCATGTGCGTAAAATTAAAACGTGCCTCTGGTGTGTAGGTTGAAGTTGGTAAACAGGTCTAGATGAATGGGGTCAATCAGAGTACACAGTCCTCGTATGATTTACAAATTCGTAGGAGTGACATAATTAGAGTTATTCCATCGGTGAATATAATATGACTATGCAAGACTGCATCCCACATGTTTGGAATAAAACCATGTTTACTTTCAATCTTCCATATTATTACCTGACCTATATTTACTTGTACAGTTGTATTAGAAAAAAACATGGTGTTTAAAAAAAAAATAGAGAACTCGGCTCTGATTAGATAGAGAATTTTGGAGTTTTGATAAGGGTGTGTTGTTTGTGGGTTTGGGTTTGGATTTATGAATAGTAAAAAGTTGAATTTGAAAAGTTGTTTGATGCGATATAAATATATGTCGATGTGATGTTTTGAATGTAAAATAAATTTGTAGTATAATATAAAAAAAGATAAATATGTTTGATTTGATATTTTTGGAGAGAAGAAGCATGTAATAAATCCACAAAAGAATACAAATGTTTTTACAAAAATTACTTTAAATGAATAGTGCCAAAATTTTAAAAAATGTTTTGCGTAAACAAAGCTATGCATGTCTTTTAACATTTGATCTAAAACAGAAGCGAGTTGCAGCGCTATGCTATAGATTAGAACTTTGATCAAGTATCCAATTTGTAGAACTTTAACCATTTCGACAACAATGAAGTAAACATGTATTTTAAATTCTCTCTCTTTCTCTCTCTCTCTCTCTCTCTCTCTCTCTCTATATATATATATATATATATATATGGAATTTCCATAATCCAGACAAGTAGAAACTTGGATCTTTTAAGATGTTAGGAGCGAGGATTCAGTTAAAATAAGGGGGGATAACCCAGTAATGGAGCTCTCATGCATACCAATCTTGAGGCACTTAGGCGTGCACTCATGCTTGAGCAATGAAGCTATGTGTAGCTTGTGATCTTTCATTATACTGAAAGAAAGGTTTTATATACTAAAGTTGTTAGCAATGTTAACTTAAGGTGTAATTTCTCAGAAGTTTTGAGCAAGTGCGGGAGTCAATGCATTCAGCGATATCATTGGACAAGACAGAGATTCTGGATGCTGCATTGGATGATTTCTCTGAGGTCTGCTTTTACTTTATTGCATTTCCAATGATTTTTAAGTTTTTGCATGCTGATTATATCAGGAATGCAGGGTTACTTTGGTCTTTCAGTGGAAAGTCGGCGAGCACTCCTGCTTGCACTTGCTAAAGAATATGATCTCACCCGGACACAAGTGCGAGAATTGATGAAGCAGTATCTTGAGCTTGAGCTTCCAAGTGGTATGTTGCATTTTAAAGTGTATTCCATCTTTGGTTGTGGGTGGTTTGGTCACTGTTTAGCTTATTCTTGGGAAGTGGTACTGGACTAACAAATTGAATTAGGCAGTAAGGCTCCCGAAGATGCACATGTGGAGGAAGGCTTGTTTTCTGGTTTATATAGAATTGAGCGAAGTTTGAGGCAATCTCTCAAGCCGAAGTATGAAGTTCTTTTTGAACGGCTGAATACCCATCCTGGGGGACTGAGATTCTTATCAATTATGAGAGCAGATATTCTATCTTTTCTCGCGTAAGGTTATGGATTGTATCATCTTTTGTTTCTGGCTTAATGTATCTCACATTATGCGATTAAACCATGCTGAAAGTCACATAAAGAGTTTAATTGTTTAATAGGTAAACCGGACACTAAAACAATTATACTTTTTCATTTAAATGATTTTTCATAGACTTTCTTCCTTTCCTGGCAAGTTGATTATATGGCTTTTAAATATTACTTCTGCTCTTCTTCAGAGAGGAAAATATACCATCACTTAGGGCACTGGATTCTTACTTGAAAGAGAAGCTCATTACTTGGCTCAGTCCTGCAAACCTCCAGCTTCACATTGTAACATGGGATGATCCAGCTTCTTTGTTAGAAAAGATTGTAGCATATGAGGTTTTTTTTTTTTTTTTTTTTTGTCACTGTGCCTGTAGACTTGCCCTTACTGAAAAACTGCAAACTAAATCATTGTGAAATGTTTGTGTGCATTGTAGGCTGTCCATCCCATCAGCAATCTTTTAGATCTGAAGCGGAGGTTGGGTGTAGGCCGTCGTTGTTTTGGATACTTACACCCTGCAATTCCAGGTTGCATTATTTTCTTGTCCGGCGATTATATAGCATTGAATTTTGGTTCAAATGAAACATTTATCAGCAATAGATTGTGGAACGAAAATGATTCCCATTTCAGATCTTAAATGTTGAATACTATTCCCATTTGAGTGGTTCTAAACATCCAAATTGTTGTTGCAAAATGAGTTGCTGTTCATCTCTGTCATTTGTTCATTACGAGAAAGTAGGGGTCTGTTTGTAATCTAAATTTGAGGTTGGAAATGGCATCCTATTTCAAGATAATCAATAGTGTGAAAAATAATAAAGCTTGTTAGGTTGTTTTTGCTTGTTTCAAAGAAATGCTATGACTTCTTATGCTGAGCGACTCCTCAATTGGGTTTTGGGAGTCGTATTAGTTAAAACTTGGAGTATTTCTTCATTGCATTCTCTGTAACATAAGTGTGACTACAATTAGTGTCATATTATATTGATCTTCAGGTGAACCACTTATATTTATTGAAGTTGCACTGTTGAAGAATGTTGCTCAAACCATACAGGTAAACTACATTGTATCCTATATTCCTATATACAAGAAAAGGATTTCATGTGATCCTCGAATGCTGGATTACAGGAAGTTCTATGGGACCATCCTCCAACACCTGAAAGTGAAGCAGCGTGTGCACTCTTTTACTCCATTTCTTCTACTCAGGTAATAAAAATGCAATGCAACACTTCTTTGTTTCCCCATATGACAAGATCTGAATTTGAAGTGTGTAACTTCCCAATTCGTAGAATCAGATTTGAACCTAGGATGCTAATTGTGTAGCTTGATTTTTCATTGATATTTTATTTTTGTGATCACAAAATATTCCTCCATTTCTGGTGCATTTGGATAATGCACAGTTGCATTTCCTTGGTTCCAAAATTTTGATCTTGGAAACCAGTAAGCGCACAAATATTAATGTGTTAGTTCCTGTTCTCCATTTTCCTCCTTTACTCTATCATAATGAGGCTCAACAATTCTCCCTATAGTAATTATTCCCTATCAGTCAGATCTATATACTTGCATGAAGTCTTAAATCTATAACTAATTATCTAATTTGAATTGGTGTATGTTCGTGCTGTATTTACCTGTTCCTTATTGACTTAACATCATGCAGTATTCTTCCAACTCATCTAAAAGAATCACTGTTCTTTGGGTTTTTTGCTACTAAAGATTCCTTTGAATGTTCTCATGGATCTGCAGCCTGGTTTATCTGGAATTAACCTTGGAAAGTTTCTTGTTAAGCGAGTAATTGATGTGGTCAGAAAGGACATGCCAAGAATTTCAGTAAGTTTACATCTTTCACTATGCGTTCTCAGTAGACTTATATGTTGATCCAATTTCCTCCTACCCAAACTTCTGACACCCACCATGGTATCAAGACTATTAGGTTGAACATCTCTCCTTATTTGTGCTTAAATGTGGAGAGATAATTACACAAATTCGCAATTCATGCAGAAAATGAAAAGTAGCATATTTAAACCATGCTTATATAAATATTGGCTGTTTAGGGTTTCAGTAAGTATTCACATGGTGTTGAGTGATTTCATCTTAGGAACTGCTAATCATCAGGAAAGTTGGATAAAGAGCATCTTGTTGTAATTTTAGTTTTGTGAGGAGCATTCTGGGAAGTCCATACAATTTATTTCAGTAATCAGCATATATATATATATATATAATAAATACACACACACACATTTGTTTCTTAATAAACTTAACTTGCAGAATTTATCCTGTGCAGACATTTGCAACATTAAGTCCTATACCAGGATACATGCATTGGCTTTTGCCAAAGTTGGCATCCAGTGAGAAATCTGGTTCCCCTTTCACTGAAAACTTGCTAAAACCAGAAGAAGAAACTGCAATATTGAATGCCACTGGGTAAGCACCATCTCAATTTTTCGCAGCTTCAATGTAATCCATGTGAGATTATATATTGATTTTATCTCTAAGACTCTAACAGAAATAATGCTTCAAGCTAATTCAATCAACCATCAGTCTATATTTCTCCAACGTAATCATGACGAGGCCATGTTTTTAACTCATGTATAGAGAATTTAGCAACGGAAAAACTGGGATGGAAGCCTTGTGGAACTTGTTATCTTCAACGAAGCATGAGTGGATGAAATCAGAGAAGCTGTTGCTTGTCTTGAGAGCCCCTTTAATGAGACTCTGTGCCAGGTATTTATTTCAAGTAAGATTTCCAAATTTTTAGACAAACATCCCGTTACATTTTTAATTATTTCAAAAATTCCAAGGCGTATACTTCAATTCTTTCCTGAAAAAGGAGATGAATACGTAAAATATGGCAATTAGCAGATGTCTATAAAACCAGAAAAAAAAAAAAATACTACCTTGAAGAGTTGTGTTAAGATAATATCGAACACTAATTAATCTTTAGGCATTCCAGGTACTACAAGTGGTGGTGCTCTGAGTTCTGTATAATCAATGTTCCTTTTTCTTTTATCATATTTACTTTGCTATCTGTTCCATGACTACAGGTACCTTTATCAGGAGAAGAAGAGGGGAAAGGCTTTGGACTCTGTAGGAAATTTCCATTTGCAGAATGGAGCGGTTCGTAATTTGCCCACTATAACATAACCTTCATTTTAGTTGCCAATCATGAACTCCTGGTTTGCTATGTGTGTGTGGGTTTCCGAGCTCAGACTTAAGCTTTGCCAAGGTGGCTTTTCTTTATTCTTGTCCAATTGGCCCTTCTTCCACCAAGAACAGGCACACACAGAAACTCAAATAATGTAGCATTTTGCATAACTAGCTGAGAAGCGTTATGCCTGTAAAATAACACTTATATATGGCCTTTACAGATGATTGGTAGAATCAATTGGATGGCTGATCTTTCTGAAAAAGGTCTAGAACAAAGCGCAGGCATAATGGTCAACTACATATACAAGTAAGACATAGCTACTTTGTATTTATGTGACAATCAATTTCCCATTTTATCGAATGTTTTTTAAACTGTGCAACCTATCTGCAGGGTGAAACACATTGAAGAAAATGCACTGGCATATTTCAGTAAAGGGCAGATCAATGCTTCAGAAGAAGTCAGAGCCTACGTCGAGGTAAATTTTACCTGAATCTTGTGAGCACAAACAAATTCCTGATGGATTGAATTTATACCCGTAAGATAATAACTTGGTGCAACCACAGGAAGATCAGGATCAACAAGAAATGGAAGAGTAAAAGGCTGTCCAGTGCTTGTGAAGCTACAAAACTTAAGAGATAGACAAATGAAATATAGTTCCACAACCTACATGTCAAATATAGTTCCACAACCAACAGTATACTGGTAGTCACTACATATTTCGGATTCCAACTGTATGTATCATCTATCCATCAGCAAACCCTTCATCTCACTTGTGCAAGGATGGTGTAGTTCATTTCAATACATGTAATAAAGCCTGTGATTTGTGTGCAAAACAAGGAGCCATACAGGTCTTTTTCATAGGCATGCAGCTAGCCCTTTTCCTTCATATCCCGGATGCCAATTGCTTCTCAACACCAGGTATCATTTTCACTTAATATATATATATATATAATTTTCATTGCAAGTCCTGCCACAATTGGGCCCACCTAAATCATTGCCTAATCATGACAAAGGCGTACACGATAAGATCACATCATTCGCTTCCATTCCAATATGCAACATGAAATATTTTGTTCAATTTGTATTGTGTTTTTCATATTAGGTACAAATAATTGTATTGGTAATATAAGAAATATTTTGGTAATATGTAATTGTATTTGTTTAATAGTAATATTTACTAGTGTGAACAAGCTCATTATTTACTGTATATAAAATTCACTGATTAATTAATTTAATTAATAGTGACTAAATTACGTGTGTGATCTGATATGAAATTTTGTATTCGAAAATTAACTATAACCAGCTGATTTTTCTGCATAAAGAAGTGCAATAATGTTGACCTGGAAATTTGTAATTTAGCTTCAGTCTTCCTCGCCTTCGAATAGTAAACAAAATCCCACCAACTGTCGACTAGACAATTAGTCAAAAAATGTCGGCCACTTAGCCATAGGGGTAATTTACAAATTGGTAATTTTATACTGCAGTTGACTGATCGAGTAGACCGCATAGTTCAACAACCTCCATGGCAGACCAAACTCATCTATCCGAGAAGAACATGAATACATACATATTCTTCTCTTGGTTTTCTCTTTAATGATCGTACATGGTAGAAAAGAATGTTAAGAATTATGGAGATGCAAGAACATATGTGGATCAGTGTTGTTTCTTGCTTTCTGATGCTGAGTATTTCCTGTATTCGTGTCGAATCGAAATGTAGCCGAGAGTGCGATGCGTTGGCCTCTTATTACATGTGGCCGAACTCGACACTCTCCTTCGTCGCCTTGAGGTTATCGACAACTGTTGATACTGTCGTTAGGCACAATCCTTGGATCACCAATCCGGACAACATCCAGGCTGGTCGCCGAGTGATTGTGCCATTTTCCTGCAGTTGTGTCAATGGAGAGTTCATGGGACACCAGTTTGCATATGCAGCTGAGACTGATGACTCTTACAATCTGATAGCAACACAATATTATTCAAACCTCACTACTGTGGAGATGATGCAGCGATTCAATAGTTATGATCAGGGAAGTATTCCGGTCAGTGCAAGTTTGAATGTTGTGGTTAATTGTTCGTGTGGTAACAGCCGTGTGTCGAAAGATTATGGAATGTTTGTTAGTTATCCTCTTCGTCCTGGTGAGAGTTTGTCTTCGGTAGCTAATGAATCTGGCCTTCCTGAGAGGCTGCTGCAGGATTACAATCCTGGTGTAGATTTTAGCCGCGGTAGCGGTCTGGTTTTCATTCCCGGAAGAGGTAATTGATTCGAGAAAGTGTGAATTCTGTGGATTGTTTTAGCTTTGTTCTCAGTTTCTCTGTATTGTTGACACTCTGCTACACTGATCTGATGAGTTTTTTTTGGTTTTTGTAGATGAAAATGGAACTTATCCTCCATTGAATTCAAGGTGAGTATGGCCAAGATGAACTTGTTTAGCCTTGTATACACACATGACATTGGTGTGTATCTAATGTTACATATCGTTTTTGCAGTGCAAGTGGTTTGATCTTCTTTGGTCTCTTGTGGTTCGATTAATCGACAAATGCTTCATCCTATCAGTGTCTAAGTCGAGTGCTTTGTATCAGGAATCTCGACTGGCGCAATTGCTGGCACATCTGTTGCAGCAGTGGTCGGGACTGTCGCACTGGCGGGGTGTGTCTATTTTGTCTTCTGCAGGAGAAAGCCGGAGCCGAAAGAAACATTTCTTCATGGCGATCAAAACATTGAGAATGCACCTGGTAATTCTCAAACTTCATCAAGATCAACAAGCTGCATAGATTAGATACATATTCGTTTATGAAACTCATATCTTAATGTACTGGAAAAAGCTTCGGGATCTGATGCATCCACTGCTCCTGATACCAATCCGATGCTCAGGGGCATCACGGTGGAAAAATCGGTGGAGTTTTCATTGGCTGAACTTATTGCCGCGACGAATGATTTCAGTGTGTCTAACAAAATCGGACAAGGTGGCTTTGGATCTGTTTACTACGCCGAGATAAGGGGCGAGGTTTGTGCTTATATATATATCTATGCTTTCGAAATTACAATATTGCATCACTGATAACTTAGTGTGCTCGTTTCCCCGGTTGCGATATCAGAAAGCCGCGATAAAAAAGATGGACATGCAAGCATCCAAGGAGTTTCTCGCCGAGCTGAATGTTCTTACACACGTGCATCACGTGAACTTGGTAATATTCCTTTGAAGTCGATGATCCTCGACTTGAGCTGAAAAATCTCAACTTTCGATCTTTACAAAGTGCAGGTGCGGTTGATAGGATATTGCATCGAAAGTTCTTTGTTTCTTGTTTATGAGTATATCGACAATGGAAACCTTAGTCAACATTTGCGCGGCATAGGTAAGAAACTGTGAAGCCACAGCTACTTAGTATATTTATTCGGCGAATGCATTTGATGGCTTTGTTAATGACTTTGGTTTTTATAGCAATGGATACTCTATCGTGGTCATCGAGGGTTCAAATTGCTCTCGATTCGGCTAGGGGGCTAGAGTACATACATGAGCATACTGTCCCAATGTACATCCATCGTGATATCAAATCTGCAAATATTTTGATCGACAACAACTTTCACGCCAAGGTTGGTCTTGTTTGAACTCATTTCCTGCAACTGCGGATCTGACACATCTAAAACTAGACTGAATGCTATTAAGGTTGCTGATTTTGGGCTCGCAAAGCTTACGGAAGTAGGAGGTGCCTCTTTACAAACGCGTCTTGTAGGAACTTTCGGCTACATGCCTCCAGAGTATGTCTGCTTTATATATATATATATTTGTAGGTGAGATGGTCATTTAATAGTGTTAATTCGACTACTAGTTGGTTTTGCTCTCTGCATCAGATATGCGCAGTATGGCGATGTTTCGACAAAAATCGATGTGTATGCTTTTGGCGTGGTGCTCTTTGAATTGATATCGGCGAAAGAAGCAATCGTGAAGAATGATGATACATTTGGGTCAGCGGCATCGAAAGGCCTTGTTGCTCTGGTAAGGCTGCTTCTAGTTCTAGTCATATATAACTTGTGTTGGATGATCTTGGCTAAACGATTCTAAAATATTTGGTACCATCGACAGTTTGAGGAAGCTTTCGAGCAGCCGGATCAAGCGGAAGCTCTGCGTAAGCTGGTCGATCCGAGGATGGGAGATGACTACCCTCCCGATTCAGTCTCTAAGGTATTGCATTTCCATGGATGATCGATCCCTGACCTGAGAATGAGATCGTCTTAATGAATTGTATTGTATTGTATTGTATTGTATTGGGTTGCAGGTAGCGCTTTTGGGAAAAGCTTGCACAGATGAGAACCCAGAATTGAGGCCAAGCATGAGGTCGATTGTGGTGGCACTTATGACATTGTCGTCTTCTTCTTCTTCATCTAATTCAGCAGAGGATTGGGACATTATTGGCTCACATCATGGGTTCGTTAATCTCTTTTCTGGTCGTTAGTTAGTTAGTTAGTTATTAGCAATGGCATACATTTTTAGCAGTTTGGATTGGAGGAGGCCTTTTCTCTTTTCAGATAAATTCGAGTTTGGGTTTGAATTGCAAGTAATAGAGCATGTGATATATACAGAAGAGGTTGGATGAACTTTTTTTTTTTTTTTTTTTTTAATAAATTTATATTGTAAGTTTGTAAGCACGTCATGATTAGACAGATTGTATATCTATAGGCTATTGGTTTGACAGACTTGCGACAAGTGTACCATTAGTGGTAACGACAAGTTAATAAATTAGTAATAAAAAGTCGATAATTGCTGCTTACATTACATACACTACTCACTCCTACATTAAAATAATTAAAATATATGGTGTATGTCAGCCATATGTAAACCATATTAGTATATTATTATTGGAGTTGGTACAGAGAGTTGTCATCTAAATCAATTTTTATTGAAAATCAAGAATTGCTTTCAATTTGTTTTAGATTAATCTTCAGCTTAGGTAACATATCAATACTCTGAATTATTTTAATAACTCAAAAAATTATTAATACCGTAATTTAATACAATCGTTATAGTATTATTTTATGTTACAATGGTTTTGTAATAATTAATGTTAATATAATTCTTTTTTTTTTGTTACATATAAGAACGAAATAGATTTGTTGAGTTTTTAATTTTAAATTAAAATTTTTATTTTGAATTTTTTATTTAAATAATACTTTATTATAATCTATTGAAAGGTTGTCACTTTTCATTTTTTGTTTTAAAACAAAATTATCGTTTCCTAATTTAATAATTGTACTACATGTCTACAATAATAAATACTCTTCCAACTTACACTATATTACACAAATGCTTTTATATTACACAATAGGGGTATTTTTGTCTTTTTTACTATAATCCATTATAATATTAATATAAAAAATCTATATGTACAAACCAAACGACAACCTTGCACCGGGACGGAAGAAGTATATTTTTATCACGAACAATATTGGCTAAATAGTAGAATTCTTTATTTGAAATAAAAAAAACACCCTCATAATGTATTTGTATTTGTTTTTTTTTATTTTTTCATTTGAATTTTACTATACAATCTTAACAATTAAAAGAAAAAATTTTCTTTGTGTGTTCCCAAAAGAATTGGACGTAAAATTTTAAATACTAATATTATACTCCATTCGTCCCATCGAAAAATTGTCATTTTTCATTTTCATCTGTCCCAAAATAAAGTTACAATTTCTTAATATAATATTTCTTAATATAGTAATTGTACTACCTACCTAATATAATAAATACTCTTCTAACTTACACTATATTACACAAATGTCATTACTTTTATATTATACAATACTAATAGGGATATTTTCATCTTTTTCACTACAACTCATTATAATACTAATATTAAAAAATCTACGTGCAAAAACTAAATGACAACCTTGCACCGGGACGGAGGGAGTATATGTATATAATACCAAATAAAATGACATTGATATTTGTAGTAGTTGTGTGCATTAGTTACATAATATTGAAGTATTAAATAAAAATACTAATATCTTATATTGTAAGTTGGATAAATATTTTTAATACTAATTTATATTATAAAATAATTATTTTTAATAATATATTATTAATTATATTTATTCTAAATTTGTGTCTAACCTAATCCGTTAGGTGCTATTATTTTATTCACAAATTATATTTAAATAAAAATAAAAAATAAAAAGTAACAAAGAAACACACCCTTAAATAATGCCCAACAATACCATGAAGACAAATCCAAGAAAGCAAACATTAGCATGATAAAATTATTACATGGATTTTCGTATTGTGGAATTTAAGGGAACAATACCATAACAAAATTGCTCCATAATTTTCTTTGAGGGCCCTCTTTCTTTTCTTTTTAATTATTTTAATTTTCAATTTCTACTTTTGCACCTAAAAAGTCATAGTATTCGAAATTTTTGGATAAAGGGGGCCACAAAATATTCTCCTTATTCATACATCAAAATGTCTTTATGTTTGGTAATAATAATTATCATAGTTTACATGTTAGCCCATTCTATTATGGCAATTTTTCACCAATTTTGATATGCTGATTCTTAGGGTGTGTTTGTTTGGGGGTTTGGATTTTGAGTTGGGATTTGAATAGTAAAAATTTTGAATTTGAATAGTTGTATGATGTGATATAAATAGGTGATGATGTGATGTTTTGAATGTAAAATTGATTTTTAGTATAATATAAAAAATAAAAAATAGGTGTTTGATTTGATATTTTTGGAGAGAAAATTTTGAATGAATAGTGAGATTTGGACCAAATCTCTCAACCAAACACACCCTTAGTATACTTACCAAAATATGGGCTACGAATTATATTAGATTAAAAACACCCAAATATTATCCATATTAAATAATGAACTTTTTACCAAAACAATACATATAAAAAAATTATTTTACCCCGAATTTATGAACTTACAATGTCTCGTCTACTTTTTACGTGTTGATATTTGAATATTAATTATTATATCAAAATATAATACAAATTAAAAAAATATTACAAAAAATTCTTTCATTAATATATTGTAATACTAATAAAAGAATATTTATACAAATATAAAAATATTTTAAATATTAAATAAAATGAAACATAAAGTAAATATCAAGAATATTATTTAAACAGTAAATATGCAATTAGTATTATAAAATTGAATTTATAGTGTTGAAATGTAATACTATAGAGTATAGAGTATAGTATTAACCTTTTTCAATAACGAAAACGACGGAATTCACGCGCACCACGCGCTGAATCAGGGCGTGGGGCGGCGGGGAAAAATAGTAGCCGTTATAATATTTTGCATTTGGGCACCACGTGGGCAAAATGCCGACAACAAATCACCTTCTTTTTCTTATATTTTTCTACAGTCAAATCTGCATATTAATTGCACAATAAACCACTCTTTAATGGATGCCATCAGTGCCGACTTCAATCCAAACGTTTCCGAAGAAAGAAACGATTTTTTTTAAAAAAAGATCAACAAATTTAAAAGGGTCGGAAGGAAAGTGCCAGCCAGTTCAGGCTTAAGGGCAAAAAAAAAAAAACAAAAAATCGAAATCTGCTTCATTACAAAGATTCTTTCTTCCCTTCTGTACAAACTTTCCCACATGAAGCCTCTGTTCCTTTTCTTGCGCCTGGATTCTCTACACTAATTCATGTCTGTAACTTAATCGAGTGTGGTTTGGCTTCTTCGATTGACCCTGCAGGCAGATAGATTGGAACTTTGAACTTCTTGTTACAGGTCTGTTTGAGAAAAGCTTCTGTCTTTCGAATGCAGATTATTTATTTTTTCAGTTCTTGTTGGGATTGGTGTTTTGATCGATTTTGCAGAAAACTAATTAGGGATTTGCTGTTTCTGCTACCTCTTCAGATTAGGTCAAATTGATAGATTTATGTTTCAGTGCACTGGTTTATGTTATTATTTTTCGTTGAGAGCGTCGCATTCGATGTTTTGTATGAAAAATAAACTTTTAAAATTGTTTTGACTATTCATTGTTCGAAACCAAAGTTGAAAAGACTAAGAAAAGACAGTAGATTGCCTTGGTGCCATTGACTCATGTATCCTCTGTTTTTTTCTTTTTTTGTCTTTTAATACGAGAACTTTTCAGGAGATCACTCCTCCTTACTTTTTGTTAGTTTGTAGTAGGCAATGGCGACATTTGGGGACATCGGCGTGGCTGCCGGAATAAACATTCTGTTTGCAGTGGCATTCTTGGTAGCATTCGCAGTTCTGCGGCTGCAGCCGATCAATGACAGAGTCTATTTTCCGAAATGGTACATCAAGGGCCTGAGAAGCAGCCCGATGCATTCGGGCTCGTTCGTCACCAAGTTTGTGAATTTGGATTGGAGATCATACATCAGGTTCTTGAACTGGGTACCCGACGCGCTGAGAATGCCCGAGCCGGAGCTCATTGATCACGCCGGCCTCGATTCTGCCGTGTACTTGAGGATTTATCTGCTCGGGTAATAGTTCTAGTTCGTCATCCCTGTCTTGTTTCGCAGTCAGTTGTGGTTTTAACAATGCTGCTCGCCGTTGGTAATTTCAGGCTTAAGATATTTGTCCCCGTGGCGCTGCTCTCGTGGGCGATCTTGGTGCCCGTCAACTGGACTAATGACACCTTGGCGAAGTCGCAGCATAGTAATAAGTTGGAGTTCAGTAACATCGATAAGCTCTCTATATCGAACATTCCACTCAAGTCGCCGAGGTTGGAATGCTTACAAATACTCCAATGTCGTAGTATCTTGTCTGTGTTTTAGATGTCTGACTTGCTTTTACGCAGGTTTTGGACGCATATAGTGATGATCTACACCTTTACTTTCTGGACTTGCTATACTTTGCGAAAGGAGTACGAAAGGGTCGCAACGATGCGCTTGCACTTTCTTGCTTCTGAGAAACGTCGTCCTGATCAGTTCACTGTAAGATCATTTCTTTGTGTAGCCGAAGCATGATCGATTTCTTACGACATTGATCTTGGCTAGGTTCTTGTTCAAAATGTGCCACCGGACCTCGATGAAACTGTGGGCGAATCTGTCGAGCATTTCTTCATGGTTAACCATCCTGATCACTATCTAACTCATCAGGTTTGCCTTCATGCTGAGATTCCCTGCAGATGTTAGTATTTACGATCTAAATTGGAGTGACAGTAAGAGATTCTGCTAATGATCATTCAGGTTGTAATCAATGCTAATAAACTTGCCAAGCTAGTTAAGGAGAAGAAAAGCAAACAGAATTGGCTCGACTATTACCAACTGAAATACTCGAGAAATCAAGAAAAACGACCAACGACAAAGGTACCTCATTCTTGAACTGATTTGATTTAAAAGTTTCAAAGAAATGTTTTTATTGCATAGCTTTCTTCACGGTATCGATTAAATTTTCAAACTTACAGACTGGTTTTCTTGGCCTTTGGGGGGAAGAAGTGGATGCGATTGACCATCAGATGGCTGCAATCGAGAGACTGTCAAGAGAAGTAATCACAATAGTTCAATCTCAAATCATAGCTATATGAAGATCATACCTTCTTTTGACATGATCACTGTGCTGAAAATGCAGATAGCTGCAGAGAGGGAGAGGGTGAAAACCGATCCAAAATGCATCATGCCAGCGGCATTTGTCTCCTTTAAGACAAGGTGGGGCGCTGCGGTCTGCGCACAGACACAACAAACCAGAAATCCCACAGTGTGGCTGACAGAGTGGGCATCTGAACCCCGGGATGTCTACTGGGATAACCTTGCGATTCCCTACGTTTCTCTGACTATCCGGAGGCTAATCACCACTGTTGCTTTCTTCTTCCTCACGTTCTTCTTCATGATCCCCGTCACTTTTGTGCAATCTCTTGCAAATATAGAGGGTATTGAAAAAGCAGTACCATTTCTCAAGCCGATAATTGAAGTGTAAGTAGTATATCGGTATTGTTGCTTTCCCAAACATCTGGCTATTATTAATCTTGATGCTTGACCATGTCTTCATCATATAGGCCCTTTATCAAGTCGGTGATCCAAGGTTTTCTTCCAGGGATTGCTTTGAAGATTTTTCTGGTCGTTCTACCAACAATACTTATGATAATGTCCAAATTTGAGGGATTTCTGTCCATATCAGCTCTGGAGAGGAGAGCCGCCACGAGATATTACATCTTCAACTTTGTCAACGTCTTCCTCGTGAGTGTAATAGCTGGAACTGCATTTCAACAACTAGACAGCTTCATCCATCAGTCTGCAAATGAGTATGTTACTGTGAGTTAAGATTTAGAAAATCTTGAAGCAGTTCATATTTTTCATAACAAAAGTAATTTCATATTGCAGTATCCCTAAAACAATCGGTGTCGCAATCCCTATGAAAGCAACTTTCTTCATTACCTATGTAATGGTGGACGGATGGGCTGGTGTGGCGGGAGAAATCTTGAGGTTGAAGCCTTTGATAATCTTCCATCTGAAAAACTTCTTCCTGGTGAAGACGGAAAAGGATAGGGATGAAGCAATGGATCCGGGAAGCATTGGATTCAATACAGGTGAACCACAGATACAACTGTATTTTCTTCTAGGCCTTGTCTATGCAGTGGTCACACCTGTTTTCATTCCTTTCATACTGGTTTTCTTCGCCCTGGCGTATGTAGTGTTTCGCCATCAGGTAAAATTAAATTGGCCTCTGTACTCCTTTAACTCTCTGTTGCTTATTCACAAACTGATGTATGTATGTATGTCCTCTTGGTCACCTCCCTGTGCAGATCATAAACGTGTATAATCAAGAATACGAAAGTGGTGCTGCATTTTGGCCGGATGTCCATGGTCGAATAATCTCTGCCCTTGTATTCTCGCAGCTTATACTGATGGGATTACTGAGCACCAAAGGTGCTGCTCAGTCCACGCCATTTCTTATCGTGCTTCCAGTTTTGACCATTTGGTTCCACAGATTCTGCAAGGCCCGTTATGAACCAGCTTTTGTTAGATATCCCTTACAGGTTTTGTCAAAACTCCTAAACTATTATAATACTTTCTGTTTAACTAACTATCTTTGATCTTACCTCTTGCTGTGTGTATATATATTCCATTCCAGGAAACAATGATGAAAGATATCCTAGAGCGCGCAAGAGAACCAAACCTGAACTTGAAGAGCTACCTCCAATACGCCTACATCCATCCTGTTTTCAAAAATGAAGATGAAGACGATGATGGAGACAATCGTAACAATGACAAGCTAGATGAAGATGTGCTAGTGCCTACCAAGCGATCCTCTCGAAGAAATACACCTGCACCGAGCAAATTGAGTGATGCATCATTGCCATCACATACAGATAATATTTGCTGTAGCCCATAGTCAGTAATTATACAATAAGAAATAGATGAATTTTGAGTTAGAAACTCCCTCAGGGTGAGGTACAGGAAGTCTATGGTTTTCCATCTTTTACCGGCAAATCAATTTCCAGTGTTAGAAAGTGAGATCATTTTACGATATGCATAAGTTGCGCGCTCGATGGCTCATTCATGTACAGGATAAATAAGCTGTAGTGACATTGCTTGTTTTTGTTCTGAAAACTATTGAGTTAAAAAAACTCGGTACACCTTTTTCCTGATGCAGTAAGTGAATGTGCAAAACAAATGACCAGTTTAGCAATAAAACTCAAGAAACTCGAATAAATATACCTGGAAACTGCAACTCCAGGCTGGGTTTACGCCCGTCCAGTCGAGAAAATGGATCTCCTAGTCAAAGAACATCACAATCAAGGATAAAATCTTCATGCTCTGGAACCAATTCTACTTCCTTAGTTTCCTCTGTCAGATTCTTCAATATCGAAACTATGCTTGCATATTCAGGGTGTGAAGTGTGGCGTGTAAAAAACGGGGTGATCACGCCATGCATCTCGATAAAACTCCAACCTGGAAGTTTTCTCAGCCCAAGAGATCTCATTTGTGCCCAGGCTTCTCCCACGCCATCCCATCTGGCCATTGAAGCAAAGGTGTGAGCCAGTTGGACATACTTGCCACCATCTGCAGGTTCAATTTCAGATATTTCATTGGCAATGATGCACCCAAGCTGTTCTGCGCCATAGTTTCTGCAGGCATCAAGTAGTATTCCCAATACATCGACCATCGGCTTTGCAAAGGTCTTCCTGTAGAAATCATACGCATCGTGCACCCTACCAGCTCGGCAGAGGAGATCAACAATGCAGGCACAGTGCTCAGTCTTTGGTTCAATATTATGATCATTTTTCATGGACTCAAACAAGGCCAAGCCGCAATCCACAAGCCCGTTATGACTGCAAGCATAGAGGACGGATAAGAAAATGACATCATTCAGTTCAAGTCCATCTTGCAGATACTTGGAATACATCTCCATGGCAGTCTCCCCTTTCCCATTGCTACCATATGCTGCAATAATAGTGCTCCAAGAAACAGTGTCGTGCTGGGGCATTCTGTCGAAGCACTTTCTAGCTGAACCAAGGTCACCACATTTAGCATACATATCGACCAAAGCTGTGCCTATCCTGATACACGGTCCCATAAAGCTTCTGATGACAAAGTTATGCATCAACTTCCCGTGATGGCATGCACCGAGAGAAGCACATGCCTGGAGAAGGCAAATTATGGTTACTGAATCCGGTTGCTGCTGATCTAACCTCATCTCATGAAATAAATGCAGCGATTGGTCCAAATATCCATTCTGCGCATAACCAGCAACAATTGCATTCCAGGAGATGACATCCCTTCCCGCCATCATACTAAAGACCGTAAAACTCTGGTCCAAAAAGCCACATTTCGCATACAGGGTGACAAGAGAATTTTGCGAAGGAATATCTAGAGCCATCTTTTGCCTTAGCATGTAGCAATGTATCGACTTTCCAAGCTTAATAGAACCTAGCTGTGCACAAGCTGCAAGAACACAAGCAATGGTTGCAGCAGACAAAAGCACTCCGGAAACCAACATTTTCCGAAACAATGCCAATGCCTTGTCCGCAGAATCACTCTGTACAAGCCCGGAGATCATGGCAGTCCAAAATACAGTATCTCTATCGTTAGCCATCTCAAAAATTCTCAGTGCTTCATCCACCCTTCTGCATCTTGAGTAAAATGACACAAGTGATGTTCCTACATGTTTTTCTGATTCAAACCCTGAGCTTACTATTAGCCCATGAACAATTCTGCCCACCTCCTCGCAACCTTCTCTAGCAATAGCCGACACCAACGACCCGAAAGTCTGTTGATCTGGTTCTATGCTTTCAAACCTCATTTTTGTGAAAAGCTTTACAACTTCAGTAATGTTCCCCATTAAAGAGTAGGCATTAATCAGACTATTCCAAGAAACAAGATCTTTGTCATCCAATAAATCAAACAGCTCTCTCGCGTCTTCTACTCTTCCACACTTGGCATATACACTCAATAAACAGTTGATCAAAATCACATCACGTAAATAGCCATTTTTAATTATGCAAGCGTGCAAAACATCGACGTGCCGACTCTCAGAAACTCCTGTAAGCATATTCAAGATAGTAATTGAGCTAGGCACGATACCTTCGCGTTGCAGAGAGTTGTAAATGGAAAATGCATTATTCATATCCCTGGCATTGGAATAACACCAAATAATGGCAGTCCAGGGGACGATATTCCTCTGAGGCATATCATCGAACACCTTCCGTGCATACTCAGTGTTCCGCAATTTTGCGTAGAAATTAATCAACGACGAAGAAATGTAGGAGTCTGAGGAGTATCCATTAACGATAACCTGCTGGTGGAGAGAGACGCCGAGAGAATCAAAGCCGAGCGAAGTGCAAGCCTTGAGGAGAGAAGGGTAGGTGAAGGCGTCCGGAGCAGTGGCGGGGGACTTGAGCATTGAGGCGAAGGCGATGAGGACCTCGCGGTGGAGGCCTTGGGAGGAGAGTCGGCTGATGGTAGCATTGATAAAATTGGTTGTGGCGGCTCCGGCAGCAATTCCCGGCGGCTTCCGATGGTGGATGGAGGTGAGTTTGAACGTTCTCATAGGTGTTTCATCAATTTGTCGAATATAACTTCCATGCAATATCAATTGCCGTGTAAATTATTAGTTATAATGTGTTTAAATTGATTTATTTTCTTACACATATATAATAAATTTATCTTACACACATACATTATTGATTGATTGAATATGCATTGAGCTGAGGCAAATTATATCAAAGAACTATTAAATGATTTTATTTTTAAGGTCCTATTATAAAATAAGTTGGTACTTGAAGTACCTATGTATAATAGTCCAGTAATAATCACAAACATCATGGAACTCAGCCAAAGAATTATGTTGCTAGCTATCAGCTCCGAATAATCACCTCAAATGGCCAAGAAAAGCAGCAGAAATCAGTATGTTGCAGAGATAATACCAATCTATTTTGCTTGTTTCTTCGGATACTCCCTAGCTCCGAATATGGTGGATCCAATTCTAACATTGGTACTGCCCATCTCAATCTGCATTTTCGGACAAGAAAATAACTTAGTGAGCTGTTGGTTTTCCGGCATGTTAGCAATTTAGTTGCATAGTAGAAGTCACTCACAGCAAGCTCAAAGTCACCGGACATGCCCATTGAAAGCTCACATTGCTCTTCTGCCATCCCCAGTGCCTTGCAAATCTCACTCCGACAATTTGCTAATGTCTGAGAACCACCCAACGATGACATCCCAATTACAATATGAGAATCGGATTATTACAACAAACAACCACTGAGACAGGATGTGTACCTCGAAATTCTCTGGGGTAGAAGTATAATCCGGCATTCCTATTGTCATCAGGCCACGGAATTCTAGGTTAGGACAGTTTGTTGTAACATGTTTAACCAAGTCCACACAACCAGCAGGCTCGACACCGGATTTAGCTGCAGAGAATAATGGAAAGGTTCAGATTAGCTTTCCAAGATACGTCCCTATTTTGACAAAGATGGAATTAAATCAATTAAGACATACTCAAGTTACCCACATTCTTCACCACTGGTATTTACTTGGATCATTACTCCGAGAGGTTTTCTTCCAATGTTTCCAACTGCACGGTTGAGATGATTAGCTATCTGCAAAAAAGTAAAAATATAAAATCAGATACTGAGAGGCTAACTGTCATCAGAGTGCATAAAGATACACGATTAGATGCAATTGTTCGCCCAGCTCCTACACTACCATGATCAAAATTGGTTATGAACTAATAAAACTGAAAATGGCCAATACATGGAACGAAAGCATTAAGCTCCATTTATTTACCTTTTCATCATCTACAGTCTCCACCATGGCAAGATTTGGCACACCAGCTGCATACAATACAATACACATACAATATAATAATTAGAATGCAGAATTCTGTACCAGTACATTAGATAAACGATCCTTTCTAGAGTTTCAATGACAAAACTGAAGGAATAAATCTCCAATACTTCTTCCTGATGATACATACCCCTGTCAGTTGTTTTACATCTTTAAGTAGAAGTTTCTTAACATTTCAAAAGAAAATTCAGTTCACACAATAGTTTCTGCCACGGAGCTGTATATCCTCACATGCCAATCTTAGGTCCAAATGGCAAATGACATCAACTAAGCATATGCTAACACCAAGCAAAATCAAAACCATTGCATCTTATCACTAAATGTCTATGACAAGTTCTAAATTTCCACATGTTGCCAACATCATTTTAATTTATTCCTTTATATTATCTGTGAAGAGTTAAAAGCCACCTGTTTAATGATCAAATGTTTATTGAGGCAGAAACAGCCCTTGAGCTGCAACCATCTTATCAGTAAATGCCAATGTATGGCTTATAGTTTACATAATCACGACATTGGATCTGTAGGGAAATAAAGTTAAGTAAAGAACCATGTGAAACAGAATTGTTGCATAGGCTGGCAGTTATCAAGCTGCTATTTCAGCAAATAAAGCCGTTGTTAGGTTTTAACTTAAATGAGCTGCTACCAAGACATATGAAACTGTTATTCACATTCAATTTGGAGTGTAAGCGAGTTGCTAAATAGCCAACTAATACAGCCAATGGCTTCCACCTTTTTACATAGCTTTATCCATTTTCTAGGTGATGTTAAAGCAAGGATCACAATCCTACCACCGGATCATTGGTAGATAACAGCGGCTGGAAGGGGGAGTAGTTACCAGTTCAAATTCAGCCTTAGCAGCGGTACCCCATGACCGCAAAGCACATGGAGGCATCTACAGGGATTTAGGTCGTAGATAATAGCACTCAGTTGTACAAATTTGTATAGATATTGTATTAAGGTTGCCAGTTATTGGTTCTGACTGATTGATATTCAAGCATGTACTGATACTAGTTTCTATGGAATCCTCTCCAATTAGAAACCCTTTTAGCTTAATTTGCAGCTCAAAATTTTCTAAGAAACAGAGTGTGATAGATATTGAACTCACTTAGGAGTGGCTTCACTTTATTGCTCTGCAGATTCCCAATGAAATGCCATTGTATGTCTTCAGGAAGCTACAATTCAACAAAAAATTAAAAATTGCTGGTTAATATCAGTCTATAATCCGTTACACCAAATTTTAACCTAATAAAAAAAAAAAATTACTGATAACAAATAAACTGAAATCACGCAACAGAAATGTGAGAAACCTGAGGCGCTTTCTCAACGAGCTCTTGGACGTAATTTTCCCCAAAGCATCGGTGGCCTGCGTCGTACACTTGCCGAAGGATTGTCACTGGCTTAGTCTTGCTCACGGCCACCACTCGAATCCGATCCGATCCACGACCTGACCGCTCCGCAGCCTGACTCACTCGCTGAAGCACCGAGCGCAGCGCCGCCGCAGCCACGCTTTCCATGGAGGAAGCCGCCGTCGTATCTAATGGAGGAGAAAAGGACTTTGGTTGCGTCTCCGGTGTAGGAGAAAGAGAATCCTGTCTGGTCTCTGCTACCTCCCTTCCCTCACCTTCTGGATTTTTCATTTTTCGTTAAAACTAGAATTTCAGATTATTAGAATAAAAACCGACTATTTTTATTTTCGTAATTATTTTAATAAAAATATTGAATTAAATATTTTATTATTATTTAAAATATAATAGTAGTACTCCATATTGTTTTAACTATACTTATATAATAAAAAAATAACTAAAAATGAATCCCATCTGACTTCCCGCTTCAGTTCAGGTCAACGTTGACCTGCCGCGCCGGCGGCAGGACAGATTTCCTCCTTAAATAATCCGAAACATGGTGATTCAGCAGCAGTGACAACACTTAACAATACTTACTAAGGCCAGATAGATAGAGATAGTCGTCCTGTCTCGCTCGCACGTTGAAATGAAGCTCCAAAATCTCACCAAACAACAATCTGATTTCTCCAAAAACCAAAACCAAACATGGCTCCCACCAACACTTCCATCTTATTCCTCATCATCCCTTCCCATTCCCAATTTCTATTTCTACCCCTTCCCAAGTCTCTCCGGCCATGGCGGCGCCACCGCTCCTCCTCCTCCTCTGCCTACTCGCAGCCATCTGCATTTCACGCGCCACCACCACCACCACAGATGCATCCAAATCTAAATACCGCCCAACGAACTCCACCAAAAAAATGATGAACGCCATCGACTCATGCTGGCGGTTCGACCCCAACTGGGCCTCATCCCGCAAGGCTTTAGCCGACTGCGCCCTCGGCTTTGGCAGCGACGCCGGAGGCGGCAAGGCCGGAGCCATTTACGTCGTCACCGACCCATCCGACGACGCCGAGTCCCCAAAACAGGGCACTCTGAGGTACGCCGCGATCCAGGATGATCCCTTGTGGATCATTTTCGACAGGGACATGGTGATCAAGCTGGAAAACGAGCTGATTATGAATAGCTACAAGACGATCGACGGCAGAGGGGCTCGAGTCGAGATTTCCGGCGGGCCGTGTATTACGATCGAGGGCGTGACCAATGTGATCGTGCACGGGATCAGCCTTCATGACTGCAAGCCCGGGAAGCCCGGCCTGGTGCGGAGCACGCCGAGCCATCTCGGCCACAGGCTCGGCAGCGACGGCGATGGGATCGCCGTTTTCGCATCGTCGCACGTCTGGATCGACCATTGCTACTTGGCGCGGTGCGCCGATGGCCTCACCGATGTTACTCACGCTTCGAGCTTTGTTACGATTTCAAATAATTACTTCACTCAGCATGACAAAGTACGTAATGTGTATACTAACAGCTTAGACTTTTAAGTCATGTTCATTTATATGCTCATTTAATAATATTAAATCCTATGCTACTTAATAATTATTGTGTATGATGGAATGGTTTTGATTTTCAGGTGATGCTGTTGGGGCACAGGGACGGATTTACAGCGGACAGGGGGATGAAAGTGACAGTGGTTTTCAACCACTTCGGCCCTGGATTAGTACAAAGAATGCCGAGGTATTGTAACCAAAAACCTGACAAATTATAAAAACACCCCCACATTTTATTTTTATTTTTATTTTGTACCTTTTTCAAAAATACGTACATTGTAGAGTTAGATACGGGTACGCACACGTGGCGAACAACCGATACGAGGAATGGCTAATGTACGCCATCGGCGGCAGCGCCGACCCGACCATTCTCAGCGAGGGAAATTACTTCGTAGCCTCAAACGACGGTTACGCCAAGCAGGTTGAATTGAATTAATTTTGTATATATATATATATATATATTGAATTAATTAATTAAAATATAAATAAATATATATTTGGGATTTAATTAGGTGACGAAGAGGGAGACAGAGGATGCGTGGAAGGCCTGGAAGTGGAGGTCGAGCAAGGACGTGTTTCTGAACGGAGCTTATTTCGTGCCATCGGGCATGGGGAGCATTGCGCCAGACTATGCCAAGTCCCAGTATTTTGCAGCGGCACCAGGGAGCTTGGTCCCGGCCCTCACGGCGGACGCTGGTCCGCTGCTTTGTTCGCCGGGGAAACGGTGCTGATGCTGATGCTTACACAGTTTCGGGTTTTCTAAGGTTCGGTTAATTTTGTGTGTCTTGTCCGAAGAGTTGCTGCTTTTGTAATTAGATTCGTTGTGGGATGTAAAATCCCCACTCACTCTTTGTTTGCTCTCTTAATTTTGGAATTGGGTGGTGGTGGTGGTGATTTGAATTTGTGTTTCATTTATTTCCAGATGTAACTTTGGTCTGGTTTTTTACAAGTCAGTGTAGCGTTGTTCGTGTGAAGCGGAAATGAATGTTTTAGTAAAACAAGTGCTACTTTGAATGTGGGACTTTAATGAGGCCAGAGTCTTACGGGAGAATGTTGGGCCTCAGTCTAAAAAAATACTGAAAAATATGTTGGGCCTTATTTTTAGAAAAAAACAATAAAAAGATATTGGGCCTCCGTCTAAAAAAATACTAAAAATATGTTGGGCCTTAGTTTAAAAAAAAACAATAAAAAGATATTGGGCCTCGGTCTAAAAAAAAATACTAACAAAAATGTTCGTCCTCCGTCCATTCACTTAAGGGTGTGTTTGTTTTTGGGATTGGATTTTAAATACACAATTCATCCTATTTTTTTTCTCACAAAAAATATCAAATTAAATACCTATTTTTTATTTTTTATATTATACTAAAAATCAATTGTATATTCAAAACATCACATCATACAACTATTTAAATTCAAAATTTTTACTGTTCAAATCCCAATTCAAAATCCAATTTTCCAAACAGACACACCCTCGGCCTATGAGGATTTTCTGTTTAAATTCTTTTTCGTTCCTCCTAATTCGCATGTATAAAAATAAAAGTAAAATTGATCAATATAGTATATATGTAAAATTTCTGTTTTTTACATAGATTTTTTTTATCTTTATTTTTTTGAATTTTGATTTGGATAGTAATTTAGATGTAATTTTTATAAAATAAAATAATATACTTTTATATAAAATGAGAATTACATATAGTTAAGAATTCAAATCCAAATTCTAAAAATTGAGTCTTCATCTTCTTATAAAAATAATAATAATAATAATTATTGATGGAATACCTTTAATTCATCACAAACCTCCCATGGTTATCTATCTGTTAACATTTAAACAGAATTAATATATATTAATTCTTTATATAATAATAGTTAACACACGGTATAAGCGACAATTAATTTCAATACACAATATATATTAACTCAACCGGATATAAACTAGATGTAGACAACACATCTAGTCGAAGTGCACTATATGTGACAAGTGATTTCAATATATTAACACAACATATATATATATATATATAAGTTTTTTTCATGTGTAAGGCTAGCACCTTGATTGTTTGTTTATATGTATATAGTTGAGCAATGTATTTGCCCAAATGCATTATTATATATTGCTAAAATATTACTATAAGAAATGACAGTAAAGTAAATTATGATAAAAAAAAAAAAAAAAAAGATATAAAAACATAAGTAAACAACTCATGATATATGATTCAATTGTTAAATATAAATATATTTTTATAGTAACCAAAGGAAGTAATTAGTAATATTAGAAGCTGGTAGCACTGATTCAGATACATAAAAGTCAGAAACTGCATTAACATACATATGTACGTGTCGATTAATTTAAATTATATCATTTTAATTTCTAACTGTCAATCAAATACTGAATTATTGTGTGGATCATGATATACACGATGGCCTTAATTTGAAATTAATTAATTTATATTCCAACTCAGACGTAAGCTGCTTCACAAATTCCACATGCATATATATATATATATATATATATTGATCAAATATATCAGGCTCAGCAGCTTAATTAGCTGCAGTCTTCCTGTGAGAATTAGAAAATGGTTTGGTTAGGGTTAGGTATTGAAAAAAACATTATGCAATTCTAAAAATTAAATTCATTTTGTAGCCAGCCAAGGTTTTTAATTCCTTGGGATATACACACACATATATATATATATATGATTTCTTCCCATATCTGATTATTGCATTATGGTTTAATAATAATAATAACAAAGATCTGAAATATAGAGAAATTGGTTCAAGTTTGAATTTGTATAAATGCAGCTGGTAATATGGAAAGAAGAAGAAATCTAGACTTGGTTATATTTGGACAAATGAAAAGAACAAAAGGTTAATTAGGTTAGGTGCAGTGTGTGTCTGTGTGAAAAATGAAAAGCCCCATGTTAGCACGACTCTTTAATTTCAAAATTAAATTATATATATTCAAAATTTGTCCCAATCAAGCTTGTAAAATTAAGGCAAAATACTAAAATTAGAGTGGATCGGATGCCTTTTAATAGTGATCGTTTTATTATTATTACTATTATTATTAATTTTATAATTTATTCAACTTATTTAAATTTAATCAAGAATTAGTTTTTATTCCCAAAATACTCATTTCTTTTAACTCATGTATATCTTTTAACATGAATCTTTATGGTTGCAACAGCTGGACAGTGGACACCAGCAAGTATAGACGTATATATAATTGTTATTAATTAATAATAATAATAAATAAATAAATTACGGAAATTATGACAGCTAATGATGGTCCAGGTCCAGGTCCAGGTCCAGGATCACAAGTGAGGCAAGGCACGTGCGCGGTGGTCTTCAGTCAGACAACAATATCTTAGTCAACTCTCTTTTTGTCCCAACCGCCCTTTCTTTCCTTCCCTCTGACTTTTTTGGCCCTTTGTTGACCTCCTCCCTTTTCATCTCTATTTTTTATTTATTTAAAAAATTAAAGATAAAGATAAAAACAAACTATAGCATACGTACGTCGAAGTTGATTAAATATTTATTTTTATTTTATTATATCCTAAATAGAAGCGCGTTAACGTGTGGCAAAATTCAAGCCCTAAATATTTGTCATTGGGATTGATTTTCAATAAAAGAAAACATTAATGATCGATGTGCGGCTGGCCGGATTAACTATAAATATAAATAAATAATAAATAAAAAGCGTGAATGCTTAAGTAAGTGTGAGGTGGAAATATATATACATAGGGTTGAATTTTTGGCCTTTTTTTTTTTTCCTGCATTTATGGGAGGGTCGTTATTACTTTCCCATTGTTAACATCTTCACATTAATGAGAAATTGAATTTTTTTTGTTAGTAAGGTTGTAATATAATAATATTATTAATTAATTAAATATAAATATATATATATATATATAGTTGCGTATAAACTTTATAAACCGTAGTGGAAGAGTTGTACAAGACTACATCGTATTCTTACTAGGGTTACTAGGTCTAGGATGCCCACCACTTGGGTATGACTGGACCTACGACTAAATTCATAATATTAAAAATGACATCGCTAACACGAGATCCATGCATATGCGTATGAATATGTATGTATACGGGCTGTTGCGGTATTGATTAATTGAGGTAAATAAGTTCCATGGTACGTGATTTGTCTCAATATCATATAACACGGGCGGACAACACTTGATTAATTTATTTAATGCAACATTATATGTTATATATAAATTATGTACAGTTCAGTTCATATATTTATATTATATTTTCTCCTTCCGAATTAATTATATCACTTTACTTAGGCACGAAAAATAAAAAATAATATTATTTCAATATATAAATAAGGTGAACAAAAAGTGAAATGAAAACATCGTATAAAATTTATTAAAAAAATTGATAAAACAACATGTAATAATAAAGTTTGTTCATTTAAGTATTTTTTAAGTAGCGCGATTCTCTAAAAATATTATTTTATTAAAGAATTATAAATATATATACATACATTAATACAATATATAATACTATCTTCGTCTCTTAACAAACTATCAATTTTTTCATTTTGATCCGCCTCGTAACAAAATATCATTTTTTTTTAGTAATTGTACTGTCTACCCAACGTTACAAATACTCTTACAAGTTATAATATATTACACAAATATCATTACATTTCTATACAATACTAATAAGATTATTTTAATCACCTATTATATAACAATATAATACTAATATACCTTAAAATCTATGCAAAAAAAACAAAAAAGTACATACTTAAGAAACAAATGGAGTATATAATATATATTTTATTCAAGCACAACGAATATATAATCTAACACAAAATATTATTTTTATATTATCAACACAATTTTTTCATATCTAAAATAAAAACATCATCTATATATATATATATTTAAAAAAAGAATAGTGAGCAAATGTTGAATACTTATCTCGAGTGTAATACATTATATTGTCTTTGACAATATATATTATTATCGAAAGTGACATACGAGCTTTTCATCATATTTCAACTTTCATTTGATTTTAATTTTGAATTGATTGAATCTTTTTAATAATGATTTCTAAATTTTGCTACGCACACCAACCAACTACTACTACTACTATATAGATATTAGTCGATTTTCAAATATATATTTCCGATTCCATAAAAAAAAAAAATAATAATTATAATAAACCAACAAATTATACACATAATAAATAAAATTTGAATGCTTCTTGGCATAAATTTTATTTTGTTCTATGATTTCCGGCACATAATTTAATTATAAAATCTGTGTAACGGTTCCTATATATTTATATATAGACCTCCTCATGGGTATGTGGTTGCCACTTGCCCATCATGGTCAACTCTCAATCCCTACTGCTAATCTATGGTAAATTGTAGTGAAAGCAAAAATAATACATTTATCTTCAAAATTACAGGCCACGGTCCAAAAATTCGATTCGAATTCATCACAAAAAAATTATGCTTGAACTTAAAAAAAATATACTCGAAAATTATCCGTTGTGCTTGGCCCGGCTAACTTATTAACATTAATATTTAAAAATATATCTATTTATATGTATGTTAACTAATAAATTATTATAAAAATTGAACTATGATTTGATGGTAAAATTGTTGGATCGATAAAAGTATAAAATTGTGTTACAAATTAATATAATACAAATTTTTTTTTCATTTAAAATCGAATACTCCGTTCGTCTATTTAAAAAATGAACATATTTTTTTTTATGTACGAAAAACTATATAATATGTAATTAATGATATATTTTTTTAGTAGTTTAATACACAGTATCTGAAAACTTGTGAAATGAAATAATCCTTTAACATATATATTTTACCAATTAGGGTGAATTTCATAATTTAAATGGAAAAATCAAATATTCAAAGTAATTCTAAACTGAAAAAGAAACACATTTAAACTTGTTTTCTTTAATTGGTTTTAATTTTTTTATCATGTGTAATTTCTTATAAATATATATATAGTTTTCACAAAATTATGTAACATTTAAATTATTATATGAACAAAAAAAAAAAAACTTCAAAATCACATATCACTACAAAAAATTAATGTATTTGTAACCGAATTCTGTTTCTAAAATTTACATAGTTAACGTAGTTCCATTCCTATTTTCGTTTCTAATGTCATTAATAACGAAAAAAATATAAATTTAGTGACAAAAAAATTTTGTTACAAAAATAATTTTTTATTTGTAGTGTATCCTAAAACTCCCAAAATTCACATCTTAAAAAAGGCCATTGGCTAATATATATATATATATATTTACCCACCTCGATACACATGAATACATATATCATGTACATGTGTACGTACGTAATACTTCACCAACTAGCACGCAGAACAGAACAGAAGCAGCGTTGGGTCAAACTCGTTGACTTTGTCTGTTACCTGTTCATTTTCGTCACGTGGATTTCGGCGCATTGATCGGGACGGTGGCTATTTTTCTTACAAGCAAGAAGCAACCTTCATACTTCATCTCCATCTCTCTTAAAATTCTACAACAATGAATTGAATTGAATTGATGATGACGCTGATAAACCCATCTCGATCAATTCCAACCTCCACGAGTCAAATTTACTATTGACCAAACACACCCCCATCTCCAAAAGTCAAAGCTGTGGGCCACCCGCCATCTGGCATGCCGACTGTGACGCATCACCTTACGTAACTTTATCAAACCCCCCGTTCTCACCTCACCTTCACCTTCACCAACCCTTTATATAAACACCGCCCTATTGCAGGTTTCGGAGAATTCTGGGATTTTCGTCTTCTCCGATCTGGACACCATCAAATCAAATTAGCAATCTAATTTCCCTACTCGATAATTTATCTATTTATGGACAAAGGATGGGGCCTCACGTTGGAGAGTTCCGACCAAGTCGGGGTTTTCGGAAATAATAAGACCACAGCTGCTCCTCCTGGTCCTGGATTCACCTTAAGCCCCAGGTTGAATACTACTCGTGACAGGGGTGGTCTGATTATGTTCCCGCTGAAATCGCCGCCGGCCGGCGACAGACGGCCGGAAGTTTTAGGGGAACTTGATTTTTTCTCGGGAGATAATAAGAGGACGCCTGTGGAAGAAGTTCACCGTGACGTTAAGAAAGAAACCATTTCCGGCAGAGATTTGGAGGTAATTAATAATTACTTTTACAGTACTGTACAAAATTAGATATATCTATATAGTTATTTATTTTTTACGGACTGGTGTATATGCAGCTTGTGGTAACTGCAAAGAGTGGCAGCGATCAATCGACGGTGGAGGATGGGATCGTCTCCGGCGACGTGGATCGCGACGGCAGAGCAAAAATTGTGGTAATTAATGAATTAATTATTATCTACATATGTTATGTTAGATTAATTTCGGATTAATCCTTAATTGAGTTTATGGATGTATATAACAGCTGGAACAGCTTCGTGTTGAGCTTGAAGGAATCAACGCAGAAAACGAGAAGCTAAAAGCGATGCTGACTCAGGTCGGCAACAATTACGCTGCCTTAAGGATGCAGTTCGTCACATTGATGCAACAACAGCAGCAGCAGCAGAATTCTGAATCCGATGATGTCAGTCCCCAGCCACGGGGAACCTTAACCAAAGACGAGAGTGAAGCTGAGTTGGTGCCGCGACAGTTTCTGGATTTGTCCCCCGGCGGCGCCGCCAGGCAGGTGCCGGACGAACAATCGAACTCTTCTTCCGAAGAAAGAACGCCGCCGGGGAATAAGAGGGTTGACCACGATGACGCGCCTGAATCTGAAAACTTTGGTCCGAATAATAAGGTTGCGAAATTGAGTCACGCCAAGCCCGACGGCGCAGATCAGGCCACCATGCGGAAAGCACGTGTCTCGGTTCGAGCTCGGTCGGAAGCTCCCATGGTGAGTAGAATTAATTAATTGGAAAATTTGATTATATTTTTATAAGTCAATTTTCTGTATTGATGATGAGTTTGAGTTGAAAGATTCTATTTTTAATTTATGTTGTAGATCTCCGACGGATGTCAGTGGAGGAAATACGGACAGAAAATGGCGAAAGGGAATCCGTGCCCACGTGCTTATTACCGGTGCACGATGGCCGTCGGATGTCCGGTGCGGAAACAAGTACGTTCGGGATTATTACAGACAGTTTATTTAGGGATGTAATTTGGGGGAAATTGGGAATTAGGGTTTGTTACTGATTATTGATTAACGGAAGGAATTGTATTGATTTTAGGTTCAGAGATGTGCGGACGACCAGACTATCTTGATCACAACCTACGAAGGGACCCACAACCACCCCCTCCCGCCGGCCGCCGTGGCGATGGCGTCCACCACCTCCGCCGCCGCCAACATGCTCCTCTCCGGCGCCATGCCCAGCGCCGACACGCTGATGCATCCAAATAATTTCCTTGCAAGAACGATGCTACCCTCATCCAATGTGGCCACCATCTCCGCCTCAGCTCCGTTCCCCACGATCACGCTGGACCTCACGCAGTCCCCAGCCGCGGCGGCGGCGGCGGCGGCGGCGCACCACATCCAGAGACAGCCGCCGCAGTTGATTCCGGCGGCCGCTCCATTTCCTCTGCACAATGTCCAATCCACAATGATTCCTCAATTATTCGGGCAAGCAGTTTACAATCAGTCCAGGTTTTCCGGTCTCCACATGTCAAATGACGCCGGCGCCGCCCCACAGATGCCCGGGAATTCACCGCAGTTTCATCAGCCTTCGTCGTTCGCGGAAACCCTAAGCGCCGCCACAGCGGCGATCACCAAAGACCCTAATTTCACGGCCGCCCTCGCCGCCGCAATCTCCTCCATCATCGGCGGCGGTCAGGCTAACAATGCCGGCAGCCATTCGACGAACAACAATCCAACCGTAGATAGAAACGATAGCAGCCATTAATCTGCTTCGTTAACTTAAATCCAATCCATTGTTTCTCGATCCATACACCTCTCATAATTTTGTTGTCATATTATTACAATTATGATTTATTTTATTTTAATTTTTTATTTGGAAATGAAAATTGATTCAATTTAGGGATGCAATTTGCATGTCCATACCTGCTTGTATTACCAGCGGCCAAACAGATTACAATTACATTAAATTCAAAATTTATTACACTACAATTACTTGTAGTATTATCTTGTTATATACTACTAATTTTATTACTTTCTGGTCAAATGACTAATGGGAAAACAGCCTACAAAATTAGTGACAATTAAAGACTGGAACAACGACTGAGGACCATTTCGTGGAATAAACAAACGTGTAAAAGGCATATTCTGACATGATTGGTCAACACCTCCGTCCAATCAATTATCGACACGTCATTTACAGAGAGGAATAAGAAGTATACGTTGCAGAGACTTCAGGACAACTTCGTGGATAGTTTCAAACCAATCAGATCAATTAATAAATAAATAAATAAATAATTAATTAATTAAATGGGTGTTGATATGTGTAAAATAAAATTGGGACAAAGTGAGATACGTTATTGACTAACGTGCCACGAGTGTCGTCATGACGTTGAAATACTCACAAATCTTACTTAGGCTTCCAATGGTTGTACTTTGATACACAACGTGTGGGTCGCATCGTCGGCTTGTACTCATTCATGGAGTACAACCCTACATTAAATTGCCGAAGTTGACATTTGACTCATGGTTATGTTCAAAAAATCCGCTTTTGCCTTTTCACAATAAGACAATTCTCGTCTTGGTTTTTGTTTTATTTTTATTGTAAAAAATATCTAACTATATTAAAATATAGAATATATTTTTATTTTAAAATACCACATATTAAATTTATTTAGTATATTAAAAATAAATCCCATTATAAAGCAGATATATTATTATTATTATTATTTAAGAAAACGGGCTAAGGCCCAGCAAAGGCTTCGATTCAAACTATCTATAGCCCAAACAGTTTTGGACATTTGCCAATTTCTTTAGGAAAATAATCATAGGGTTCGTTTGGTTTTAATTTGAGTTTGATATTTTGATATGAATATTAGTTTAAGTAACACTTTAAGATTATATTTTATTATGTAAAATAATTTATTTATTGTTAGAACCTTACGAACTGAATAAGTTTAGATTGGTGTTTGAAAGACAAGCCAAACCACCCTTATATTGTATCAATAATTACAATTAAGAACTCGTTAGTGTTAGAATATCAAATTGAAATTATCTATTTTAATATAGTGATATAAAAATCGTCTAATAAGACAATAATTCTATAAATCTCTTGAACGAGATAATTACCATAAATATAATATATTACTTCTAAATATATTTTAACACCGCTCATCAAACTTAAGATATAATCGAACAAACTTGAGTTTGTCAGAAGTGACCGAAAAAAAGATATAGCGGAAATATTCTACATACAAATCTAAATTCACCAAGATTGATGTCGTCCACTGGATCAGAGTAAGAAGAATAACTCTCAACACAGTTAGAGTTAGAAACATGACTTGCTCGCTCACAACGGAACTAGAACCGAAAATAGACTCATTCACTCTATAGAACTAGAATAAAAAAAAAATTCTCAACAACATTAGAGTAAAAAAGTAGAACTCAAGGACGGAGACGGCATACAAATGATAGCATGACCGTGGATAGAATAAATACATCAATAAAATATAAAAATATATGGGATATGTCGGATCATGGAGGTACCTGAAGAGAATTTGGCTCGGAGTACGTATATTTATAGTGAAATCCGGATTGAATCGCCCGGGGATCGAATTGTTCTGTTGAAATGCAGCATCAATGCGTAGTTGTTCACCTCGAGAGTTCGCAGTTGCTCCCGGTACTGAGCCACCACCTGCTTCAGTTGCTGGACTTCTTTGTCTTTCTCGTCATACTCCTTTTGGCATTCGTGCTGGATGGCTGCGCGTTTAAGAATGAAAATCTCCCGGCGAAGCGCCTCAATATGTTCTTTCAGCATCAGATTTTCCTGGGGGAAATTTTGCGCCGCCTCAGCACTAGCCCGAGAACTTATGGTTCTCTCGGGACTCTCCAAGAAATTAGCTTCTCGGCATCTTGCATCATCAATGGTGGTGGCACTCATCATCTCATTCGCAAATAAGTTCACCCATTCTGCGCCATCTTCCGGCAAGTTGTTCTGGACGTGTGGCTCTTGCAAAGGAATTGCCCCCTCATTAGGAGGTGTTTCACCTTTATCGACGGTTACGTTTCCTTTCGGTGGGGCCCGCATTGCTATTAGAATATCCGATATGAAGTTTGTTGAGGTTTTGAATTGCCAAATCAAGATCATGGCCAGATTCTTCCATAGCTTTCTCTAGAAGCTGAACATCAAGATCAGGAAACAATCCCCTGAGATGAGCAATCGGACTCGTTTGAACAGGCGGCGAGTAGGTAAACCTGACCGGCGACGTAGATGATGAGCACCGAAGCCTCTTTAGCGCCGGCGGCGATGCAGATGCAGGCGATGACGCCGATGGGTCGATTTCCTCAAAGAACGACCTCTTCCCGCAGAGAATTGCAGACATGGTAATGATTTACAAAACAAAACAAAACGAAAACCAAATTAACCGATTCAACTCAAACCCTAAATTACACCTCCAATTACACTTTAATTTGCTCGTGAAATTCAAACCAACAATAAACAAATAAATAAATATAAAAATAAAAGCGGGTAATTAGAGATTCTAGGGTTAATTCGAGACCCCAATCTTCCCCCGACGCTTCTAGTTCTTCGTTTGCTTTTTTGAAGAAGAGCTTTGTTAAAATATACTAAGGGTGTGTTTATTTGGGTATTCATCCAAATTTTTCCCCCAAAAAATATCAAATCAAACACCTATTTTTCATTTTCTATATTATACTAAAAATCAATTTTACATTCAAAATATTACATCAATGCATATTTATATCACATCATACAACTATTCAAATTCAAATTTGTTACTATTCAAATCCCAAGTTTGGGAGTTCGGATTTTGGATTGGGATTTGAATAGTAAAAAATTTGAATTTGAATAGTGGTATGATGTGATATAAATATGTATTGATGTGATGTTTTGAATGTAAAATTGATTTTTAGTATAATTAAAAAATGAAAAATAGATACTTGATTTGATATTTTGGGAGGAGGAAAATATGTGTGAATAATAGAAATTCACAAAAATCATTCAAATAAACACACCCTATATTAATATATTTATGATAATTATCTTATTTAAGAAATTCGTGAGATTTTTGTTGTATTTAAACGATTTATATATCACTATATTTGATGATTGAAATAGAGAATTTCAATTTCTTACTCTAACATGGTATCAGATCCAGATTCTCTTCGGGTAACTCCATAATCCGTTATATTCCGTATATATTTTTATATTTTATTAATGTATTTGCTTCTATCAATGATAATACTGTTATTTTTATGTCGTCTCCATCTATACTACTCCACTGACAAAGTCTATTGAGAGCGAGATAATCCTATTTCTGACTCTAGTCCTATAGAATGAGCGAGACATGTTTCCGGCTCTAGTTTCGTTGTGAGCGAGCGAATCGTGTTTTCAACTCTAATAGTGTTGGAAGTTCTGCTTCTGACTATGATCTAGTGGACGACTACACCACTTTCAGTCAACCTTGACGAATTCAAATTCGTACGTAGAAGATCTCATCTATATGTTTTTCGGTCACTTCTGGCAAACTCAAGTTTGTTCAATTATATCTTGAGTTTGAGGATGGAGGTCAAAATATATTTAAAAACAATATATTATATTTATGGTAGTTATCTTGTTTAAAAAATTCGTAAAATTGTTATTTTATTTAGACAATTTATATATTACTATAAATATATATTCTTATTATTCAAACAGAGAATTTAACTTTCATATTCTAATAATTACAGTAGAGATAATGATAATGCTAATAATTCTACCAAAAAACAAATTCTCAATGCGATCATAATAATATATTGGATTCGAAAGAAGAGATAAATAAATAAAAGAATTAGTACTATCTTTTTAACATTCAATTTATTATTTTATTTTATAAAAATATTACAAGTGTATTCTCTTGTTTTTTCCTTTTCAATTTTTTTTTTTTTACTCTAAAAACACACCAATATTCAACACTCACTTTCCATGCAAAAAAATCACACCATACACCAATTTTCATATCAAAACCTTAAAAGAAAGAAAGAAAGAAAAAAAAAAAAAAAAACTCTGCATCTAATAAATATTTTCTATATAAAATACGTACTACACCCAACAATGATTTTACATATAAAATATAAAAACAATATATATATATAACATAAAATACACCTTAATATTTATTATTATTAATATTTTTTGTATTTAACTTATAAATAGAGATAATGATTAGAACAACGATTATATTATTGCTATCTTTAAAAAATGATGCAAAGATAATTTCATGATTGTTTTCTTTATAACATAAACCATGAATTAGAGCCCACAATTTCATGATTGTTGAATAACTGAAAGGGTGTTCAATGAGTACACTCAATTGTTATTAGATTGATACAATTATTGAAATTCTATTTTTAAGTTTCATATATAAGCTTTTGACACTATTGCCAACACAAAATACATATTCAACGATTATTTACTTAAAATATTATATAATTTGCTTTTTACACAAATATTTTTACTATCAAATACATTTTTTTTTTTTACTTAAAATATTGTATAAAAAGTTTATTTTCCACATAAAATATTGCATCCAACAATTATTTACATCAAATTAATATTTCAACTATTTACTATTATAAAAATTCTCTAAAACTACTTCCAAACTTTCATTTAAAGAAACCTTAATTTATCATTTCGGCCGTTCTTTTGTTTATCTAAGAAATGAAAAACAAATTCAACATATAGTGTTGTTTGATTAATGATTTATTTTAGCGTAAACACATCTTTTGCCTATATTTCTTATAAATGCATATTAATCTTATTATACTACAATTCATTGAAATTTTATATGATAAATAAAGAAAAATCAAAAGTAATTAGATAAACATAAACACTATTTATTAGAAATAAAATGCTTCTACTTTTATTATTATTTTTTAAATGTGAAACCGTAGCTACTATTCGAAAATGGTTACAAGTCCAACCCAAACGCCCGCCGCGTTTCTGATATATTATAAAAGTATGCTAAAAAAATTAAAAAAATTTATTTTTATTTTATTAAAGCTAAAAATATAGCAGTAAAAAGGAAAACAGAAAAAAAAATTAAAAATAAGAAGTGGGGCCGCTGAGTCCGAGTGAAAAGAGCGCGAGGACGTACAAGGCAAGCGTCGCGTGTTAAGCTACCAATGCTTTGCCGACACGTAAGCATTCAGTTACGCTTCACTAAGACTTCGTTTTCCGCACGTCACTGTCACACCATCGTTCTCGCTCCCTCCATTCCCATTAAACTCAGTAATCTCCCTGTTCACCCTCACCGCCGTCTCTTCCAATTCCGGCACCACATCGCCATCCGACGCACCTCGCCTACCTCCCCATTCCCTACCATTCCCAAATCCTCATATGTTGCTTCACCAAACTGTTTACCGTCCTGTCTGCTCTTTTCATGGCGCCGGCCTGAGAATGAATGAAAAGCTATCCCGCTTTTTTTTGCTTCCACACTCCACAAAACGAAAACGAGTGTTTCGTGACAGCGACCGACAACTCCTCCAACAAGTTTAATTAAATCCGAGATTAGGTTCTCTTTACCCTCAAGAAACTCCTTCCTATCCCTACTTAATCCCTCCTCTCTATATATTCTGACCACACTCCTGTTGCCTCCTCCACACTCTCCATTATTATTACTTAATTCATAATGGGGAGCACAAACGGCGTGGAGCTCAAATATCTGATAATAACGATTACAATAATCGTGTTGGTTTCTACTCCTGCTTTTTGTTGGTCGTCTGATGATGACGGATTGGTGAGGATCGGGCTGAGGAAGGTGAAGTTGGATGAGAACAACCGGCAGGCGGCCCGGCTGGACCGGTCGGAGGAAGGGGAGGAGCTAAGAAGCACGATGAGGAAGTATGCCGGCATCCGAGGAGCTAGCGGAGGTGGTGGTGGTGGTGGTGACATAGTGGGGTTGAAGAATTTCATGGATGCTCAGTACTATGGGGACATTGGAGTCGGGACTCCACCACAGGAATTCACTGTCGTTTTCGACACTGGTAGCTCCAATCTCTGGGTTCCATCTTCCAAATGCCATTTTTCTGTGAGTACTTTCTACTTTAATTTTTCATCAATGATGACAACAATTTGATTCGGTTAGTTAGTTAATCGATCTGTGTGTGTGTGTGTGTGTTTTGGTTCAGCTTGCATGCATGGTGCATTCCAAATACAAATCAGACAAATCAAGTACCTACAAGAAGAATGGTTGGTTTCTCGATCTTTTCAGTTTTTGTTTTCTCTTGTCTTAATTATTCTGGACTGAACCTCGTCTAAAGCCCAACGCCAAATTCAAATTGAGATTGAACCTTTGTCCAAATGAATCTTGAGAATTGTTGCCATTTCTTTGTTGACAGGAAAGTCAGCTGAAATTCAATACGGGTCTGGATCGATCTCCGGGTTCTTCAGTGAGGACAGTGTCAATGTTGGAGAGTTAGTCATCAAGGGTCAGGTAGGTTGTCTAATGTTTCCAATTTCATCGAGATTTTGCATTGATTCTAGAGGCTTACACTTGTTGATCTCTGTAGGAATTCATCGAGGCGACGAGCGAGCCAAGTCTCTCATTCGTAATGGCCAAGTTTGACGGCATTTTGGGACTTGGGTTTAAGGAGATTTCACAGGGTAATTCGACCCCTGTATGGTAAGCAAAGAAATAGCATACTTGCTTCATATTCTTTTTTCCAAGGCTGTATTTATAAGTTAATGTCCATGCAGGTACAAAATGGTCGAAGAAGGTCTAGTTAAGGAGCCAGTGTTCTCATTCTGGCTTAACCGGAACATAAAAGAACAGGAGGGTGGCGAGCTTGTGTTCGGAGGAGTTGATCCGAAACACTTCAAGGGTCAACATACATATGTCCCGGTGACAAAGAAAGGATACTGGCAGGTTGGTTATCATCACCCTTCTTACACATATCTTTGTCTAGTAATATGATCTTACTCGACAAAGTTAACTTTCAATGTTATCTAACTTGAGGGTGGTTTCATAGTTCGACATGGGAGATGTTCTCATCGGTGGTAAAGCCACTGGTATGTACTCTTAAAATCTCCTCAATAAAGATGTGTTCTTGGGAAAGAGTAGTCTAATTTTGATGTCTTTATATTTCCCTCTTAAGGCTTTTGTCGCGGTGGATGCTCAGCCATAGCTGATTCCGGGACTTCGCTCTTCACTGGCCCTACGGTGAGTTTTGCCCAACTATTGTCGTATGAGCTCATTTCCCTTACTCTAGGATAACAAGTTAATTGTTTACTGTTGTGTAGGAAGTAATCTCTAAGATCAACCAAGCCATAGGAGCCTCTGCAGTTTTACGGCAAGAGTGCAAGTCGTTGGTCGAACAATATGGCCCGGTCATCATGGATCTTCTTCTCGCAGAGGTATGTATCGGAATCCAGCTTCTGAATTTCAGTATCTTGTTGCTTCTGAATTTCTGATCTGCACTCTATCTCCATTGAACTAGGTTCAACCGAAGAAGATATGCTCCCAGCTCGAGCTATGCACGTTCGATGGAACCCGGGGTGTGAGGTGTGTTCCTTTCTCCCTGCAATAATTCCTCAAAACACTTCTGCAACATTCATAATTCTGAAAGGATGATTTGGTTTCCTGATACTAGTGGGGATATTGAGAGTGTTACGGATGAGCAAGACACCAGATCGGCTGCGATGTGCCCTGCGTGCGAAATGGCTGTTGGGTGGATGGCAAAGAAACTCAGGGAAAACATGACTCAGGTTGAGATTTTGGGTCATGTCGAAGAGGTATGGTTGCCAGGCTATTAGCATCATTTACTTATGTTGCTCCATCTTGTGTTGATGCTAATGTATCAACATTGAAACCACAGCTTTGTGATCGACTGCCTAACCGTCTTGGAGAATCAACCGTAGATTGTGCCAACATTCCTCGAATGCCTACTGTTTCCTTCACAATAGGTGGAAAAGTCTTTGAGTTGTCCCCAAAGGAGGTACTATTATTACCATGGTTCTTGCCAATAGCCCCGATAACATTAGTGCGTAATCGTTAACTTTTTGGTGTTGATCAGTACATACTAAAGGTGGAGGAAGGTTCACAAGCACAATGTATCAGTGGTTTCACTCCTATGGATGTCCCTCCTCCTCTAGGACCTATTTGGTAATCTACCCCTGTTATCGAGTTCTTTCTTTCTATTTTTTTGCATTGCCACCATTTTTCGGATGCTAAGACTACCTGGTAATCATTAACTGCAGGATCTTGGGGGATATGTTCATGGGACGATACCACACAGTGTTCGACTACGGAAAACTCAGAGTGGGTTTTACTGAAGCAGCTTAGATGAACCACTCAGCCTTGTTATTGCTATAATGTACTTTTTCTGACTATCTGTTAGCAACTGTGTGGTTAAAAGAAAGATGGTGGTGTTGTCTGTTCTAGCGAGGCTATGTAAATGAATCTAATATATCAAGTATCTGTTTAAACAATATATGCGGCATCGATTATTTAAGATATATGGTTTAATCCACAGATGAATATATTCAGAAGGACAGAGGGAAGGGGGAACAATGAGAAGAAAGCGTTAGATACAACTAACCTTTAAGTATTGCAATCCAGAATCCATAAAACTATATAAATATTGTTGCGCCAGAGTAACCTTAGCCTTTAGTTACGGTCAGCGACTTCGCCCTAAGATTCAGAAATATTCCCCTGCAAGAACAGCAATTGAGTTTTAACTGTAAATCTGAACAGAGTATATCAGCATAGGAAAATTCAGAAGATTGTGAATAATGTAGAGAAATGATTGTACCAGAAGAAGGCAACGACGCTTTGGACAATAACTCGAAACTGTAGGGGCACATACTGGTGATTCACCCATCCAACGACAGGCCAGAACTGCCAAAATATTGATGATGAAGTTGGTAAAAATGATCACTTTTTACTTCATCAAGATTAAATAAAACTTGAAAGGCTAATTGCAGCTACCGTCCAGGCGGCATACTGCACAGTTGGATATTCCTTCTTGATCTTGGATTTCACATGAATCCAGGGTCTTCCTATGTATATTATAGAATTTGTGTCAATAATATCATCATCTAATCAGGATATCTTAAGACTACCTCACTGGTTTATTCATCCATAAACAAAAATAAAATCAATAAGCAAATCAGGAGATATTTATGCATCTTTTACACTACACAGCTTCTGTTTAGGGCCAATATACATCGTTAGATGGCCATATGTATACAGAATTTATAAGGAAACCATTTGTATGATCAATGGTTGATATGTGTTCCTCAGTCACTTATCTGACATTTCCAGAAACTCCATTTATGAATTTGTCCAGAAATTGAAGTCTTAGCTTTTTCAGCACAAGCTTGGTTAAAACAAAGGATTCACAATCTAGAAGCCACAATAACTTACCCTCAACAACTAAACCATAGTAAAGCATGAAAACCAAGTTGTTCCACGGGCCAGATGTCATCTGCTCCACCACCACCTGAAGTGATTTCATATGAAAATTTTCATTCCTGGCAGTAGATTCTCATTTTTCTAATTCAATAGAAAATTACAAAAGGAAAAATTAAATATGAACGTGGGAACTACCTTTTTGGCTACTGTTTTTGTGTCCTTCTTCCCCTTGAAAAGTTTATCTAACATTATATGGAAATAATGGCCAAATGGTCCCAGATAGGCGGCGCCGAAAAGCTGTACTCATGTTCGCATCAGATTAATAAATTATCTTGGAAGCATTCTTCGGTTTTATTTGTCGCATTATCATTAAACAACGGCAGAAAACTTCTAAAGGAATGTATAATCAAATATTGACTCATAAGACTAGGTACAAGGTTAGCGGTCAGTCTTAACATACCATTTTACATGTTTCAGAACATCAGAATGGTTCATTTGGATTCTACTAAAACTTGAGCAATGCAGTCCTGCCGTGTTTCTTTGAGGGAATTACAGCTTGATTATGCTTCCATCTCAGTTTTTATACTTCTTAATATTGCAGGTGCAAGAAAATGCATAATCACATTTCTAGTTAAGATGGTAGCCACTTCCATTTTCAAAATACACAATAAATTTACATTGATTTGTCTCATGAATCAAAATCAAAGAATTGAGATCAATTATCATACAGGTACATTATTCAAGCCTCACAAAGTGAAAAATCACTTGCAAATATGATGTTGAAATAGAAAACAATGAAAGAAGTTAGATTGCAAGAAACACTGATGTGTAATATATATGATCACTTGTCCAGAAACAATTACAAAAGATAACATCACAACGGACCATTATTGTTATATATGTAATTGGCTAACGAAATTTCACTTATAAAACCAAAAAAAAAAAAAAAAAGAAAAGAATAATTAGTCATAATCCCTGAAAGATGACAAGAATGAATGAACCTCAATAGGCATTGAAGGACTGGCAATAAACCTCTACCAACCCCAACAAGTATCAGCACGGACATTAATTGCATTTTCACCAAACAACCGATTCCACACTATCTCCTCCACACATTGCACAAACCAAACAGAAGATTTGGAACAATTCCAAATGAGAAAAAGAAAACTATGCTTCTAAATCAGTCGATCAAGTGAATCTTCCAACAAATTTTAGATGCATCACTCGAGAATAAACCATTCCTAGAAACAAATTCATAATCTGCATAACACCAAATAGAATGTAATACATTTTCCACGAAAATTTATCGAAATCAAACAATTTTCACAAAAACATAAATAACCAATTTGATTACTCGAAAATAAATTTAAAAACGCAACCAAGTAAACAGATGCAACATTAATCAGAAAGTCAATAGCGACACAGTACCACTTTGAGAAGAAGGCGTTTGAGTTGAAGTTTCTGGATGCCGGAGAGCTTCTGCGACACTACATCACTGATTGCAGACAACACTCCCGCAGTTATCACCTAACAATCGAAATAAACATAGAGAATTAAAATAAAAAATAAAAAAGGAAGCACACGCATACCGTGATCGAGCCTAAGAATCCAAAGAAGAAACCGTACACACGAATACACAAAACATATATATAATCGGAAGGCTTTAAATAAAAACTAAAACAAGCAGAGGTTGAAATGCAAAGGCAAAGACTTTGGTTCGAAGCGGGTGCTTCTGCAGCTGCATCAGATACTGCTGGAAGCCGTTCTTCGCCATGGATCCCATCGCGCTCTCGACTGCTGTCTGGTCAACCTAAAATTTTGAGAGCGAAGCAATAAAGCGCTGTCTATTCACAGCAACCACAACAACAACAATAATAATATTAATAATTAATTATTAGTATTAGTATTGGTATATACTTAGGGTGTGGTTGTTCGGGCTATTGGATTAAATTTATATTGTTTATCTCATTTTTTTTTAAATGAATCAAATTAAATATTTATTTTTTTTATATTATATTAAAAATCAATTTTACATTCAAAACATCGTATCAACACCTATTTATATCACATCATACAACTATTCAAATTCAAAATTTTTACTATTTAAATCTAACTCAAAATTCAAACCTCCAAAAAAATAAAAAAACATATATATAATAATATACTGTCCATAACATTACATTTGCTTTGTTTACTTTTTAAGACAATATTTTAATAATATGATTATAATAATTATTTTTACGGATTTACTCTTATTTTTTGTTTAAAAGATTTTATAAATAAAAGTGTAAAAAGAGAAAAAAATCCGTATAAATGAAAGAAAATTTGTAACTATTTTGAGAGTTTCAAATTATAAATAATAAAAATATAATTAGGATACTTAAAATATTATACTTTTTCAGTCCACCTCTAAGATTACATTTATTTTTGTCGTTATTATATGAATATTAAAAATATTCTCATAGGTGTATTTTGTTATTAGTATTTCTCATGAGATATCACCCGTGTATTTTGTTATTAGTTTAATATAATATTTTGTAAATAATTAATATTCCGAAAGTATATTTTATTGAGGATAAGATTGCATATTAAAAAATAGAAAAAAAAAATCAAAAATAAAAAACTTATATTCGCTTATTATATAAATATACATGCTAAATAATTGTTTGTTCTCATACAATATTTTTAGAAAATATATATATATATATATATTAAAATTCGAATACTAAAAAACACAGCCTCAAAGTCTTGGATTTGCAATTTAAACCAAGTTTCTTACTAATTCAATATAAAATTATACTTTATTGTTTAATCTTACAACATATTATATTAACGTATTATGTATATAATTAAGAACTCAAATTCAATCACAAATTTTCATTTGTATATCTAGATTTATGTATTATTTTTTTACTTATTAAATTCACTACGTATTATTATTATAAATATTATACGTGCTTTATATTTTTCACTTATAGTGCTTAGCAATTAGTTGATAGATAATTAATTAATTAATAGTTAATTTGATTAATGAGATATATTTAGTGATGGAACCAAGCTTTTGAACATTGGGGTGAAATATTGTTTAAGCAAAAAAGGCCGGGAGCCAAGGATGATGAGTTTGAAGTTGAAAATTTCAACAAAACTACAGCATAGTTATATTTTTAACTATATATATATATATATATATATATTTTATTGGACAAAAAATAAGAATTAATAAAATAAAAAATATTATAATAATTCTTTATATGTAGAACAATTAATAATTTTACCAAATCAATAAAAAAGAAATGTTCAGTATTTTCAAGTTAAAAGAACATAGTTTTAGTTGGCACCGATAAAGTATTATATAAATTAAAAATACTTATTTCGTACGCCTCCAAAGGTTTTATTTACCTTTTGCGTCATTATACTTAATATTTTAAATATTTTTATATTTGTATAATTTTTGAAATTAATAAGACATTAATGGAAGTATTTTTGCAATTTTTTCTGAATTTATACTATATTTTAATATAATAATTATATTAAAAAATCAACACACAAAAAAAAAATAAACGAGACCCTAGAGCCAGATAGTAATATTATTTTAATTTGCAATATTTTTTATTCAATTTTTTTATATATATACATTTTCAGTAAAAATATATTAATTTTATATATTATATCAAAATATTATTTAAATAAACTTTAAATTCAAAATTCAAATATCAGTGCAAACATAACAATCAAACCCTAAAATATCACCACAATAATGTAATATTAAAAAAGGTTATTACTGCGCATATATAGAATATTGTAATGTTGGTGTAATATTCTACTTACTTTAAGATGATGGAAATTCACAAAATTTAAATTATAGTAATTTATATTTATAGATATACACTTTATTTCTTTTGTGTTTTTTTATTTTTTTTTCACACACATTTTCAAAAGAAAAACTAAAATATTACATATATTCATTGTTATATTATCTATATAATTCTCTGTAAATATAAAAAAAATACATTCAAATCATTTTTCATAACAAACACACCCTCTAGTAGGCTCTGTTTGTTTGTACAAATCTAGGTTTCTAATTGGTAATATACTATTTATTAATTTTTCTTTAAAAAATAATAAATCAAGTATATATATTTTTTATACTATATTAAAATTTAATTTTATATTAAAAATATTATATAATACATATTTTTATTATATCAAATAATTATTTTAATTCATAATTTTAGTACTTCAAACTCACAAACACACAATAAATATTTAAATGAATGGATTCCAAATGTACTTAGGGTGTGTTTGTTTGAAGGATTTTTCCGGATTTCCACTATTCATCCAATTTTTTCCCCCCAAAAACATCAAATCAAACACCTATTTTTCATTTTTTATATTATACTAAAAATCAATTTTACATTCAAAATATCACATCAAACCCTATTTATATCACATCATACAACTATTCAAATTCAAAATATTTACTATTCAAATCCCAACTCAAAATCCAAACCCCCAAACAAACACACCCTTACTGTATATGTAAATTAAATGAATTGAATGTTGAATGGTTAGTTTGGGTTGAAATATTGAAAAAATTATTTGAATATAATGTTTTATTGGAGGAAATTGTATTACACCTTGCGGTGGTGTGTTTGTTTGGGGATTGAATTTTATATACACTGTTCATCCTATTTTTTTTCCTAAAAAAATATCAAATCCAACCCTATTTTTCAGTTTTTATATTATATTAAAAAACAATTTTACATTCAAAAAATCATATCAACACGTATTTATATCGCATTATAGAACCTAAATTTTCATTTTAATACTATACTCCATGAGATTTTAAATTTTTTTTTTATATCAAATATATAAAAATGTTTATATTATAATTAAAACATCAATTAAGAATTTTGCTATGTTCATTCTTCAAATCAAACACCCAAATCCAAACAAACTAGTCTCAAATTTGAATTAGAATGAAGATGATATATATTTAATATTAAAAGGGAATTGAAATTATAGTAAAAGAATGAAGATTTATAAGACCACTTCCAATGAGCAAGAATTAAGTAGTGCGTGCTTCTTGCCTCAATTAAGCTGGATTGTAAAAGTATGTTCTTTTATGTGTGTGTTTATATTTTGATAATTTTAAGATTAAAATACAACCATGTATTCTACAAGAAATTTGAGATATTATATAGTTAACAAAAAAAAAAGAAAAAAAGCATCAACAACATCAAACAACAAATTAAGGGGTAAGATGAAACAGCAAAAAAGATGGTTTATATTATATAGCCGAGAAGTAATGAGCAACAAAACAGGAGTTGAATCCAACAACTCATCACCTCATAATTCATAAACTTTGGTGCCAATGCATCCTTAGGTAAATAAATAGATAGATCGATAGATATGCTGCGCCAACACAAACAGAAACAAGAAAACACAGGCAAAATGAAGACAGACAGATAGATAATTAGTCCAATTAAGGTCTAATAATTAGTTAATTAAGGGCAGCAGCATCGATCGCAGGTAGGCGGATTGATGGAGGAGGATTGTGGATTGTGGATTGATGATATGGATGGATGGATGGATGGATATGCAGAATAGAACAATGGCGGATTTTGGAGGATCAATAAATCGATCAGCCGAGGGTGAGCTCCAGGGAGATCTCCTCCTCCTCAGTGTTGTCAGAAGACGACGCCGGCGGAGCGCCGGCGTCGCCACCAGCAGCAGCTGGTGTCTCAGCCCCTCCCATCTGCGGCGGCGCCGGAATCATGAAGTTGTGAACGGCCGGGATCGGAGGGTGAGGGTAAATCGGGACTGGGACGAGGTAGTTGAACCTCGGGTCGTACGGAAGCAGCCTGTATGTATATATGCAATTAGTTGGCCTGGATCAAAGGTCGATTCAGAAATTATAATGAATTAATTAATTAAGGGGGGTGGGGGTACCTAGGGGGTGCCTGATTGTTGAAGAAGAATCCCGGAGGAGGGGGAAGATAAGCCATCACCATAGGTGGAGGAGCAGTAGAGGTAGAAGCGCCATTGTTCATATGCAGATGATAGTTGAAGTTAGCCGCCGCCGCCGCCGCGGCGGCGGCGGCAGCTCTCCTGTTCCTCTCCGCAGCAGCTGCTGCCTGTTCTGCTGCTGCAACAACATTCATTTTAGAGAGATTTGTAACATTTCATGAAGAAACCCTCATTTTTTTTATGACATTTTTATGAACTTCAACAGTGCTCTGAAAATATCAGAAGGGTTAGATTGTAATTTAATTTTTTTGACTCGAAAATTGAAATCCAGATTCTTCCAAAAACATAAAAAATAAAAGAGGGTAAAGGAGTTTCGATAAATTTCAGACATAAAATGATATACAGGCGACACGCACACATACCTTGGAGAGCCTGCTCATGCTTCATGCTTCGGTACATCTGTCCATTGCCAAAAATGGAATGTAAGAAATCAAATCAAACGATAACATCTCTAGAAACAAAGCTATTCATCGTAGTATTAAAGAATTTTTACAGATTGCGTCACTGGGCCAAAAAAAAAAAAAAAAAGAATAAAAAACACAAAACCCTAGAAAGCGAAGAACAAGAGGAATTAGGGCGGATTCCTGGGGGCGGCTGGAACTCCCGAGACCAGAAAGATCCACGCCGTCGTTGTAGACCAACGGACGGCACAGATCCAATCTGGGTCAGGCAGCCCCAGGAGCTCCCGGGAATGTCGTCTTCAACCTGCAGATGGCTTTTGACGTGAGTAATTGTGAGCCCCTTGACGTTCATAATTTCCAGCACCATTTTCGGAGTAGCTCCTTTAAAAGACCACCAGAAAGACAAAACCGTAAGTAATAAATTTCGATTCCACATCTGCTCTTTCCAATTAAACCCCAAATTAATTCAATGGCGAAAATAGAAACAATAATTATATATACAATTAATTGAATCATGCACGCATGCAATAATAGTTCTGTATATCAATCTATCCATTACTGTCTTCTCCGCCGAGATACTCGACGGCCTCGATGAAGCACTGGTGGAGATCGTCAGTCCATTTCAGCCTGGGCACTTTCGATCTCACGTACGGCCTCACTCCAGTCCTGGGGACAGGTGCCGCTGCAGGTGCAGCCTGCGCCGGCGCCGGTTCCTGTTCCGGCGCTGGCGCCTGTTCAGGAGCCGGAGCCGGAGCACCATCTGCAGCTTGCTCCACGGCGGCGGGTGCAGGAGGCTGTTGCTGCGGCGGATCCATGGCTCTGCAGAAAGGAGAGAGATTAATTGAAGGAGGGTTTGGGGGTGAGAGCTTGGGGGTCTGAGAGTGGGATTAAATAGTGGGGAAAGATTACTGTAGTCACCGTTTTGTCGATTTCTTCACCTTCTAAGAAAAAGAAAAAATATAAAAATAGTAAAATGAATAGATAAAAATATATGAACAGTAAGTGATTTGGGAAAATTAAAATTAAGGTGTGAATTATTTCATCACAGAATTCCACATCGTAGGGATAAGCTGAAATTAATTCACACCTATTGTTACTATTGTAGAATTAGGTTTTTTATTCATCGAATGATTAATTTCATCAGTACAAACTCCATGTCTAATTTACTGTGGGTAATAGAGTCGATCTTTTTTTTTTTTTTTTTTTTTAATTCTTGGGATTTAAACTCAGAAACATCCAAACTGGAGAGCTAATGCAGGCAGTTGCTGCTGACATGCTAATTAAAGAGAAGCCATCGTTCACCTATTCATTAATTTTCTGTGTTTCAACCACTCCATTAATGGGAGAATCCTCTTCAATTCATCAGGGTTTGTGTATCTATCCATCCATCTATGTATGTATATGTGTACAGTGGTGTTGATGCATATGTGGATGTGTAGTTTTAATTTTGTTTGTGGGAAAAGAATATATTTTTGAGCTATAAGATGGAAATTACGCGATAAGATTACAAGTTAGGATGCGACTTGTTTGTCGAGTTGTTGATTGACTTACACGTGGTGGCGATTTGAATTTAAAATAAATATAGGAATTATTAGGGATCAACCCGAATGAATACAAAAAAAAAAGAAAATGCACGGTGCTTCCATATCGCCGCAATAAAAATAAAAGTGAATGCCACGTCTCGACTTAAGTAGGTTTGTTATATTTAATAAGGTGTCGCAAGTCAAATTCTTCCCAAAGCCGACATGATCATATACAATTAAAATATAGAAATTCTAAGCACGAACAAGATCATATATTACATATATAAATTTGTAGAGAAAACCCTAGATTTTTGGCCATGAAGCTGATTCGGTGGGATCAATTATGGCACATATATAATTTTGTACAATTTTATGATATGTTACGTTGGTATGATTATTAATTAAACCCTTCAATGTACAAGAATCATATATACATGCATGGTGAAAAGGAATCTTTTTCTTTTCTTTTTTTTTTTTAAATGAAAAAGAAAAAGGGTGACAACATATTTTGTGTATTCATGGATAGAAGTGATGAGGAGGTTGAGGATGAATAGAACGAAACAATTAAATGTTGCAGTTAAGAGAAATGGTGGTTAGGGAGATGGGGGGATTTTAATTGAGAAATGTCCAAAAACGATTTAAAACAACATGACATACGCACTGAACCAACGAGCTGAGCTGAGCTGTGGAATATATATGCAATTTATAATTATATTGCTCATCCTAAGGGAAACACACCAAAATTCCTAGAATTATTCCAATCGAATTTAATTTAACAATTATGTACACCAACAAATACCTATACACATTCTAATTATACCACATATCAATATCAATAGTATTAATTATTCATTATTAATATTGTGTCATGAGTATATATGACCCATTCATATTCCAAAATCACCTACTCTGATAGTATATATATATATATATATATATATGTAAGAATTATACTCTCCTAGAATTAATTAGTGACGTGTACATAGAGAGTTATACTTGAGTTGGCAACGACCGCTTCACTACGGCGGTTCACGGCGCCTGACGTCAGCTGGACCGGAAACGGTGGTTCGATATTTTCGAAGCCGGTCTATACGTTTCAATTCAGGATCCGGACAAAATACGCCAGAAATATTACCACTACTTTTTTATTATGTTTATATTATTATCATAATATTATTATTATTATTGAAATATTGTGGAGAATAGGGATTTCCAGAATATTTACATTATAGCCGTTGATTATTTTAATTGAGCCAATTCTCTCCCCGGCCCAAACTAATGGGCCTCCAAGCCCAATAACCCATCTAAAAACTACAATCTTGTAAGCGAATGTGTCATTAATTACATATTATAGTCTTTCAACGATTGATCATTGGAGAGCCTTTACAAAGGCCATAAGAGACGGAACGTCCCGATTCTCAACCGGGTATTTCACCGGCCGCGACGAATGCTTGGGGAATAATAGAATAGTCGGGAAGCTGCCAAGCTGCAGCTCCCGATGAGCGAAAGCTTCGTCTTCTCCATCAGCCCGGAATTTCGCCACCTTAACAGCGCTGGACGACTCTGCCAGAGCCAATGCCAGCTCGACGTACGAGCCCTCCATCGCCTGGCAGAAACGGCACCACGGCGCGTACAGCACGACTAGCCAAGGCTCCCTCCTGTTTTCGAGCCTCAACAGGTTTTCGATTCCAGGCCTGCTCAAGCTCACAATGGTTTGGGATATAAAAAGATCGGTATGCGCAGAAACACCGTTAGTCGGGATTCCATCTTCTCGGCTGTCCTCTTTAAGGTTGCCTTTGTGGAGTCCGCATTCTTTCGCCTTAGCATCTTCCCACCACCACCGCCCTTCGCGCTCGTGCTGGCCGGGTAGCACGGCTCTGGTGCACGGCTCGCAGCCAATCGAGACGTAGCCTTGCGAATGGAGGGAGTTGATAGGAACATTCATTACCCTTAAGAAGCTCCAGATTTCATTTCCGGTCACATTTGCAACAGGATTCCACTTTACCAGGCTGCCTGGACCGCCGGCTAGCCCCTCGAAAACAGGATCCACCTGAAGAACAGGGATTTCTGATCGTGTCCCCGGAGACTGATCCTTTCGCTGGCCGGTTATCCAAGCTCGGAGCCCCTTGAGTGCCCTCCTCAATGGCTTAACCTTCCGCACTCGACAGCACTCCTGGTGACCGTCTTCGTAGAATGAAAATAGTCCCTTTGTTCTAACTAGGGACTCGACTTCAGCTGCGTCTGGAAACATGTATTCAATGTGGATTTTGTAGTGCTTCTCGACTTCGTCGAAGAACTTGTATGTCTCCTTGTTTAACCTTCCGGTGTCGAGGCTGAATACTCTGAACGGCCGTCCTGTTAGCCGTGCGTATTCAATCAAAGCTACATCCTCTGCCCCGCTGTAAAATGTTATGTCCGATTCAGTAACTCAAATTTGAAACAGGATAACTGCGGATGTAATTGGTAGGGTAAAGAAGATCTCAATCCGCAAGAACAAACTGAAGCTGGAAATCAAGCATCAAACTCGAAATCACACACGATTATGTTCTGGCTACATGTTTCTTTACCATTACGAAAACTGATTTGTAATTTGAAATCACACATGATACGAGCTATTAATTATCCGATTCTATAATTACCTAAAAGCGATTGCAATATCGTTTCCGAACTTCTCCAGAGCTCTATCCATAATCTCCAGAGGAGAGGCATTCTCAAGGTGTTCCGCCAATTTTTCATAGGCGTCGTCTACCTCTATCTTGTCGTCGAAATCTATTGCAAAATAGTTGAACAATGAAAACCTAAATCATCGACAGTTCGATTGAAATTGATATTGAAATGTTGTAGCAATTAACTCACATGCACGGCGATTAATGAAAATCTCTACATACCTATACCACCGGCGGAAATGGTTTCCGCAGAGAGGACGCTTGAATCGCTACGCCGAGCGGACAATTTCACCGCCGACGATCGATGATGAAGCTTATTCAACGGTTGAAATGCGGCGAATCGAGCACCTGAGGAAAGAGAAAGACGATTGAACACAAATCCCCTGAATTACAGAAGAAAGGCGAGAAACATCAAATGACCGTTGAATTTCTACCTCTGGTCTGCGCAATAGAAGAAGACAGCATCGAGCTGCGGACCGCTCCCGGTGAAGAGGCTATAGAAAACGCCATTGCTGTAAACAAAAATGGATTGAAAAATCTGTTAATTCGCAGAGTGTTAACAGGAAATCGAGCGCCAACTTTGACTGCTGCGTTTTCGGAAACGGCAAAGTATATATATAGAAAGGAGATAGGAAGGCGGGGGATAAGCCGCCATGGCAGATTGAATCTGGACGTGAATAGAGGCAGGGGAGAGATCCGACGTGGCGAGTGGTTATTGGCTGCCGGGGATCCATGAACTTGAAGAAATCGATTGCAACTTTGCAGCCTAAAGTCGCATGAGATGTTTGTCGGAATCTTCTTTGATTCTGGTGATAAATGTTTTTGAATATTGAAGATAGGATTGTATTTTTTATAAATTAACTTAAAATTTTTAAAAGATACATCAAAATATAATTTTAAGTGTCATTATCAACTACAGCCCATAGGCAATTGGGCCTGTGGACAAATGTAGACACGTCCAAAAATTCGATCAAACAAAAAAGCAGACATGAGCTTTCAAAGTATATTCGAAAAACTTTTGAACCGCCCAGCCCAATCCAGTGAAAAAAATTTCGGGCCATGAGCTTTCAAAGTAGACCCAAGATGTAAATTTCGGGCCATGCTAAACTCAGCCTGAGATGTTAAAAAAATTTATTCTGTTACAAAGGAATCCGACTTTCAACCTACAAACCTAAAATTATACTATCTATATCGAAATTTTTGGTATAGTATTTTTTTACATCCTACCGAAAATTCAATATACCAGCATAATAGATATAGATACCGCACTAATCCACCCCTATAATTGAGCATTTTCAACTCATGTGGACCACCATTTCCACTCATCATTGTTAATCAAATATTTTCATACATAAAAATCAGAATTTATTTAAAACATTTCATATCGAAAGCACAACAAATACATACAAATCACAAGCACACCTTTAGTAATTCATTGTAGAATCTTTAGGCTCTATAGCCAATAAAAATATTATTGAATTCAAGAATCCACCTCCCTCCATTATTACAATGTCATGGCGCTGTTCCAAGTAATTTCCCTAAAGTTAATGGCGATGAAACAAACAAACATATATAGGGAATTGATTAAATTCGCTAGAAAACCAGACAACAAATGAAAACTAACAAACCTGAACGATGAATCCATTCTAATTTTATGTGACCTCCCTCCATCATTACAATGTCATGTCGGAGACCCGGTAGGAATAGCCATTCTTTGATGATTCACAAGAACTGGCTGATTCAGATGGAGAGATCCATCGCATAACAACCAAGGACTCGGAGGAACCTAACAAACTCCTGTGAAGTTAACATGTCCCAGATTTACAGCCAAGACATCCAAGAATTAAGAACATAATGGGAAGGAATCGAGTACGAGTTAGTTGATTGAGGTGTGATGCAAAGTATGGACATGGTTACCTGAAGGTGTCCCATTGCGTTCTGCGCACGGGGGTCTGCCATAGAAGCCTCAAAATCGATGTAAAAGAGATAATCGAAGTATCTGCACATGGAATTTAGTCACCTCTATTTGTGCCAACAACACAAGTGTTCATCATTAGAGACACATAATCGCAAAGCAAGCCAACCCCGCAGAGGTTGAATAATGTAGTGAATCATGTTGAGTAGCTTCATTGAGATATAATCAAATGTCTGCGAGGATATACTCACGTGGCATTTCCTCTATTAGAGCCGTCGACAACCCTCAAAGGCCGTCTTTTCTGTGGCCTGCTCTCAATCTGTAATTTAATTTTACAGTCAAACCATAAAGTATCCATGGATGTTCAATTTTGGGACAAGCTGTGAAGATTACCTTCGACAAGTTAATGTCTCTTAACGCAAACACGGCTAAAGCCTTGAACAGAACCCCGGGTCCCTCTTCCAGACTGAAGACAATGCTAGTCTAAAAAGAATGAATGAATTTATTGTAATGCATAGGGCGCAATGAGCCTGAGAAAAGAAGATCACCTTATATGGCCTATCCATTTTGGGGATTACAGGTTCTCTTGCAAGTATCAGAAAACGGGTGATGTTGTCAGGATCATCCTGTTTAGTTGGGTGTTGAATTAAATTGATCAAAAGTCGGATATTAAAGAACTTGAGGCGTAACTAAGGAATCACCGACATGAGAATTAAGCCCACCTGTATTCTTTCAGCAAGAATCTCAAGACCATATATTTCTGCAGCTCGAGAGCTAGCAACTGCTGCAGTCTCCCTCACGCGTTCTGAGGCTACAATCTGCCATGTTTTTAGAATGTTCATGAAACTTGTAATGTTGCAAAAAAGTCAATACTTTAGAAAGGAGACGATACCTGAGCAGCAGTAGCAGTATCATCAGCATTGACTTTCGTCACACCCAATTCACTCAGTGTTATTTCACATTGTTCAAGTGCCTGAAATTCCCATCAGTTCATATGTTTAAGTCAAAAACTAAAATGGCAGGAAAAAGAAAGTAAAAGCAGCAAGCTACATGTCCTAAACTAGAGATCTTTAAATTATACAAGTAATATTCGATTCCAATTTCTATCATTTTGCCTTCTCAAACATTTCACCTTCCTTGCAAAACCAAGTCTCAGAACAGCAGAACTTACACCCAAAAGTTTCGGACCTAAAAGTAAGCGATGTTTCCATAAACTCTCTTAATCTCCTCATCACGTTTCCAGACTCGAACAAAGTAAGAACAGAATCATGAAGAAAGAATAGGTGAAATGCACCATAAAAACTTATCCCATAGTAAATAAATGCAATAGATATGTAAGGTAGTCTGATGTTTGGAAGAGATGGATAAACGAAGACACAGTATTTTTTTAGGACTTGTTTTTGTGGATGCGTGCGATACAAGATTCACGTATAGGTAATTACCTGTGGATGGCTCAACACACAATTCAGCTCCTCCTTTCTAACCCCAGGCAATCCCAGAAGGCAGTGATTAACAATCAACTGAACTTCCCCAACTATGTGTAGCCTATGGCGAAGAAGCAAGTCATAATTACGATGTATGCTTCCACCAACCGTATTCTCAATGGGAAGTACAGCTTTGTCTACCAACCACAACTCAACTGCCTGAGAAATTAAAATCGATCATAAAGATAAAATGATTCGAAAAATTAATTAAATTTTTTTGTGAACAATAGCAACCTTGAATGCTGCCTCAAACTGTTCACAGGGAACAGTCTCACAATTTGGATATGCTTTCAGTGCAGCAACCTCACTATATGCCCCGGGACATCCCTATACAAGATATATAGAACTCGATAAGGAAGCTAATTTAAACCATTAAGATGTAACTATATCGAGCCTGAGATAACGTACCTGATACGCAACCCGAACATTCTTATCATCACGTGAAGCAGATGTTATGTCGGCAGCCGACAAGAGTTCTGCATGTAATTAGTATTAAATGAAATGCTACACCATCAGCGATATATAAATAAGTACATAGCTGTAGAATCAATATCATATATGTATAATGTAATTCATGGCATTTAAGCATTGCTGTTAAGTATAGCAAATTCATAACATATAGCACCTTTATAAAATATAAAGTTCACTTCAAATATCAATCTAAGTTGCTTCAAAAGGTTCTGCATTGATAGAATTCTGAAGGCAAATCGAATAAAGCCAAAGAATAACATAAATAATCATAGTGCAGGGCACAGCAAGATCATTGCGACCAAGATTACATGAGCAGTCCAATAACCACAATAAACTAAAATTAAATGAATCAGGAATGGTACTTTCAATATCGTAAAGGAAACCAGTCAAGAAATTATCATCTTTCACCAAATTATTCATAATTGCTCGTAATATAAAATTGTGTCACAGGAATGCGACACTCACTTGGGAGAGAGTTCAAATCCTTGTGAAATCCTCTACCCCCCGCTACACTGATCTGTGCTACATCCTCAACAGCACCAGGAGCTATGGGGATCTCGTCTTCCACAGGAGTAATCGCCCTGTGACCCAGACATTTCCAATCACTGTAAATCGAATGAAAGAGATCATGCGACCGGCCACGGGAGAAATCCGGAATGCACAACTGAGAATATGGAACGGTTTTCTTGTTATTGGCACAGTAAACCAAGATCGGCGCAGCCTTCAAAGCCATATCTCATCCCCTACCAATCCAAACCTGGAAAGATGAACTCAGAGGAACGAAAAAACATATAAAGAGATAAATAATCAAGGAATTAAGAACCGAATTCCTGATTAAATATTGCTCGACGGCAAAATTAAGCTCGCGAAGCGAAAGGTTGGGGAATAAATTTTCTACTACAGCAATGTAGGAGAGAAATCGAATAGAAAATTAGGAGCCTGGTTAAGAAAAAGTGAGGTAGGTGAGGTGAGCGTTGGCTACACGTTTCCTCTACTCCCGCTACATTTCCCTGCCATCCCTATACTATGCGTAGCATACATTGCAGATATGAAAACAGCCCCGGGATGGCGCAACCGATCTGAGTCTCACCGCCGGCGAGATGTGCGAGACGCTATCTGGAAGGTAAGTAAAAGATGCAGTTTTGGGTATATATCCAAATTGATTCCGGAGTACGGAGTTTCTGTGCCTTGGGATAATCCTGTTCGTTCATCACTCGGGCCCCATCATAACGAACGGTGTGGATCTGGCGTCGGTGCGGCTCTTGGGTCTTATTTTAATCTTTAAAAATGACTATAGGATATTTTTTTGATATTTTTATTTTGTTAGGAAAAAATGCTGATTTAAGACACGCTGCATATTATTATTATTATTACTATTATTATAAAATGGAAAGCAGCCAGCTTACAAAACTTGTATTCATCTTTGGAAAACATAATTAAATCCACAAAACTATTATATATATATATATATTGTATGTATGAATTATTTATATTGTGGTTCTTGGTGCAGCAGCAGTGTGTGTGTTTGGAGGATAAGCAGCAACCAAGTATTTGCAAGATGAGGAGAATCTGTTTCTGAGCTTCTTCAACCTCCTCCCAATACCAAACTTGATCTTCTTCTTCTGCTGCTTAAGCAGCAATTTGAAAGTGAGTTTGCATGGCCACCAGGTGGATGATGATGGGTGAATGTCATCTGCCTTTTGCAGAATCTTGTGGATCAAGAATTGGGCCCTTCTGTGCTGCAACTCATCAGGGTCATCCTCAAATTTGATCTTGGAATAGTAGCAGTAAGCCCCCTGTGGCTGTGTGATCAGAGCCATCGATGGATGGATGGATCAAGATTCAAGAATGAAGTAATGAATGGATAGTACATATAATTGGGGATATAATTGATGTAATTTATAATATGATTGACGATGAATGAGGGAGGGAGGGCCCTCAGCTAAGCAGCTAATTAAGATCAATGAAGAAAAAGAAGCAGTGCATGCGTAGGACAGTTACTTATGGAGTATATTTTATTTAATTAATTAATTAAAATGAGTACAGTAGTAGGTCCTTTACTTTAATGAAGTGAAGAAAATAAAAAGTTTGTTATTGTTTGTCAACGCAGAAGCCGCGCTACACTACACTACATGCATCCCATTGTCCGAATAGCTCTCCACCACGCATCCAGATGGCTTTAATTTGCATGGATACAAAAAACATTGTCTTATCTGTCAACCTTATCATTGCTGACTGTATTGTTGTTATTTGGATTATCGTTAAAATTGATTTAAAATAAAATATTAATTTTAAATTTTTATTTGAATAGTATTTTGATATAATTAATTAATTAGTACACTGGCGGTGGAAATAATTAAATAAAAATCTCATAGGCCCAACACCATGCCTCTTCTTCTTCTGTTTTACCCATTTTGTTACCGTGCATATATAAAAACTTGTACAAAATTGACTATGCACAAGGATTATTTTATTAAAATATAAAATAAATCGTCTAAATGTGAATGAGAGGGCATAAAACTTTATTACCTGATTCATCATCACAATTAACACTTTATATTTGAAAACAAGATCTGTATGTACATCACTACATATTGTTTTGTTATCACCGGAGATAATTGTATATCCTATATGGTATAAGTTTCAGCAATGACCAACAGATCCTGAATTTAATCAAAAAGAGGAAAGAAATCAATTCAATCATAATAAATCAAGGCATTGAAAATTTTAGTAGGACATGAAAAGATCTGAGCTCCCTTTCAATTTGTGGTGATGTTGCCAACAATACCTGTTTGTAGATTCTCTGCATTAACTGTAAATTATTACGACCGTCAGCGGATGGGATGATACTGCGCCGATACTCTCTTTGGAGGTAGCTTTCGTAAAATACACAAGACTAGTGCTGAAGGGATTATCTCCACCAGCTGTTTAGTTTTGCATGAAATCGTGCTAAGAAAACACTCGGACCATATACAAAATCAAAACGATGTTCTGAGGGTGTTCAGTACCGTGTAATAGATGGCATTCAAGAGTGGATGATCCAGCACATCGAGTGATGCATTCATATCAAGCGCTGATAGCGCAACCTGTAATGCAGGCATGTATATCTCTTACTTCAGTTTGGATACGAATTGAATCGAAAAAGTGGGCAGTAAGGAGTCTTACCATGAAACATCTTATGAGAAAACATGCAAAGCATATTACAGCTACAGATCCAACCTGAAAATGCAGTCTAAGTGGTCAATACCAAATTATAAGAAACTCTTTGAATGATCTAACATCACTAACTAGTCATAAACTTGTTCGGTTTGGACAAATATAAGTAGCCACAAACCTCATGAAGTTTCTTTCTCCTTCCTTTAGATTCAATGGGGAAGCGTCTCAGCATGCAAAATAACCTGGTTTAAACTAATTAAATTCAAGGCACGCACTGGAAGAAAGCAATTTGATATAAAATTCATGAAAGATCGAACACAAATAGCAAAAATGGGAGCTTGCAAAGCTCACCTTCCTCCATAGAGGAAGAACCCTAATGCAGCTAAAAATGATACCACTGCAGCAGTAAGCAATCAAAGGAGATGAGCAAGATAAGCAGTGACATATTTGGAAAATTGAAGGAAGTAGAGAAAAGTGGAATGGGATTAACCTGCAATGAATATCTTGCCAATGAATTCTATGAGGCGGGTATCGTCAATCCATAGGTATGTCCAGATGCAAGCCTGATGCCAACACGTCTTTTCTAGTTAGATCATCTAACCAATCTAATAGCTTGTTATCTACTTATCTACAATGGCAGTGCAGCGAAATCTTTTGTTTTTTCTTCTACTTCTTTCTCTTATATAAACAGGGGAGAGAAAAGTATATTCTACATCATGTTAATGCATATGATGCATTAAAGAAACAAAGTGGAGCCACAAAAATCAACAATCAAGTACCATGGAATTGCAACAAACCTGAATGAAGTAAATTACACCATTGATAGCAATATAGAAAATCCTTAGCTTATCTGTTGGCAAACTTTTGGCCTGAAAATGGACAAAAGATGAACTTTCAGTGTTTGCTCATTAAAACAACAGCATCAACAACTCACAAGCATCTAAGATTTCACAAGCTATTCTTGAAAAGTACCGTATTTTCACTTAAAATAAGACGTTACTTTGCAGGAACTCTCGGCTTGTACCTGGTGATATATCTCGGCCCAGAAAAGAACAAGAAGTGTATATGTAGAAAAGAACAACAAGCCAGGAAGATCCAGAAGCACCAAAGTCAGAGCCTGATCCATATAAAGATAATGTAAATATTATGAATCATGGACACAAATATAGTGCAGATTTTCATACAGCATTATACTACCCTTACAAATTCTATTGCCAGAGATTTGTACAGAAAATCATATCAATAATTTTTATGTACTCTGTATGCTGACAGTTCCAATATCAGAACTGGAAAAGAATGTTTGACATTCTAAGCAAAATTAGTTAATACTGTTTGCTTATGGATTCTTCAAAAGAAAATGCTGTACCAAGTAAAATACAAAAGTTCCAGCCATACTTACCTTGAAATGCAGAAGAAATACTTGCTTATGAAATCCAAACACAACAGAGCGTACTGCAATGCAATCAGGAACTTCGATGGTTAATGAATCATAAAGAAGCATAAACAGGTAATGACTTCCAAGGGATTGTTCTTGTTACCTCCATTAACTATAAAGTTCATCAGGTGGAAAACCTTCTGAGTAGTCCATCCATACTCAGGCACCCTCAATTCAATCCTTATCAGTTGAATCTGTGCAGCACAAATTGATCAGTGCGGAGGTTTAATGCAACAATAGTTCTCAACCATATTGAAAATTTGAAGGACGCGAATATCAATCATAAGCAGACATTCATTTTTCATTTACATATCGTGACAACAGTAACTAACAGGATCGACTCACAAGGGCGACGGATGAAACGAGGGCATATACGGCACAGAGCGTGAAGAATATTCCGTCCTGCCACTCAGCCGATTCGTCGATCTCCTCCCACCAGTCCGGCAACAATCTCCCCATAACGACTCCGGCGCCAATCGCCGGAAAGCTCAGTAGCATTCTGGTCATTACAGCTAACGTACCCTCTTCCTCGCTAATAAATGGTTATCAGGTCTCACATAATAATAATAATAATAATAATAATATTAATAATAAAATTGTACACAAACAACCAGAATAGGAGATCAAATCGAAGATGGAAGAAAGATACAAAAGGGAAGATACAATGCGAAACACAAGAGAGATACACTGAGAAGAAAACAACAAACAACAATTGTATTCTAATAACAAAAATAAATCAGACAGATCAGAGACGCCATGGGAATTCCAGCCGATGAGGACGACGTTGCCTCCCTATTTATAGTCATTCAATTATCTTTCTCTTCTTTCTTTTCTCCATATATTATTGGTAATTATTACTATAAATTATTGTATGAACTTGTTAAAAAATGGAACAAAAAATTGGATGAAAAAATATAATTAAATCAACTCATTTTCCACTAATTTTATAAGTTAATGTTGGTGGATCATTCCTTTTTCTATTAAAAAATATTAAAGAATTTATATACTGATACTCAAAAGATAAAATAACAAATATATAGAATATACGTCAATAATCATACTGATCTTATTTATTATACATAGTTCGTGTAATGTTTTTATCTTAATCATCTAATTCACATTTATTTATAATATATTTGAAAAATAACAATTATAAATTTATTTTGAACATAATTCAATATAAATAATATTAATAATTAAACAATTTAATGAACTATATTAAATTCATAATTATTTTATTTTTCAAATATATTTCATACTGATATAAAAAAGAAAACAAACCAAAATTTAAGATTATTATGATAATGATGAGCAAATTAAAAATGTGTTTTATATATTAAATATTAATACTTTAAACAACAGGATCCGTGGCGCAATGGTAGCGCGTCTGACTCCAGATCAGAAGGTTGCGTGTTCGATTCACGTCGGGTTCAGTACCCCGAAATAAACGGATGTATATTTTTTTTTATTTTGCCATTTTCAACCCTTGTCATCTTTTGAATTTACGTTTTCGTCCTTCTCACTCGTTGTTTACTTCCTCCCTAAAACCCTACTTCTCTGAACTGTCTTCTCTGTTTCGAAGATCCAATGGCGTTCCGCAGCGGCTTCCGATCACTGTCGCTCCACCGCCGTCGGCTATTCTCCACTTCCATCCTCAGCCCGGATTCCAAAACCCCACTCAGTGGCATAGAGAAGTCGCGGGCGGCGCTCTCCCTCCTCCGATTCGAGAAAAATCCGGAGCGGATTCTCGATATCTGCCGCGCTGCTGCTCTCACCCCGGAGTTGAAACTTGACCGTATTGCTTATTCAGTGGCGATCTCGAAGCTGAAAGAATCGAACTACTACGAGGGCATTCGGGGGCTAATCAGGGACTCATTGGATCAACCCCATTTCACAACCGAGCGTATCGTTTCCCATTTCATTGTTCTTTATGGCCAGTGTGGTCTCGTCGATGACGCTATCAAGCTGTTCGACGAAATGCCTGCTTTAGGGATTAAGCACAGCGTGAAGGCGTTGAACAAGTTGCTGTTTGCCTGCATTTTAGCGGGAGATTACGGCTCGATGAAGCGGATTTTCTCTGAATTTCCCCGGAAATATGGATTGGATCCAGATTTGGAAACGTACAACACCCTTCTGAAGGGGTTTTCTGAGTCGGGCAGTGCGAACTCGTCGCATTCAATCTTGGCCGAGATGGACAGGAAGGGGGTGAAGCCTAATGCCACAACGCTTTCCATCGTGATTTCAGGGTTCTACAAGGAGGAGAAATTCGGCGATGCGGAAAAGATGATGGGTTTGATGAAGAAACACGGAGTGAAGCCCGGGATCGGTGTTTACAACGTTAAAATGCAGAGTTTATGCAAGCTTGGAAAATCAGCTGAGGCGAAGGCACTGTTGGACGATCTTTTGGCTAGAGGCATGAAACCCAATCGCGTGACATTTGGCCATTTGATTTACGGGTTTTGTCGGGAGGGGAATTTGGATGTTGCCAAGGCTTTGTTCGAGGAAATGAACGGCCGCAAGCTGAAGCCGGAAGCTGGGTGTTATTTTACTCTGGTTTACTATTTGTGTCAGGGGCGAGATTTCGACACAGCCCTGGAAGTATGCAAGAAATGCCTGGCTAAGAGTTGGATACCTAACATTACTACTATGAAGTTGCTTGTGAATGGGTTGACTAGCATCGGTAAGGTCGATGAGGCTAAGGAAATAATTGGGGTGGTGAAGGAGAAGTTCTCGAGGAACTCCGAGAAATGGAGTGAGATCGAGGAGGGCTTGTCGAAGTAGAATGATGAACATGGTATTAGTGATCTGTTCTTTTGATTTTCTTGTAACATGTTCCTTTTTTCCAGTGGACGGTTTTGATCATCAATATAGATTTCTGAGGATGTTGGTTTATTAGGTGCTTTAATTTCTTGGTTCATTTTAAGCTGTCCGTGAATAAATTCTGGTGCTAAACTTTATTTACAGATTCATTTGAATTTGCATAATTCTGGGAATTCCATTCTTGTTTATGGGTTTCAACGTGCCTTTATTAAATCTATATAATGCTCATATCTTTGATTCGGAAACTATTTTAAATTAAACCTTCTTTGTTGGTGATCATGGCAATCTCCAAAATCCAACGTGGTATCTTGTCATTCAAACTACCTCAGAAGTAGTTGCTCACATGATGACTGGTAACCCTCTTTCATGTTCTCCAACTTCCTATTCCAAATAATTTCCCATTTATCTGTTTGCCCATATATTTCTTTTATTTTATTTTGGTTTTTAAAATCAAATGTGCTGCCAGCATCCCAAATTCTCAATATATAATGAAGATGAGAAAAAACACCACAGTCCTGATAATCGATTCAACACCAGTGGAAATGGGGATGAAATTTCTGTGGTGCTGCGGAATGAGGAGAACTGAGTCAATGAAGAAGGGTTCTCTGAAATCTTCGAAAAGTACACTCTCAGATGATTTGCCCAGGAGTACTTCCATGATCACAGGTAAGGTCATATTTGATGGTGTGTTTAATGTAGAATTACCCAATGTGGTAATAATCTTGCATATTCTGCAGTCGGAAGCAAACAGAGAATAATAGCCGAAGATGCACTCAGGATCAGAGCTCCTGCAGAAATATTCACCTTCAGGGAGCTGGCGATTGCAACGCAGAATTTCAATCCTGATTTACTTTTGGGTGAAGGAGGATTTGGGAGGGTATACAAGGGATACATTGAGAAAACGGAACAGGCATGTTTCTCTGCCCGAAAATACTTTTTTAGAAAATTATCTTGCTGTGTCTGATCCCAAATTGTTCCCTTTCCAGGTAGTCGCTGTCAAGCAGCTTGACAGAAATGGGATTCAGGGAAACAGGGAATTCCTAGCAGAGGTCCTGACTCTCAGCATGGTTCACCATCCCAACCTTGTCAATCTAATCGGGTACTGCGCCGATGGCCAACAACGGATAGTCGTGTATGAATATTTGCCTAATGGATCTTTAGAAGATCATCTCCTTGGTAGTTCTAAGACCTAATTTTTATCCTGTTCAGACAATTTGTTGCTTGAGCATTGTAATAACAGCCTCATCTCCTTCTTGGTTTCTCTTTTTTTCTTAGATTTGCCACCGCATAAGATGGCTCTAGATTGGTACACCAGGATGAAGCTTGCACTTGGGGCAGCACGAGGGCTCGAATATCTGCATGATGGAGCGAATCCTCCTATAATATTCCGGGATTTTAAGACATCCAACATATTGTTAGATGATAAGTTCAACCCAAAGCTTTCAGATTTCGGTCTTGCTAAGTTAGGACCAACAGGGGAACAAGAACATGTCTCCACGAGGGTAATGGGAACATATGGCTACTGTGCGCCGGAGTATGCTCAGACAGGCAAGCTGACGACCAAATCTGATGTCTACAGCTTTGGAGTGGTACTTTTGGAGATCATTACAGGTAGACGAGCCATTGACAGCTCCAGACCACCTGAGGAGGAGAATCTTGTCGTATGGGTCAGTTAGTCCAAACTTTACCTCACCAATTCACTTTCCCCATCATTTAGTGCACATAATTTTGCATGAATGGTAGATCAATTCTTGAACCTGTCAACATAAAATTTGCAGGCAAAGCCACTCTTCAAGGACAAGACGAAGTTGTTGTTGATGGTGGATCCATTGCTGGAAGGGAATTACCCGGTAAAGGGGCTCTTCCAAGCCCTTGCCGTAGCAGCAATGTGCCTGCAAGATGAAGCCAGCACACGGCCCCTGATTGGAGACGTTGTCACTGCCCTTGAATACTTGGCCATCGTTACTGAATGTGACAACACTAATGAAAGAGATATGCCACTATAGAACTTCATCCTTTAGTTTTCGTAGCATAGAAAATGAATTTGTTGATTGGTGTGGAAAGTCACTGTTTAAATCAAAACAAGACTAGCAATTACATATTTTCTAAAACATTATGTGTAACATTTTTTGGTCACATAAAGGTATATTGATCTTACTATTCATGCAGCATGTTTATTCCATTATTTGTAAGTTCACTTATTTATTCATTTTTTCATTTATTTGAATGCGTCTTTTTTGTATAATTTTGTGGAGTTTCCTTGTTCTACGAGTTTGATTTTTGTCTTCCTCGAATGCACTAGTTTATTGAGATATGGTTGATTTGATTGCTGGTTGTTGCATCTAAGTTTGTTCATGTCTGTGATGTTCTTAATATGTGTTTCTTCTTTGAAATCGAAGCGTTGGCTTTTTCTCTTGTAATAGTTGTTTGCCATGCTCGATTCTTTCAATTGGCGAATGTGCCGATAAGTTCTCATTTAAAAGTTATGTTAGATGTGTTTGATTACCATATCATCTTCTCTATATGCATTATCATCACTCTGCAAGACCATTGATTATGAGCAGGAAATTCCAACCCAGCATTTCTTATGGATTCTGGTGCCTTTGCTAATGCTGGTTCGAGTAATACTTCTGCAATCTGTTGATTTCGGTTGCTATTTAAGGTACATGCTTTTTTTGTGTTTGCATTTTACCTACTCTAAATTGGTCTAAATTTTCACCTTTATTCTGTATATTGTGTTGATGATGAACTAATTTCACCTATGCGCAGTGTGTGTGTAATATCAAGTACCAACAGTTTCCCTCTTAAATTCCTTAGGACATGTGATAAATTTGGCTGGTGGATCATAATTTCTTGCCAGAGTAAACACAACCATCCCTTTAAATGACACTACTTACCACAGCCAGCCCTTTGAATTTCATCTTTGATGTGATGTCAAATTTTATGGATAAAGATAAAGAAGTAAAAAAGATTGAAATAAGCAATTGCCAACTATGAATGGAAACCAAGTCAATTCAAACTAAAATTAACTAACACAAATAAAACACATCACAGAATCATCCGACAACATACAATGTTGTTGCCCTTTCCAATTCGTTTCTTGATTTCTTCATCATCATCATCATTGTCTATGTCTTGCTAACAAACCCCTCCTCCTCGCACAAGACTGCTCCTTTGATCCTTTCCACAGTGCACTTAATGAGGCTGTTAACAGTTGCCACTGATCCCAAAGACAGTTTCGCCGTCGGAACTGAATCCACCAGTATCTGAAACGCCACCGTCAGCAACGATCCACTCGTCGACGAGTCGCTGTTACTCCCGTCGGGAAGTATGGCGAACCCCGACGGAAGCAGGGCGACGTAGTCGGGGTCTCCACCGCTCAGGACAACGTTCATCGACACAATGTCCACCGGGGCGTAGACAACATAGGACCCTGTCGAATCCGTGCAGCTCTCCTGGAGAATCAGCATATTGCTCTGGCTTGAATTCGCACTCTGCACCCAAATTAACTTCCCAAATCAATTCAACAACCTAATCCAGTCCAGGACAATAATCATTAACCAAAATCGATAAAAAAAAATACCCACATTGACGCGCAGCAACGACACCGCGTTGCCTGGATCACGGCCGTTGGCAATGTGCGCCATTTCTTGAACAAGGCCGCCATTGGAAAGAATGTCCCACTGCAATTACAACAATATGTAACAATGTTCGAACTTTGTCATTGCCTAAGGAAGAATCAGCTCATACGTACCTCATTTCTCGAATTCTCGTCGCGAAGGAAATCGAAGACCTGATGAGGTGGAACCGGAAGCCAGAACGAAGTCGCGGCGCTGAGGACGATCCCGGGAGGCCTCCCTGGATCGTCCATGCTCTTTCTGGTCATGACACGGACGTCGTCCGCGCCGCTCCCCGAAAGCGTCGTCCATGTGTGTCCCGTCGATGCCCCGACGCCGGTGCAGAAGCTCATCACCATCCTTTCCGCCAGCTTCAACATGCTTTTTCTACCTTCCGGAGACGATATCACTGCACCGTGCATCGACAAACATAACTTAACTCAGATAAGGAGAAAGCTCGAGTAAGTTAACTTGCATTGCATACCTCCGATGTCTCCGGCTGAAATGTTGTTCGCCATTACGCTAGCCAAGCGTTCGCATTGCCTGTCCAGCGTCGCCACCCAACGCCTCGCCCCGAACGCGAGCCCTGAATTGATCAGCGGCTTGTAGATAGAGTGCACGCCGCGATCGTCGATCTCCACATGTTCGACCCATGTAACCTTGGAGTAACCGTTGGGAAGTTCTTGAATCAGACAGCCGGACGGCCTTCGCCGGCATTTCGATATGGCAGAAGGCCGGAGGCTGTCCAAAGATACGTCGACAACCGCCCACATCCCATCGCCGTGCTGTTTGCAGTACCTTACGAAGTAGTTCTCCCGAGTCGGCGCTAACGGAGAAGGAACTTGGAACTCAGAAGTCATCTGCAGCCATTGCAAAGAAGGTATTATATATCATCATATTACTAAAATCCCCTGTTTTTCTATCTGCAATGTTCGATTACCACTTGCAGTGCTCCATTGTAGTTTCCGGCGACGCCGGTCGACAAAACTTCAACAGTCATTGCTTTCGAAACAATGCTGGAGAACACACTCGACCATTGATCCTGCGACAGCGCAAAAACAAACAATCGATCAAAGTTCCACATAAAACAGGGGAATTGAGAAGCCTTGATGCTTACCACATCCATCAGTATCTCCACCAGGTTGATGTGGTTCATGATCACGACAGCCGACTCCCGGGAGGCTTCCGATTTCAGTCCCAACGGCTTCGGCCCAATCCCGCGAGGAAATGTTCGGACATACTCCTCCTCATTCAATGCTTCACCGGCTGAATTACTTTTAGCTCCGGGAATCCACAGAGGCTCTTTAGCTTGAGCCATCCTGATCAGCTCCTCCATGGCTGCAACTGCCAGCTCGATGATCACCGGCTTGTCGGCATCGCTCGGGCCCGACACTGACCTTAGAAGATCAGATGAAGCTCCGTAAACGTCCTCTGGCGGCGGCACAAAGTTTCCGACACCAAGATCGAGAGTTCGGGAAGCTCCTCCCTGAGAGAGATGGGGATATGACAGCAATGGCTTCCCGACATACTTGGCAGCTATCCCGGATATCTTATCAATCTGCCATGGCCATGATTAATTAAGGATACATACTTTGAAGTATCTTAGGTTGTAAGTGTAGGTACCTCTTCTCTTAAACGAGCATTTTCGATTCGAAGATGCTGCTCGTCGAAGGACATCTCGCCGAGGGAGGCAGGTCCGCCGCAGTTGGGGCAAGCGGCATTGCCGAGAGCTTCTTTGTAGCGTATGTTCTCTGCGCGCAGCTTGTCGTTCTCGTTTCTCAGTTGGGTGTTTTCATGGCGTTCGTGTTGAGCCTGGAATTGAATGTATGTGTGAATTTAAGGACGCAATAAATTAAGTAAACCTGGAATGTAGTTGATGAATGAATCAAATCATTGACCTTCATTTGGGTGCGTTTGTTTTGGAACCAAAATTTAATCTGCAAGGGCTCCAATCCGAGACGGCGGCCAAGATCCTTTCTTTGTTTGTCGTCGGGGTGAGGGCATTCCTTGAAAAACCTAGAAATTGAAGATGAAATCGATCGATTAATTAGAGTAATGGGAGATAGATATATAGTGAATGGATGGATATGGGCATTGGGCATACGATTCCATTTCCTGAATCTGATGCTGAGTGTGGCGATGGTAGCGTTTCTTCTTGGGTCTTTGATTAGGGTCTTCTTGATCTTGATCATGATCATCGTCGTCGCCGGAGGGGGGTTCCATTAGCTCAGCTGTACCAGATTTGGTGTCGTGGTCGTCGTCTCTAATGAAGCTGTCCATCTCGTTCTCCAGGCTCTTCTGCACCATGTCCAGCAGGTGGTGGTGCTGCTGCTGGCTGTCGAACACGTCTGGGTGAAACATATTCTTCTGCTGGTTGTTCATCATTCATCCACTCCACTCCACTTCTGTTTAATTTGCATTATACATGAAATACAGTTGATCGATCTGGAAATTTGAGGAACCAATAATATATATATATATATACATTCAAAGCAGAAATAATCTCAATAAATAATAATAGTAATAGTAATATTGCTGAACCTGGAGAAAAACAATTAATGATTGACCTGTCGAGGCTTTAATCATACAAGAGGAAAAAAAAGAAAAAAAGAAAGTGATCTAAACCCCGGTAAGAAAGTATTATCAATGAGTGAAAAAGCTATAGAGAGAGAGAGAGAGAGAGAGAGAGAACTGCATCTATATAATAAAGGTGGGAACAGTGGTTGACATAGAGGGGTTGGTAAGCATGAGATGCCCCTATTTATTATTTCAAATTTATTTATGACGTACAGCTGAGCTGCTGCTATTATTATAATTTTATCTATCGTCGTAACAACAGAACAGGAAAATTAAAATCGAGACATATACCAATACCAGTACGTACCAAACCTGCAGACAACCAAGGCAAGGATATTGAAGAATTATTAACAAACTCGATCGAGGATATATACCTATTGTAGAACTAGAATCAAGTGATAGTAACAATGTTATATATATATATATGTGTGTAAGAGAAACCCTAAGATGCTGCAGGTGTGGTTGTACACTGGGAATTAGGGTTTGATGAGGAAGGTGGTGGAAGAAGTATTTGACATTCGAATTTGAAAGAGAAGCAGCAGAGATTTGCAGTGCGTTTCTTGTGAAGAGAATTAATTATGAAAATTGAAGATGAAGATGAAAGAGAAAGCATTGAAGGCGAGGAAATCGAGGAGGAGGTGGGTGAGTGGTGATGGAGGATGGAGAGGGAAAGAACACATCCAGAGAGAGAGAGAGGAGAGAGAGAGAGACGATGATGATGAAAGAAGATGTGGCATGTAGCAGCAGCAGCAGCAGCAAATGGGGACTCAGTAATTGCGGAGGGTATCAGAGGTTGCCATTGCATTAATGGCGGACTCAAGAACCCAAGCTACCTAGCTCATTAAGAGAGACAGAAAACAGAGAGAGAGAGAGATATGGAGATGGGGGGAGGTTGGGGGGTGGGGGGGTTTTATCTTTTATGGGAGTTTGGTATCCATCTTTAAATTCAATGTCGTCCATACTAACAAACAAACAAACCAGATATATATACATATACATACACATACATCTATATATATATATATATATGCATGCCCTCAATTCAATTCAATGGCATTTGAATTCTTAATTAGCTCCAATTGAAATATACATATATATTAATCAATATTTTATTAATCAATATTTATTTACATATATATATATATCACAAACTAACTAGTAGCTGCTGTAATTCACTTTCACTTTCTCATCATATATAGTTTTGCATGCATATTAAAATATTTGACATTTTTTTGCCATCAATTTATAACCCTAATCTTTCAATGAATGTATAATTTAGGACATGTCCATATTTATAAGAGGATGACGTCAAACTTAAATACTATAACAATTAGTTACAATATATATAAATATAAGTTTTACCACATGTAACAGAAGATTGATCGTAGGCACATAATATAAATGTATGCTCACAGTTTAATGGTGTGAATATTTTGTTGAAAAGAAAATTTATTGCATGAATCAATATTGTGATGTGCTATATTTGTAATATGACAATATAATTCATGTGATGTATGTCTATATATCATACATTGATTGTACCTATATTATCTGTGTAAGTATATCACATATTGTCAATTTATGTAATGTCTTTATATTATGTTACATAATTTATATATTATTCGTCTCTATACTATTAGTTTATATTATATATTGTATTTTTATTATGTTAATATTATTCGTAGGTTGAATGTATATTATTATCTGACATCAATGTGCTGAATTATAAAATAAAATTAATGACAGTAATAAATGTCCTAATTAAAACCATAAGGTTGAGATTGAGATGATTGACATATTTTTTCTCTCACTACACACTCTCAAAACCATCACAACATCTCTCTCACTCCACACTTATCTATAAAGTCACATTGTTTTGCATGTAAAACAAAATTAATTAAAACCCTTTGCACATAAATGAAATAATGTATTCCTGTATAATTCTGATGCAATTTGACCACAAAAAACATATTGCTCACCAATCTAGAAAGTGTAAGACAAGCACTGTGGTTGTCAGCCTGTTGCAGCAACTTGATAAGACAAGTTACTCTAAATGAAAACTATAAAAGACAGCAGTAAAAAAGCAGAAAGACCATATGCCAAAATAAATTGGGATTCCAACATTCTACTCCTTTTTGGTATATGAGACTTAGCTCAATGTGCAGGAGAATCACTCCCACACCAAACCAATCAATCCAATAATTCAGAAAGTAAGTTCATCAATTTGTTACAAACCAAAATAAAACATAGGCTACAAGCAGCCTTTCGAATGAAATGGTTATTATGATAACATCGTGGACACAACCACATAAAAGTTAATTAACAGAAGTTGCAGCAAATCACCAGGTCTCCCCTTACTGTGCACATCTCTCGCCCTCAAAGAGCATATGCCAAAAAGATCAATGTCCTTAAAAAACATCCTCAATTGCTGAGAAATGGTTGCACACCAGCAACTCTTCAAGCAACAACATCAACAATGGATTGTGAAATGAACACTTACCCCTCTATTAAAATAAGCACAAAATTTGGTTCTCGACGTTGCTCAATCAACTTTATTTCAATATTACTTCTTTTTGGATTTTCAAAAAAAATCTTTCCAAATTATTTTCATTCTCCAATATTCACCACGAATATTTCAACTACCATAAATATATTAGAGAATTTATTAAGTTCATGCATGCAAAATCAAGTAGGGTAGGAATGCATACCCAAATGACATCGAAACTTTTCAAACTGATTCGCATCCAACGCCTTTTGATTTTCCTTGGGCATCCACACCAATCTGACTTTAACAATCTGCTTCAGTCCTTCCGTAGGCCATCAAATGTTTCTTCCATTCATTATATCGTTTGCTAATCGAAAACATTTTTCAGCTGCATGAACAAGACATTTGCAATATCCACAGTCGTTACGTCGTGATGACGACGATTTATCACTCTCTGTTCTTCTGCAATTTTTCTCCCAATTTTTGTTTCTATTTTTCTTTGAGTTCTATTTCTTAGCCGGTGTTGATTGCTTCTTTGGAAGTTTGACATCAGCCAGTAGACCAACATGCACAAATGTAATTGGTTTGCTTTGTGATGATTCACAAAAACCTATTCATCGGTAATGTTCGAAAGGTTTTCCAATCGAAAGAACTTCGTCCAATTTTTCTTTTCCTTTCCGAAGACGATCATTCTCATCTTTTAGCTTCAGATTTTTAAGTTGATTTAGTAGCAACATCCTTCTTCAGAATTTCGATCTCATTTTCCAATTTCTCATTCTGAGCTTCCAGTCGGTAAATGGTATCAAGTAGCTCTTTGTTCTTCACCACAGATTTTTTTTGTTTTACCACTATCTTCTCATAGGCTCCAATCAACTCATCTGCGTCAATTCTCTTGACTCTTTAACAGAGACATCATTTTCTTTACTACTTTCTTCAACATCAGCCATGAAAGCCACAACTTTATCCTTTTCAGTGTGCTTTTCAACAAATACAGTTTCCTCTTCATTATTATCACTCAATATTGCTTGATATGCTCTTTTCTCTCTTTTCTTCAATGTCGGACATTCAGACTTAATATGATCAATTCCTCCATATCCATAGCATGTTAGCTCTTGGACAGATTCAGGCTTAGCAAACACAGTAAAATTCTTCTTGAATACACCATCAAACTTCTCTTTGGGCTTGCTGTAATTTGATGATTTCTGCTCAGGGCATTTTCGTTGTGCACTGGGCGTATTCACTGTCTAATACCCACCACGATTCTAAAGCGTCCCATATTTCATCTTTGCTACACGTTTCTCACTAATCATCCTCGAAAAGTTTCTGCTCAACAACGACATCTTCTCGTCTAAAATCAGTTGCATGTCATCCACACTCCAATAGTTTGTTCCATCGAATAAAGGACGTCAAGAGGTTGAACCACCTTCTTTGCTCATTTTCGCAACTGTGAACGGATCTACTCAACGATTCAGAGAACACTACTCTGATACCAGATGTTGGAAAAGTGATTTATCAAACAAAACACATTCGAACACTTTAAAGGGCCAACTCTCAAAGCGTGGGCGGTTTACAGTTATAACAACGTTTTAACAACAAAAGACAATGCAGAACATAAAACAACAATGAGATAAGGTGTTTGTTTATCTGGTTCGGATTTAAACAATCCTACATCCGGGGGATACTAATCCAGGAGATGTTCACTAATCAGTACTGATTAAGAACAAAGACAACCACAACTTCTTCAACTCATCCTCCTAACATGGTTTACCTTGGAAATTTCCTCCACAGGTTTATGTTGTCACAAACTCGTGCTGACAACGACCACGGAGCAGAGCTGCTCAGAATTTGGACGTCTCCCCTTATCGGAACTCCGATTTCTCCTTCCTCCGACGAGGTCTCTGGCAAAATAAAAGTGTATAGCACTCACTCAATACATGGAGAAGAGAAAGGTTGTGGTTGAGAGGATTGATACACTTTTTCTCTCACTACACACACTCTCAAAACCACCACAATAACCAACTCTCACTCCACACTTATCTATAAAGTCATATTGTTGTGCATGTAAGACAAAATCAATTAAAACTCTTTGCACGTAAATAGAATAATGTATTCCTGCATAATTCTGATGCAATTTGATCACCCAAAACATCCATTCATTTGTCTTGTGTGCTCACCAATGGAGAGAGTGTAAGACAAACAATGTTGTTGTAGCATGTTGCAGCATCTTGGTAAGACAAGTTATTCCAAATGAAAACTATAAAAGGCGGTAGAAAAGCAGAAAAGCCATATGCCAAAATAAATTGGGTTCCAACAATATTTGAAGTTGATTTGTCAAAGTCGAAGTTAATTAACAAAAAACTCACAAGAATATATATATGTGTGTAAATAAAAAAACGAACAAACAAAGATTGATTAGGTGATTTAGTTATGAAAATGGGAGAGAAAATTTGGTGTTTGGAAGTAAAGTATTTAATGAATCTGGTAAAGTATTTAGTGTTTTGGGGATGGTATTTATATCACACACAATTATGAGGGACCATTTTAATTTATTTCTCAAGACTCCACTTAATTATCTATATATGTGTAGGCATCTGCATTTATTGAATATCCAACACAAGTAATATTCATTTCAATTCACACTATTAATTCTTGTCTTATGTAATGATACGTGATAGCAACACCATTTTTAATTTAATCACTATCTTAAATTAATTATAATTTTAAAAAATTAAAAAAAAATTGTGTCACTCTCAATGTCGTGCGCCCGTACATATATATATATATACTTTGAATGTCGATGGTAACCCCATTTACATAGTAGTTTTAGAGTTTAAAAAAATAAATTAAAATAGCTAATAAAAATTAGGTATTTAATATGATATTTTGTTGATAAAAAAGAAGTTATTTAATGTAACTGTTGATGAATATATTTCTTTATCAAATTAAGTACTAATTATTGATTTGTTTAATTATTTTCTATCCAATCAAACATATCATAAAAGGCCCATCAAAATAAAATCATTATCTCAAAGGCCCATCAAAACGGCCCAATATAATGTCCATTCATTGAACATAGGCCCAATAAAAGAACAAAAAAAAAAAAAAAAAAAAAAAGCGCCAATTTACCTCCCTAACATCCATTTAAATTATTAAATCACCAATATACATCATAACAATTCCTCGTACAACGTTAGCAAATTCTTTACAATGTCCTCACAACCTTAAATAAGAGAAGAAATCACCAAAAGATTTCATTAGCACACCATTGAGATAAAAGGGTTCTCTAATTCTACGATGAAACTTGGATGTCGGTCGTCTTGCCTCCGTTCTCCATGAAACCCAACTTAGACTTGGCTCCACGCGCCGATGATGACCACAACGAAGAGGAAACATAAGAGGTCGACTTCGATTTCAGCTTCCTCTTTTGCTTTTTCTTCATGTTTGGGAGCTCGGGCAATGCCGGTGAATCCTTGCAAGTTTCGGGTTGTTCAGGGGATGGCTGTCTCATGGATTCACTAAAATCTATCGAGACATTAGGACACAAAAATTTGATCAAGAAATGTTGAATAGTGTTAGTGAGAAAAATTATGACATTGGGACACAAAAATTTGATAAGAAATGTTGAATAGTGGTAGTGAAAAAAGTTATCACATGAGTAAATAAAAGATTCCTAATGTTTTGGGACAAGGAATCTATTCGACGTTAGGACATATTCAACCCGTGACACAAGACATAACAAAATCAAAATATTTTTATTAATTAAATGTGTAACTTCAGTGAATATTATTATTTACCATTTTATTATGGGATTTGAAAAAACCTACTACACATTTTGCCATATGATCACCTAATAATGAGATAGGTCTAGCTAGCTGCTGTCCCTAGTTGTACCATGTGGCATGGTGAGGACATTCTTGGGGACTCCCGGAGCACGAGATCCTGAGAGTAGGAATCCATATTTGGATGCAGTCTGGAGCCGGGATCCCGGGAGTCCACAAGAAACACAAGTGAAAAACATCTAATCTATTTGGACTGTTTCCGACATGATTCTGCTGAGCCTCGAGGGGAATAAGAACTTGTCATCTTTGACTAGCCAATGATACAAGAAAACAAACTAATATGCTAAAAATTGAGAGAAATTGCAGCAAAAAAACCGACCTTGTGAGGACCATGGATAAGGGCCAGAGAAAGAATTCCCGTTAATTGATGTTGCTGCAAAATCTGGGCCTGTCTTGAATTCATTCATCTATGTTGTTTACAGACAGACAAACAGAAGAAAACGAAGAAGAAGAAGAAGAAGAAGAAGAAAAGCTTTGATCAGTTAGTTAGTACTCCCTCCTCCATTGATGAGGAAAAAACGAGAGGAAAGATGTAGACATACCCAGCTGGGGGCTGAATTCCCAGAAGAGCCGCCATGGCCATCCCACCCAATGTGAGCCAAATGCTTGACATCTGTCGGGTGCCCAATCTGCATCTCACGCTCCTCTGCCTTCATCACTACAACAACAACAACAACATTGGACCAATTTCTCCATTCAGACATTGTAGATATATATGTTAAAACCAGTGTCGAGATTTGGGATTGAAGAGGTTTTTGAAGGGCGTCGGCGTACCGAATATTTGAGACAGGGTGTATTTGAAGCCCTTGTAGATCCCTTTCATTCTCGTTCCCATTTTCGAATTAGGGTTCCCAGATGTAGAATCTGAATCCGAATCAGCCTCCCTTCCTTCCTTATTTGCCGGAAAGCTGTCTCCTTTTTTCCCTAATTTAAGTGGGAACTTACTGCAAGTTTGTATGGAGATTCAACACAGAGGCTTCTTCCCCATTGCTGCATAAGAAAAGCATTCATGCAAATCCAACTTCAGTCCACCAAACAAATCAAAGGATTCCCCAAATAAAAAGCTTAGAAATCCAAGATAATGCCTAAAGTTTGGGAGTTGAGAAAACTGACGAACAGAAGAAGAAGAAGAAGAAGAAGAAGAAGAAGAGGAGGAGGAAGAAGCAGAGAGAGAGAGAGAGAGAAATGTCCTGAAAATAGGAGTGGGATTGGATTTGATATCAAGGGCAGGACAAAGACACACCTGTACAGTGTATACTTGGTCATAAAGAATGTAAGGGAAATGGATAAACAGGTATAATAAACCACAGTAGCAAGAAAAGTATTTTTCCCCAATTCTTTAATTCCTATTTATAAAAAACCAACATTCACAACCCTAATTTTTCTCAACATTGACATGTATCCCAACTGTCAGAAATCAAACACACACACACACACACACACATTTTTATATATACATATATGTTTCTAGGGTTCATGGTCATCCATCATTTTCCTGCACAGAATCTTTTCTGATATCCTGCTTACTTTTATTATTCTATAACGGGAGTTTGGCTTCCATGCGTACATCATCATTTAGTTTACAGAATCATTCCCATTCCTCTTTTATTGCTACATCTATGTCAATCATTGCCAGTTATGCAGCAGCTTCTTCTATGAGGATGAATATGAAAATGAATATATATCCTTGCCAGTTATGCACCTCAATTTACTAAGTTCTACATTCATTGTTGTGACCACGTTCTGGGGTGGGGTGGGGTGAGGTCATTTGCAGGAGCAGCAGGACTGCATCTACAACATTCTTTAAGCTACGCCTATCAATTTATATATGATTTTCTCTATTAGCTGGAGCAACCTGTTTCAGTGAATTTAATTTGTAAATCAAGTTTATATATACACACTTACATACACACAAGCAATCTATTTATGGGCACAAGGAGAAAAGGATGGTTTAAATGCCAGATTAAAATACAGACATCAAACATAGCCGGAAAGCTCTGTGAAAAAGTCGACTACTTCATCAATACTTGTAAAATAGAAACTTGTATAAGGAATGAAACTGAAATCAGCCATGAAAACAAAGACAACTTAGCTTGCAATAGGTGTTGCATTAGGGGTTCATCAAGAAATAGTTATCAAGTGTTCAAGTCAATCTTCGTCTAACAAAACAGACACACAGACTCTAAAGAAGCTAAAGCATTAACCAGTCTGGAATTAGGTCTAGCTGTATTATCACAAGCTCATGTTTCTAGTTTCTACAATCTCAATCTGCACAATTGAAACACATCTCATAAACTGCAATAATATTGTATTTTAGCATTAATCAAATGCCTGGATTCTCAAGCTCCTACACTTTATTCATGGAAAATTGTTTAAACTGAGCAATAGCCCTACATATTCACAAACAAAGCATTCTTCGTCTAACCAGACAATGAAATAGAGCAGGAATATCTATTTACATAAAACAAACTAGAGATGAATGTATGGAAACACACTTAAGGCTATCCTCATTTAACCACATAACTTGATGAAACCAGACAAAAACAATTACTCAGGAGTCACCATTACATAACAACAGTGGGACGTATAGCCACATTCAAGACATATCCTCTTGAATTATAATGAACACAAAAGTAGGGAAACACAAGATCCACACAACAACAACACATTGTAGCGTGTAACTATATATCCGTCGACAATGAAAACATCCTTAGAAGCTACTTATGTTAACTTATCCAACACATTCAGCTTGCACCAAACTCACATAGATACATAAATGGCTGCATTATCTCATCACCATCACTACCAGCTAGAAGGCCAGTAGCCATGAATGCCATACCCTGTTTTCCAGTTATCCAAAAGAATCACCTTCCTCACTGCCCAGAATGATACAGCCAGCACAAAAAACATCAGCAATCTCTGCGCAGTCCTGTTTCTCACTCTAACCAGAACATGAGTGGCAAACGCCAGCAAGCACCCCACAATTGTGTACAAGAAACCAATGGCAAAACCCTCGGCTCCTAATTGCATACCCGAACCATGGTAAAAGTAAACCAACTTCGCTGGATCTTGCCTGTCCGCCATGAACATTGGCATTTTCCGAATTATGTTAAACATTGCACCGGAGACACTGAAGAAGTAGACGAAAATCGCCCCCGCCATCCACACATTCTTATCGTGGAAAATGGTGTTGCCGGAAACCAATTTTTTTAAGAAAAATGGAGTCCAGATTAACGCTACTGCGATAATGAATATGATCTGCTTCTTGGAGATAATAGGGGGGCGATTGATTGGGCCCACGGAGAACTTAGTCCTGGACTCGATGAACTCCGACATGGATTCAGCCATTCTCGAAAAATCGGAGGCCGCCATTTGGATGGACTCCGTCTTGACATCAGAGGCGGTGGGCGGAATCAAGCGAATGTGTGGAAGAGAATTGACTCCGAACAAAGCGAATGAGGCCTGCGATTCCTCGAATTCGATTTCGAAGAAGAAGAGCTGGGATCTTTGGTTAGGGTTGTTGGATTGGAAAGAGGAGGAGACGAGGGAGAATTCGGATTTGAGAGCCGGGAGGGACAATTCCGCTTTCGAATGGAGCTGCTTAGCATCGAAGAAGATAAGAGAGTGGAAGGGACGCGGAGTGGGGACTGAGAGGATCCGTCGGAGGAGTGCGTCGGTGAGGTGGATGACTCCGGTGGGGGACTCCGATTGGCGGGAGGAGAGCTCGGCGACAACGGAATCGGAGGAAAGTGGCGTTGCTTGAGGAGGGAATAGGAGAAGACTTGCAATGACTAGAAAGCCGGCGAAGATCGGAGTCGGAGAGATCGCCATCGGCGGCGGCGGCGGCAACTTTGGTGTGATTCTTTTTTTTTTTTAATTTTTAATTTTGACCGCGGCAAGTTTTGGTAGTTCAGATCTGGATCTAGCTGGGTCAAATGGGCGCTGACTAGGGTTTATTACGTGGTCACTCCAATTATGTAACGCCACGTGGATTATGGGACACGTGTATTTTCGTTTCTCCTACTTCTCTCAGTCAAGTCAAATGATTCGGACAAATAAGTGTGTTTGTTTGTTTGGAGATTTCTATTTTTCAACTAAATTTTCTTTAAAAATTATTCAATCAAAATATTCATTTTATTTATTTTTCTAATTTAATAGTACTAAATATAGGAGTATGAAAGAACTTTAAAAAATACACAAATAGTTCATTCCATTCCAGTTATCATTTGTCGAATTGGTCCAATGTCCAAATATTACACACACACACATAAAGGACGGAAGAAGTGCTCCTTAAAGCCCATGGGCCATGGGACAGACCGATCGGCCCGAACCGGGACTCCTATTTTATTATTACTAGTCGAATCTGGATATTATATTATCTTTATTTGATATTTTTATATAATGCATATTAATAAATATTTTTAAAATATACATATTTATATATTTGATATAATTATTAAACAATTAAAGTATATTATTGCTAAGCATAAAAACTGTTTAAATAAATAAGCACATTCTTTTTTTCTTTTTTTAATTTTCATATTAAGCAACTTTTAATATTTCATGTATTGCCGATTATAATTTGTTGATTGACTATGAATTTTACTAAATTTATAATGAATGCATAATCATGACTAATAAATATCCATTATTATTTTTATTTATTTTTTCTCTTTAATCAGATATCCATATTCGTATAATATTTTACTTTTTGCATTATATTTCCGTATTTTTAATTGGACACACAAGTTTAAAATATCAATATTGCTTAAATATAGAATACGAGCTACTTAAACATTCCAAATATTTAAGAGATTGAATATTTTGATAGTCTTATTTGCAACAAAATTTGCGTGAGGATTATTACATAGTAATAAATATTTTTGTTGGAATGAAATATTTTTGAAATAATAGATATAAATTATTACATAGTAATTTGATAATTTTTAATAATTAACAACAATTGTTAATGTTTTTTTAGAAAAATCATATACTAAAAAAACACAAACTACCTAGAAATAATATATAATACTTTCTCTATATGTGAAAATTAGTTACATTTACTTTGTAAAATAAAAAGAAAATGTAACTAATTTTTGCAAATGGAGAGGGAATACAATTCTCATCCCTCATTTCATTTTATTTCCATTTTTTTAATATTTCCTGAGAAAATATTTTTATTTAGTAAAATGTGTATTCTTTTTTATATTTTTGTAAAAAAAAAGTAAATGTCCCTATTAAAACTTAATGTGGAAAATATGATAGTACTTTTTTTTTTTTTTTTTTTTTTTTACGATGGGAAACATATATATTAGTATGTCACATATATTTTATTTTAAAAAATAACAAGTCATCCCATGGTGAATTGTATACATACATTCAGAACACAACACACAAAAAAATATATACATACATCTCTATCATTTTCTTTAATTAATGATTAATGATCAGACCCCACAAAATCATGTGGCAATGTGCGACTCTTTCAATGTTGGATTCATCATGTACCCACAATATTTTATTTTATTTTTTAATATCATATAAACATATATATATATATATATAACATATTTGACACCACCAATCCCACTTTCTACCAATTTTTCTTACACCGAAAGGAATATATAAAAATTAAATTCTAATGTAGGTTAAAACATTTATATATATATATAATTCAACATTTTTTTTTCTCATTTAATTAATATATAAACATCAAATAGATTTATAATTACATAGTCCACTATCTTTATGCTTCAACCCAATTAGATTATAGATTAATGACTAGTAATCTTTTACACATATATATATATATTATATGGAAATAAAATGAGCACATTCTGCAAACTTTATATATACAGAGTACAGAAAGTATAGATACACACACACTAATAGCTTTTTTATCTGTCCAACGTTTGGAAAATGTCCTTTCCTATTTTTGGAAGTGCCACCATTTACAGAATTCGAGGCACAAATTTAGACACATTTTATTGAAGAAGATATTTTGGAAAAAGAATATATATATATATATATTATTGTTATTATTAAAAAAAAAAATGATTTTAGAGCCCACAAAATCATGTGGCAATTTGTGTCACTTTTTAGTGCAGGATTCATGTACCGACATATAATTGTGTTGATTGACCCCTCATACACTTGTCGTCTTCTTATTAGGTAAATGCCACGACCTTGCTCCTATTAATTTCATTCTCTAATAAAGTTTATAATTTTGATCGGACATAAATATAAATAAAAATAAATTTTAAGATTTATTTCTTTATTCTAACTTGTAATTTTAAAAATCTATCAACCTAATATAGCAATGTGTGTGCATGGGAATCCCATGCCATGCCGACATGGAGTAGTCGACCTTGCCGTTATTACAGTTGGCCCTACCATTCCATGCATCCTATTTTAATTAATTAATTAATTAATCTATCATCATGTGCCCTGCCCTGTTCTTCTATTTCAATTATGATATAAATATATATATATATATATATATATCAATACACATACACTAGTACTACTACTACTACTACTCCTCCTCCTCCAATCCATTAAATATCTCACACACCTGGAAAAACCACAGCCAAATGTATTCATCTCCACTTGTTTCAATTTCCACCTAGCCTTTTCTAATACTACTACATTAATTAATTAATTAATTAATTAAATTGTACTAGCTGCTGCTACTGGTCGACATTATTAATTATAAATACCAATTTAATTAGCACAGATCGATCAGCAAGAAAGTCCAATCTATAGATGATGATTTTGCAGAAACATTTCTGAACCATAGTCCTATTTAAAGTTGACTTATTACCAATTGTAATGAGGACTAAAAATAGTTAAGAGAGAAGCCAACCCGTGACTAAATAGCATTTTCCTCCTTATTAAAACAAAGTTAATTAAAAGTCATACCTCTGATCCTTTTTTTTTTTTTTTTATTTCATATATATTATAAGAATCCACAATTGTGGAGGCGCTAGTCATGTATAGCAAGCAAGATATGAAGGAACTTAGCTGTGTTTGTTATAGAAAATTGACATGAGATAAATAATTTTTTTTTTTTATTTTTTATTTCTCTTATTTATTTAAGTTAGAAAAATAAAAGTTAAAAAATAAATCATTTTTATTATTTCATTTCTTTCCTATATCCAAAAAAATTGTTTTAAATGAAGGTTACATTATTGTTATTATTATTTTATATTATTTAATTTTTATAATTTTTAAAAAATTATATTATTTCAATTTTTATTATTCAAAAATTTAAATTTTATGATTTTTGAAAAAATGTACTAACATATAATCTTACAAAATATAATATATAATTTATAATTTTTTGCTAAGAAATCACTATAAATATTTTTTCATTAATTTTCACTTGTTAAAGTTCCCTTGTCAGATTAATCATTTATTCTCATTCGATCTGCGTTTGTTTTTACATTTCTCAACTGAATCGTTTATTTTATCAAACAATAAAATTAATTTTCATTCCCTATTCAATTCATTTTCTCTCTAATTTCGTTATCTATTTTTATTTCTCAGCCATTCGAATCTCTCCACCAAACTCCCCTTATGACTCTCTAGGGTCACGAATTTATCCTACACACTATTAAGCATCCTATAGCTGGTCCTTTTACTTGGCCTGAATAATGATTGGAGGTAAAAGTTAAAACATGGTAATGATGATTGCCCAAAAAAAGGAGAAATAATAGTAAATGAGTTATTGGCAAATGAGGAAACTTCAGGGTAGAGAGAGAGAGAGAGAGAGAGAGAGAGACCACTTGCATAATTAACCCATCATCATTCATCAGCACCATGCATAGTTGCATGGGGGGATGGGATGAGTGATTGTTCCATGAGCCGCGTGGTCATCTCTTCTCCTCTCCTCTCCTCTTCCCTCATATACATATAGACACACACACACACATATATATATATATATCTCATCTCATCTCCACCATGCATCTATTCACTTCTGCTTCTCTATAAATTAAATATCTCCCTTAGCTTATATATATCACACTCTCCTAGATCTTCTTCTCCATCCATATACCCTAGCTACCTACTTTTTCATATCTGAGTAGTAAGTCATATACTATATGACAATGCAACTTGATAATATGCATGCTGCAGGTTAATCTTAAATATGGTGACTTCTGAAAGCAAGCTAATGTGTGTTTCCAAATGCAGGATCGATAAAGGCATCAACAGCTAGCTAGCTAGCTAGCTACCTACCTACCAATCTATAACAGAAGAAGATTGAAATCGTACTGAGCAGATATGGTGGTGTCTGTCAACGATTCAGAGCATCTCACCCAAGTAAGCTCTATTTCTTGTAAATCTAAAACATAAGAGGGAGAGACAATTCTCAAATGCTGCATGTGCACCAAGTTTCTCGTTCTACGTTCGTTGCCCCATACAACTTTTATTCTTTGTCGAGTACAACTTCTGAAACGTGGGTTGTTTTGGGGGGCAAAAGTACGTACGTATGTGTCATATATATACACCAATGTCAAAACATATTCATCATTCTGACCATAAGTATGTTTATACTACTCTACTAGTATAAAATAAATATACAGTGTAGCCTTGATTCTGTCACCTTTATTTCGTCATCCCAAGAAAACTACTACTATATACACTTTTACGTGAATAAATATTACCAGTCACGTGAAAGGTATTCACAATATAAATTGTAAAAACAAATCCTACCAAGTAAAGGCAATCGGAAATATTACTGTTAAATAAAACCAGCCAGTTTGTATGCAAATTAAAGTTCACTCCCAACTGAAGTATATGCCTCGTTCATAGTGGATATATTTTTGACAATTAATATTCTTGAAGACACAGACACACAGTAGTCAAAATGGACAAGAGGCACAATCTTGTCTACATATATATTCATCAATATATAGATCGGAGAGATTAATAGTGATACAACGTTTTCATCGAAGACAAAACAAGAAACATATACATATAACATAGATATGTATGTACGTTTCCTAAGTTGTCTGCGAACTGTCAAAACTAAAACATGCATTTCTCTCAGGGTTAGTTTTACCAAAACAATTAATCTAACTTGTTAATTTCAGCCCATAGGAATGGAAGAATCAGCCGACCCACCATTCGAAGAAACGTACAAGGATCTCATCCTCAGCAGTTTCTCTAGCAAGAGTCGGAAGAACATTCTAGAACTGTCAGCCGTGGAGGAATGCGAGCTGCCACTGATCGATCTCAATCAGTTAAACCACCTCGGAGAATCCGAGAGGCAGCAGTGCAAGAAGCAGATTGCGGAGGCTTCAAGAGAATGGGGATTCTTTCAAGTGATTCACCATGGAATCTCTTGTGAGGTTCTGGAGAGGATGAGAGAAGAGCAAGTGAAGCTGTTCAGGAAGCCCTTCCAGGAGAAGATGAATTACAGCGACATCAACTTCTCCACCGGAAGTTACCGTTGGGGCACGCCGTCCGCCACCTGCTTGAAGCAGATTTCATGGTCGGAGGCTTTTCATGTGTCCCTTAGCGACGTGTTGGGCTTGGGTGGACACACTAGCCTCAGGTAATTTTCTATATTAATCTTAAATGTCATAGTTGATATCTATCTATAATAAGGACATATAGTAATTAATTGCATATACTACTACAACTACTCAATTAACATTTAATTTTGAGAAAAAGGGTTGGCAGGAATCTTTCTACATGGTTCCTTGACAGTGATTTCTTTATATATATATTTTTTCAAATGTGTGTGTGTTCTTACAGAATGAGACAATGCCAAAAGGATTCTGTTCTCTCTGTGCCTACTTCCCAGACATCCCCACTCATGCTGCTGCCTACGTGCCCCTCCATGCACCTTCCACTTCATTCATTCATATAACATCCCAACACACTATCACTCACATATATATTTTGAAAATGAATATTGTAAATCAGCCTAACAAAGTTAACAATATATATATATCACATATGTCTATGTCTCTGACGAGGATATTATAAATTCCCAGCTCAATTATGGAGCAATACGCAGTGTTGGTGTCCGAGCTGTCACACAAGCTCATGGACATCCTGGCCGAGGAGATGGGCCAGAATTCATGTTTCTTTAAAGAAACATGTTTGCCAAAGACTTGCTACCTTCGCCTAAACAGGTACCCTGCCTGCCCGATTTATCCACAGGTGTTCGGCATAATGCCGCACACAGACAGCGACTTCATCACAGTGCTGCACCAGGACAACGTCGGAGGCCTGCAGTTAGTCAGGAATGGCAAGTGGTTTGCTGTCAAACCCAATCCCCAGGCCCTGATTATCAACATCGGGGACCTGTTCCAGGCGTGGAGCAATGGCATGTACAAGAGTGTCGAGCACCGGGTGGTGGCCAATCCGGTGGTCGAGAGGTTCTCAGCAGCCTACTTCTTCTGTCCATCAGTTGAGACAGTTGTAGAGAGTGGAGCTGATGAACCTCGGGTGTATAGAAGTTTTAGCTTTGGGGAGTATAGAAAGCAGGTGCAAGAAGATGTCAAGGTTTTTGGATACAAGATTGGCCTGTCCAGGTTTCTCAAACACAATCTTTGAGAAGATCCCTTTTTCTATCAGAGTGTAGTAATGATGAGGCTTAGAGGAATTATCAATATTGTATATTGATCAATCATTATATTTATTTCTAAACATCTATCATCCATGTAAGTTTTAATTCTCTATGCTTCTTATGCATATATACAATTCTAGATTCCAGGCAATATCAAATTTCTAGTAAGCCACTTACAGTTTCATGTAATTTGTCAATTTAGATCCATGTCGTCTGTGTTAAGCTTTCCAACGGACAGTGTGAAATAGATCAGCAACATTGTTCCCAGGCATGACCTGCAACAGATGATCCGAACATTATAGATAGTTAATCGCCGTTGTCTGAACTACAAGAAATGTGCAAGTAAAAAGAATCAGGGTAGAGCTTACAAAGTAGCAAAGAGGATAAGTATCCTTCTGGGATTAACAAACAACAAAGTAGAGGAAGAACGACGGAACCTAGATCTTTTGCCTCTGCATTTGCTTTCTGACAATGAATCATTCTTGACAGTGATTTGGTGATGGACATGGGGGATGGCTGCAACCATTGGGATTTCAGGGACACTACCTTCACATATAATAGCTGCATTCAGTTCCATCAATTGTTACAGGTTGCAACATATACAGCGGGTATGACAAACTAAAAGGAGTATGGCTGGTGTCCATAAACAGAGAGGACCATAACCTGTGGCTGCCCTGATTTGAAAAGTGTCTGCCATCTTGAGTATAGAAAACTATTGTGGCCATGGCCAGGACTTACATGTAAATTATTTTCAAATTTTCTTGGTGAAAAAGCCAAACGGTGTTGTCTTATGAAGACTTCAAAATTATTCAAAAGAATTAAGAATTTTCCACACAAAATCATTAATCAAGAAGATCGGTGGCGCATGGGTAGCCACTGTATAATGCAAAGAGGGATCGATTGTTTCGTGAAAAGAAGATTAAAGATCAAATTCGATTATCAGTACAAAAGAAAATAATAATCAATGACATCTGTTTCCAGAACATTCTGCAGAACAATGACGGTTACCGGATGGCGACGTTGGACTGATTCTCTTCCCGCCGCTTCTTCCCGAAAGGTGTCTCTGCAACTTGTGTATCCACCATCAACATCAACAGCCACAGGAGAATGATTATAAATAGGTAAATCTTGAATACTGAATTATACTTGGGAATCCATAGCACAATTCAATTCCGTCGAAATTTCGAGTGAATTGCAATAAACAAAAACAAATGAAATCTTACATCAGTTCTCGAATTCGCATCCGTTTCGTCCACTGAAAGATGAGAAAAAGGTTCGATATCCACCACCAAGTGTTGCAAACTATTCAGGCCGCCAGAGACCGATATCTTCGGGCCTCCATTTTCATCCGATTCTCTAGCACGAAACATCGGGGGAAACTCATGATCAGAATCCATACCTCAAGCAGCGGTTGAATCACACGAATTGCGCATACTCCATGGAAACGGCGACACAATCAGTATCAATAAGAAATCCAGAACTAACACACCGCCTCCGATGACTCTTCCACGGCAAGAAACAATAATGACGACGAACCACCAAAGTAGTGCCCATTAGAAGGGCTGTTTGGGTGGCGTCACGTATCGTACATGTTAAATCAGGAAACAACCTTGTAATTCCACGAAACGATTCGTAACGGCAAACACCCCTCCGCAGGTACAAGCTCCTATAGCGGAATGTACAACTTGCGAATGCTTCGTCTGCAAGACTTTGAAAAGTAGATGGCAAGTGCTTTATAAAAATTAAAGACTGCTGTTCAACCTGTTTGTATTTATTTTTGGTATAATAACTTCAAGAAGTCTGATCTCACTTGTTTTATAGATTAGTACATTTTAAATATAATTAAAGTATGTTAGTTGGATCATTTTTCATTCTTCCTTAAATCCAAACCTTTTCATTCAAGGCATGCAGAGTTGTTGGCAGCTCCGACACATGCAAATGCAATATTATACTTACCGTAGGGACGAAATGACTATCTAGAATCGAATTCTCTGCCCTCTCCACGCCAACCACTTTAATTTCTTCACATGTTCATCGTCCAATTTCATTCTCTATTTCAATTTATTAATTTTCTAATCTTCAAAAAGATCACACACTGCATGATTCCTTTCTTTCCATCGGCGTAAACAGACCAACAAAAATAATTAATTCCTCATATTATATATATATATATATGTACAAACATATAATGGCGGATTCATCTGTGTCCGTTCATCCTAGCCCACAAAAATGCGGTCGCCGGAAAACAGGATTCCGATCAGAGCGACGCCGGAGATGATGAAGCGGCACCACTCGGCACACTACTACGCCCACCGCGTGAAGGAGAGTCTGACGACCAGAGTCTCGAAGCTCGTCTGCACCATCTTCCTCGGCCTCCTCTTCCTCGTCGGAATCATCACCTTCATCCTCTGGCTCAGCCTCCGCCCCCACCGCCCCCGCTTCCACGTCCAGCAATTCTCCATCCCCGCCCTCGCCGCCGCCGCCGAGGGCTTCGAGAACGCCCAGATTATCTACAACGCCACCGTCCGCAACTCCAATCAGAACATCGGGATTTACTACGACTCCTCCGCCATCACCGTCTTCTACGAGGATCAGAGCATCGGCGGCGCGCCGGTGCTCTTCCCGTTCTACCAGGAGCCGAAAAACACGACGGTTATCGCCGGAGTGCTGGGCGGCGCGTCGCTGACGGTGACGAATCAGCGGTGGCAGCAGTTCCTGGCGGCCCGGGCCCGCGGGGAGGTGGTTTTCCGGCTGGAGATCACGTCGACGATTCGGTTCAAGATATCGTCGTGGGACAGCAAGCGCCACCGGGTCCACGCCAACTGCCCGGTCGGGGTTGGGCCGGACGGTTTGATACTCCCAGCTTATAGAGATAGGAAATGCCCGGTTTACTTCAGCTAATTAATATTCTTTCTAGTATTCTTCTACTGCTGTTATTTTGTATTTTTATTGTTATTTTTTGGATCATTTTCTTTTTTATGTATTCAATATTTCAATTATTTGATTTGATACTGCTGTATTACCGAAGAACGATGTATCTGCTTCAATTGATCCGAACCTTAATTAAAATAACTCTAAAACGTAATAAACAGTAATAGGTTTGAATGGATTGGGCCAAGCTTCGGGCTAAATATATGGACGTTAGTTAATGGGCCTGTAGCAAATTTTACTTCACTTCCACAAGAGAGAATCGGGGACGTCCACGTGTCACATAACTAGTGGTGAGTCTGAGCCCGTACCATATCCAAATCAGATAAGGCCCTCTCCACTGCACATATACAAATGAGAATTTCATCAGCTTACATCGATCGATTGATCCCGGCTCGCATCGTCATCATCTTCATCTTCATCAGCTCCACGCAGACACAGACAGACAGACAGACAATCTAGAATCCAACCATGTCTCAAGTAATGGCCTCACTCTCCAACACCTTCCTCGGCTCTTCCCAATCCGTCGCCGACCTCACCGCCGCCCCATCCCCAACCAGATCATCATCAGCTCCCCTCATCAGCATCCGCGCACACCACCACATCCCCGCCGACACCGACCCAAGCCGCCGGCGAGCCCTTCTAGGCCTCGCCGCCGCAGGGATTGCCTCCGCCTCCTTCGTCCAAGCCGTCCTCGCCGACGTCAAGGCCAAGTCCATCAAGATCGGCCCGCCGCCCCCACCCTCCGGCGGACTCCGTCAGCATCAATCAAATCAGATCAAATCAATTCACATTATTAATCGATTAGTAGTATTAATTGTTGTTTTGGTTGTACGTACTGTAATTTTGCAGCTGGAACACTAAACACGGACATTGCACGAGACCTGGATTTGCCTCTGAAAGATCGATTCTTCATCCAGCCATTGCCGCCGGCAGAGGCTGCCAAAAGGGCGAAGGATTCCGCCAAAGACATAGTGAATGTGAAGGAGCAGATTGACAAGAAAGCTTGGCCCTACGTCCAGAACGACCTCCGTCTGAGGGCGGAGCTGCTCCGCTACGACCTAAAAACCATCGTCTCCGCCAAGCCCAGGGAGGAGAAGAAAGCCCTCAAAGACCTCATCTCTAAGCTCTTCCAGACCATAAGCGATGTCAGTACAACACTCTCTCTGTTAACAATTAATCATTTCTCTCTCTGATTGAATGGTTTTGTTTTGATCATCAGCTGGATCATGCCGCCAAGATAAAGAGCTCATCGGAGGCAGAGAAATACTACGCTCAGACTGTCTCTGCACTCAATGATGTTCTTGCCAAGCTTGGATAGGGCCCGGCCCGGATTAATTCGACAACCCGGCCCCACTGCAACTGTTATTTTGTGTAAATTAATTTATCAATTTCATTGATTCAACCTGTTTCTGGAATATTTAAATTATTAGTTCTACTTTTATATTTTAAATTTTCCATTATTATTATTATTATTATTATTCAGCTCAGCGCCCTTCTCCCTCGCAACGATAAATACCCATTCAAGAAGATACAAACCAAACCTAATTTCTTCCTTCTACGAAACCCTAGAGTACAGTTTAGCGTTCTCATTCCTCCAATGGCTAGGAATCGATGGCCTCAGGATTCCAAACGATATGAAGCGCAATGCAGTGACGAAGAAGATGAAGCCTCGATGGAATCCGACTCGGAATCCGAACCAGAGCGTAAACCAACTGTGGAAACTCCATTGCCGCCGCCGGTCGTAAAATCCCAACCTCAATCCACATCAGTGATCCGGCAGATGAAGGAACAATCTGAATCGGGATCTGAAACAGAGACGGACTTGGGAACAGAATCAGGATCCGAATCCGAATCCGAAACAGAGTCCGACGTGCCGAGCACGAAACCATTGAAGAAATCCAACGGCGTCGCCAATGAGCCCGCACTGAACCGTAGGGTTTCGGAGGCTGTGACTCCGGGTAGATCTGCCGGCGCAAAACGCTCCGTGGAGGAGAAACACGCCGGGAGGGTTTCGAAGAGGCAAAAGACGAAGCAGCCAGAGCTCGAATCCGAAAATCTTGTGAAGAAGTCTGACGATTCGAAGAAACAGTATTTCCAGCGGCTCTGGAGTGAGGATGATGAGATTGCAATGTTGAAAGGAATGGTCGATTACGCCGAGAAGACGAAATCCGACCCTGTCACCGACCTGAACGCCTTCCACAGCTTCATCAAGGATAATCTCCACGTAGATGTGTCAAGGAATCAATTGCAGGACAAAATCAGGAGACTGAAAAAGAAGTATGAAAACAACAAGAGCAAAGAAAAGCAAGGCAAAGAGCGAGCCTTCTCCAAACCACACGAGCAGAAAGCCTACGAATTATCTAAACACATATGGGAAGGTACTCCGAAAGCCAACGGAAGTGCAACAATCAGAAGCCGGAAGAACAATGATGTAGTCGAGAATGAGGAGCGTAAAAATGTGGATACAATGAAACATAATGACTGTGTCGAAAGGGTGTGGTCATCCAAAATGCTGTGGTCGGAAGATGTGAGCATGGAAGATAGGATATACAGAATTGGATCCAAATTGTTCGAGGGGCAGCGCAGGGATGATGAGGAAGGGAGAGAATGGAAGCAGCTGAAGCTGCTGGAGGTTGAGCTTCAACTGAAGATGCTCGAGGTGAAGCACGCTCGGACTAAGCTGGTTCTTGATGCCTTGAAGTCCACTGATCCAAGGTAAAAGTTGAGGTAATGAAGATGTAATTACATTGCCATTGTTGCTTGATTCAAGTTTTGGACGTTCATTCTTTGATTGCTTTGGAATACTGAAATACATGATCCTGCTACTGTGAATTTTTAGAATTTTTTTATGGGAATGTTATGGATTCAGTGGCCTTTATATGAATTTAGGATTTGGGTTAAATTTGTTTAATAGTAATGCCTGATATCATAATTAAAAGCTGCTGACAATTCTGATTTTGAACGAACTTAAAATCTGATTAAATCTGCCTGAATCTATGATCATATATAAGACAGTAGTTCTTATGCTTTGTGATTTCTTGTGCTTTTTCTGTAGGTAAGGTTTTTTCAGTTCTTCCACTAGATTTGTAGGGAAACATTCTGAGCAGCATTGAAATGTAAATTCATTATCAATAAATATATATATATATAAATCATGAACGAGAGAAAGGATAATGCATAAATCTTCCATTACCATAGGATTTCTTTTTTCAAGTTTTACTAGTGCTCTGAGGGTTTGTTATTTTTTGTAGGATGAGATTATAATGTGTTAGAAACAATGTTAGGGATTTACAATAGGCTTATGTAAAAAATGTGCTAATCTTTATTCATGGAAGTTTCAAGAATTGGTATAATAATATCTTTGTTTCTTTTCTAGGTTTTTTTTATAAAAAATAAAAATAAAAATAGTTGTATGAAAATTTCATAATGATTTTAGAGAAATCATAACTTTGCATAGTAAAAACAAAATACAAATATTTATTAAAAATAAACTCATTGTATTTGGGTACTAGTTTTAATATGGTTTGTACTATTTTACTTTCTACGGTTAAAAAAAATAAAATGTAATAGTTAAAAATAGTAAAAATTAGTATTGATTATTTTCTAGAAAAGAAATAATATATATATATATATTTTTTTTTTAATGACTAAAAAAAAAGAAAAGAGAGCATATTACAAAAAAGTCAAGTAAAGGTATAATGATTTTTTTTTTTTTAAAAAAAAAAAAGAAAGTTACGGGTGAGTAGAATAAGTAGAAAATACAATAATAAATTGCTTAGTGAAGTATTTGTTAAAGTAGAAGGTGTGTTTTACAAAATAAAATAAAATAAAAATCAACACACTTACAAATTAATAATATAAAAAATACAATACATATTCTCATAAAATAAAATACAGATATTATTCATATTAAAAAAAAAAAAAAAAAAGTTTAACAATTTCTATGTCAAACACTAATTTTTTATACTAACTGTTCATTTTTTTTCATATCAATTTAGAAAATGGTAAATTATATTATATATACTTGTCTTTTTCTTATAAATATTAAATATATTATGTTTTATTGTATTTATTTATTGGGTTTTATTAAATATATGGGCCAAATACTATTTCTATCAAAGTTGTAAATATGCTTCAACTTATATAAATGGGGATATAGGTTTCTTTAAAGAAAATAAATAACTAAAAATTTGATAAATTTTTAGTTATATTTTGTAAAAATTAAGTTATGATTTGTCTTTATTTATTTATTTAAAAATAATATTTATTATTATTATTATTATTATTATTATTATTATTATTATTATTATTATTATACTTGGATAATTATATGTAAAATTACAAAACTTTGGATGAAGAATATGTTCTGCACACAATATGATTAACTATTATTATTTATTATGCAATTATATCTGGATTGATTATTATGTAAAATAATATTTTTTAATTGATTTTTTTTATTTTTTTTTTTTAATTTGGTGAGATGTAAATGTTTTATAAGTACAATTTCATAATTTAAAAAAAATACTATAAATAAATAAAATAATGCCATATGATTTATAAGAGTTTTATATGCAATCAATAAATAAAATAAGCCCATTATTGTATTAGGCCAATATGAACAGGCCCCAAAATGTTCATACGAACACAATTAATTGTGTGTTTGTTTAAATTTTTTGTTTCATATATTTACCGCTTTTAATTTATTATAGATATATATATATATAATCTTTCCCCCTAACTTAATATATATATTCATTTGTTTTTTCAAAATTAAAATTAATAATATATTATTGATTAGTGTAAATATATAAAATAATTTTAATAATTTTGTCTTTACAAATACAAAATAAATTAATATTTTGTAAATATTAGATATATTTTGATATTTATATATGAATTCTCTTTACAATAATAAAAAATTATTTTTAAATGAAAAAGACAAAAATTATAAAAATAATATTTTGAATCAGAAAACTATATTAAACACAAATTTTACTCATTCCATTTGTTAAATTTACTTTTTTTTTTACATTAATTTAACTTGTCTTATTACTAATTTGATAAAATCAAAATATCAATATTTAATTTTTATTCTTTATTCAATATTTATTTACAACAAACATTATTATTTATGCATAATTCATTTCATAAATTTATTTTTCAATTTTCATAAATATTCTCAATTATTTTTATACTTTTTATCACTTTTATTAAAATAATTTTATGTTTTAAAATTTGTCAATATTATATAATTAGATTTATAAATGTATACATTTGCGGTTAATATATAAATAAGTAAAAATTGTTATAATTATTTAAAATAAATCAAAAGAAATAATATATGATTTTTTTTTTTCTTTTGAGAAAATAGAATAAATCACTTAATTGTGTGAAATGAATTCATGTTGGTGAAGTCATAAATTTATACTTTTGACATCTCTTGGCTACGGGTTCCAATATTCTCTTTACATTTTGGAGGTCTTAATATTTTTTTAAATTAAAATTACTTTTTAATAGAAGATTAATTTCTATTTTCTTTTATCTTTTTAATATAACATATTTTTATATTATAAGTTTGAATTTTAACTGTATTTGCACAATATTATATATATAATTAATATAAATACAAAAAAACATATATTTAATTATAAGAATTTTTATTTAATTTTTGCTCCTTAGCCCTATAATAGGATTATTAATGATTAACAGGGAGACAGAGCCTGTGGCTACGATTAGGGATGGGAATAAATCAGCCTAGCTTAGCATGATTGATTTACTAAAAATATCAAGTAAGAAAAAAAATTAAAGTCTTTTTATTTAAATAAAACAGATTTTAAATTTAAAAAAAATATTTTTAATTAACAGGTCAGACTATTTAATACTTACTATTATTTTTTTATAAAAATATTTTTTATAATTATATATTAAAAATAATTTTCTATCTAATAATAATATTTTTAAAATAATTTTAATTATAAATCTATTATAAAAAATAAAATTTTTTAGCTGTTTGCATATATTAAATAATTGTTTATACTTTATTTATTTTTTATTTCTAACTAAATTTCTAGATAAATAAATAAATAAAAATATTATATAGTTTTTAAATAAGCTTGTAGGCTAAGTCAGACTTTTAAAAAAATTCAGACTTACAGGCCTAATATTTTTAAAACAGGTCAAGCGCGTGTTTGACAAGACAATTAGTTGTTAGCTCAATTAGCTGATAGCTGTTAGCTGATTCAATTAGCTGGTTCGACTAGCTGATTCAATTAGCTGTTTGTATTAAAATGTTTGGTAAAATAACTGTTTGATATTAGTTGTTTATAAGTAAAATGACAATTGAGGACATTTCTATTTTATTTTTGTTTATAATATATTCAATTATATTCTTTTGAGTTTAGAATGTTTAAAATTTTTTGTTATTAGTTATTGAAAATTGTAAAAGTGTTATAAAAATATTTATTTTTATTACAGTTAGATTTTAAAAAATAATATATTTTTATTAAAATATATAAATAGTTTTTTTTTCTATTGAAAATGATGTAAAATATAAAATAATAAATTTTTCGTGTATATATTTATTATGTTAGCTATCGATTAGTTCATTATATTTATAATTTTCAATAAATTTAATTTATTTTTAATAGAAAATTTATATAATGTAATTTTAATATAAAAATAAATTATTTATATTTATATTTTCTATGTTATATTGATTTTAATAAATTTATATATTTTACAATTAAAATAATTTTTATATAAAAATTAATTATTTTAAATTTATAAAAGTAAAATTATAATATAATAAAATATTCTAATATAATTAATAAATAATTAAAATGTATTTATTTGTATAAAATGTATAATAAATTTTTAAAGGCATATAAGGAATAAAAAAAAATTTTTACAGAAAAAACTATTTCAAAACGGTGGGTAAGTTAGCTTTTCAAAAATTAGTTTTTTTGTCCAAAAAACTATTCCAAAAAGCTAATTTACCAAACACCTAAATTAGTTTTTTGACGAATCAAACAGCTAAAAGTTGTTCAATAAACTAAAAAGCTCTTCAAAAAAACTATTTGCCAAACACCAAGTCTATTTAGCAAAGCCTGACCAGGCCGTCTATTTCCATCACCAGCTACAATCCATTCTTCAAACGGATGCATAATTACCTATAAAAATAATTATATCTATATATTGATTAGTGTAAAACCGAAATATGCACTAATATATTACTATTAAAATAAATTCTAATTAATTAATATTAAATACTATAAAATCCTTCCTTCCTCCCTCCATCATAATTAATTTATAATTAAAAACAAACAGACCTATTCATCAACCAATATAAAAAATCTAAATAAAATTCTATAAAAAATCAGTATTGTGTATAAATAAATTTAAACTGATAAAATATTAATACTGAGCACTTTGATGGGTTATAAATCTTTCAAATATATAAATAGATATAATATACATATTAATATTTTTAGCTTATTTATAAACTAAAGATTAGTCTTAAATATTAATAAGTCATTTTAAAAATTATCAATATTACTATTAATTTTAATTATAATAGACAATATTTATTTATTATTAATATAAAAATATAAGTATGTATTAAATTTTTGCAGAGTCCTTAAATGTGAGGACGGAACTAACCTTATGATAAAAGTATAAATTAAATTAAATAGGACCGACCACATGTTTTGCATGATAGCAGTATAATTATTAATCAATCTCACTCATTCAATTCAATAATGTACTTTTAACGTCTCATTTGATATGCCCACAATTGTCACACTCTATCCTATTCCACAAATATGATACGTGTGAATAAAATTGTAGAGAAATATAATTAATTCGAAAATTTAGAATTGATTTTTTTTTTTTTTGATGTAAAACAAATATTTCAATTGAAAGAAATGTAAAAAAAAGAATAAATGGTCATTTATTTAATATATATATATATATATAAAAAGATGCACAAATAAATATAATAATAATAAACAGCATGCAATAAGACTCTACTATTATTTATTTTCAGGTCTAATCAAACAACATAAATTATTTATTTATTTATTATTATTATTATTTTATTATTTATTTTTTTTCTAAAACTTTCATTTCTCTAAACCATAAGTTGATGGACGGTGAGGCCCCATACAAACGAAGTCGCTTTCTTGTAGTTGGCAAATAATCTATTAATATATATATATATATATCACTTATATAAAATAGAATTATATATTTATGTATAATAAATAAATACCAATATTTTACAGAATTTTTTTTATTTTTAATATATATTAAATATCATAATATTTCAGAACTTATATATATATATAATGATATGGCAATGGGCCGGTTATCCAATTCATCATCATCTATATTATTATATCTGTAATCTCTTCAGCAGTAGTATTATTAACAATTTAATTTATTATTGTGTACATAAGAAGATAAGAGATAATAATGATGAATCTCTTCCATCCTCGATTTGATTATCATCGTCATCATCATCCTAGTTTCATCCCCAACTCCAAACCCCTAATTTCCCTTCATCGTCCTTGCAGTCGCCTCGCCACTCCTGTCAAGGCATATATATATATGTATATACACATAATTTAATTGGGCTTTACATATATATATATATATATATCGTATATGATAAAATTATAATATGATATGCAGGAGGATTACGAGATGAGAGTGGAGGAGCTGAGGCAGTACTTGGAGGGCAGCCATGGACAAAAACATAGTTTGGTGATGGTAGATGCAATCCACAGGTTGGGACTCACCAACCAATATCGAAGCCAGATTAATGCTGCAATCCTAAACCACCATTACAGCTTCCAAACAAAATCACAGTCACAGTCACCGTTACTTCATTGTAATGGAATCCCCAGTCTCGCCAACGTTTCTCTCTCATTCCGTCTCCTCAGATGCCATGGCTACCACATCACTGCAGGTAATTAATATAATCTTAATCAATGCTAATTGATACTTGATTTCGACTGATTTTTGGAAACTTCTTTCAATTGGGCCATGTAGATGTATTCAATGATCTGAAGGGCAGGGGTGGGTGGTCCGACGTGGACAGAAGAAGGCCAGACATCGACATCGCCGGACTGATGGAGCTGTACGAGGCGGCGCAGCTGAGCTTCGAAGGGGAGACTATACTCGACGAAGCAGAAGAGTTCAGCTCCAAAATCCTCCATCAATACTGCTTATCCAATCCGCACACAGACAGCATACTTTCGAACAATATTTATGTCCGATTAAAACATCCATACCACAAGAGCTTGACGCAAATTACACAAAGGGACATCGTGTTGATCAAGGATCGCGGCGCAAGCGAAAAACCATACCGATGGGAGCATGCGCTGCGATCCGTTGTGGAGATGGATTTGCATATGAAGCAATCTTTATTCGAAGACGAATTAGTCCATGCTCACAAGTAAAGATTTCGACTTTTTTTTTGGTTTTTTTCTTGCATTACTTGATATTCGTTGTCGAGATGTTGTAATTAATATATATATATATGTTCTAGGTGGTGGAATGGATTAGGCTTGTCGAAGGAGCTAAAGTTGGCAAGAAATCAGCCCAAGAAATGGTATATATGGTCGATGGCGATGCTAATGGGCAATATCGGATTGTCCGAGGAGAGGATCTTGCTTACAAAGTCGATTGCTTTTATATACATTCTAGACGATGTTTTCGATCTCTACGGCACGCCACATGAGTTAGCTGCCTTCACACAAGCCATAGAAAAGTAAGGGTTCTATAATTTTTTTAATACTCTCAATCGTGTAAAAATATTGTTTGCCACGGTAAACTTTCCCAATACTTTTGGTATATCGCACCAAAGAAAATGAACTTTGTCTGTTCAAATGATGCATATATAGATGGGACTATGATGCAGCCGGAACACTACCCGACTACATGAAGATGTGCTACAAGGCCCTTCTCGACACTACTAATGACATTGCTCGCGCCATTTACATCAAGCACGGCCACAACCCTATCGACTACTTAAAAAAAATGGTATGCGAGGAATTAATTAAGTTCACTTTCTTACAAGATTCATACATGTTCGAAAAACCTTGTCTAAACATGAATTCGTATCACTTTTGTAGTGGGCGAATTTGTGCAAAGCCTTCTACATCGAGGCAAAGTGGTTTACCTCTGGCAAGGTGCCGAGTGCTCGTGAGTATTTGGAGAATGGCAAGGTTAGTTCCGGAGTGTATGTTCTTCTCGCAAACCTCTACTTCCTCTTAGGACTACATGGAACCGAAACTCGTGTAGATTGTGGCATGTCGACGGTTATATCCTCTGTAGCAACAATTCTTCGCCTTTGGGATGATCTTGGAAACGCCAAGGTACAAAAATTCATTAAGAAATTTTTGAAATTCGAACAATATTTTTTGTATAAAAGTATTTTTGATTCAGAAGATGTTGTGCTAAGTTGATGTCAATTTTAGTATATTGTGTTATATGTTAGTAATTTTTTGATCGTACTTGAAAAAGATGAAAATAAATGATAAGCTTTAAATCTTCGAATATTTATTACAATATATATATATATGTATATTAATAGGATGAGCATCAAGATGGCAAAGATGGTTCTTACATTGCTTGCTACATGGAAGATAACCGGCATGTGTCGTTGGCGCAAGCCCGAGAGCATGTCAAGAAAATGATAGCGATCGAATGGAAGCGCCTAAACAAGGAGTGTTTGTGTTCATACAATAATTTGTCGACTACTCGAGCATTGTTTCATGAAGCTTCTTTGAATCTTGCAAGAATGGTGCCTCTCATGTACAACTACAACGATAGCCAACAACTTCCCGATCTCGAAGAATTTATTCAAAATTTGTTTTCCTCCAAGATTAGTTAGGAGAAGAAATTAATTAGATGATGCAAATGTACCTTCTTATGAATATTATGTTATGACAAATGCTTAAGTAATGAATGTCTTATCTTTCCCTTTTATTAGATCAAAATTCAAACAATAATTGTATTTTTTTTTATATATATATATATATATGTTTTGAATTCCTGGTTCAATATATCAAATATTTACATATTTATATCACATTATTAAATACTTGCTCTAGTTTAGATTTATACTACTATTTTCAAATTTCAATAAATTCCTAACTCACAATCCTAAAACCTACACATTCTAGGAGGGACTAGTCCTAGAATGTAATTACAAAAGGCAGTAGAAATTATTGAAAAGTTTCAGGATGGAATATGGTCTGAATAAATTCATAAAAGGCCCATTAATGCAACATGCAATAATTGCCCTTTAGATTAATGGGCCCATTATTCTATTAGCCCAATATTAACTCGGCCCTAAATTTTCAAACGAACCCGAATAAGTGTAGTTTTTTATTATTATTTTATATTTTTAAAGAAAAAAAAGTTATTTAATGTTATATCTTTTTTTTTTTTTTTGATCGGATATTCATTGTTATATATGTGATATATATATAGAGTATATAAATATTTTCTTTACAAAAAATAAAAAAAAAAAACATTCAAACAAATATAGAGTTGATAAATATTTTCTACACACATGATTCTTTTCATGATAGTTTAGATTGTGTTTACTATTCAGAAGTAATTAGTATGTGTAAAAAAAAAAAAAAGAAAAACTCTTTTACTCTTGATGATGGTTTAGGGAATAACTCATTTTACTAAAGTAAGTTACCATTATGGTGAAAATAATAATAAAACAAAAAGGTGCATGGTGGAAGTTTAATCAATCATACATTAGACTTTAGGTAAAATCCATCACAATTATTCAATCAATATTATTCTCGACAAAATAAGAACTCAATATAATATACACGTTTTGCTCCATTATTTAACCATTTTCATCTGTGCTTTAATATACTCATAAAATGATGTAACTTTTTTAAAATCTACTATTTTTTTAGTAAAGTAATCTATCTTTGACGTAACATAAAATAATAAACGTATAATATAGAATAGACATTAAATAAAGATCAAATTATTAAAAATTAAGCATAATATTAATGTATTCCAATATTTTTAAAAGTTTACACTTCCATACCTTAGGATAGTAAAACTTATACGGTAATATATTTGAGAAATTAGTAAATGTAAATAAGCGTGTGGGTTTGGTACCACTGTCATTTTTCCTATATTTTACTTAATCACATAGAAATTTTCACTTGTAAATATATACTTTAATAATCCATGTTAATTTTATTATTATTATTATTATTATTTTAAAGTATGTAATTTAATTATATATTCGCAAGTCGCAATATAATTTAATTAATTAGAATATGAGAAACTCTCCTCGCAACTCCATCGGACGGACATAAATTTTTTAATCCAATTCCGAGATTACCCTTACAATGATGTGGCAATGACGTCAACTCTACGCCATCCACCCCAAAAATAATAAACTAATTAAAAAAATAAGAATAAAAATAAACCACCTACTTCCTTGCAACTAATTACCTAAGTAACCAACGATTAAAAAATTTAAAAATAAAAATATAACAAAAATTCGTGTATGGAATCTTAGTTATCACTTCAACACTCTATTTTATTACAGGAAAACGATAATTAAGTCATAATCATTTAGCAATTAGGGCAGAATTGAACCCTACAAAAGACATACTCAAAAGATATTAATTTACCCCAAAAAAATATATTATATGACAAAAACATATTATTGACAAAAAGTCATAGTGGGCGGTGGGAAAATATGACAAACATTTTAGGTCAACCCCACACGGCAAAAATATTTATATTTTTTTAAAAAAATTAATTATGATAGATTGAAGGATCGACAAGTCAAAAGGACATACATTTATTTAATTATAAATATAGACATAATTAAATATATTAATTCTTGTCCTTCCATGGAATGTCCCAAGACTTCTTTTTCAATGAAAATTAGTTTGTGTTGAATTCCAAGTCAATCAAGAGTTAATGGCCACAAATGGAACATACCCAAATCACTAATATTTATTTCTTAATTTAATAAATGGTATCTCTATACACTAATAAATACCATTACTAAAACATTAATATTTCTTGATCTATCTAATTTTAAAAAAATAAATGAATATATATCGATTTATTTAATGGGTGACTTTTCGTAAAAAGTAACACGTATATATGATTAATTTTTAATTTTTGCATCAAAGCAAATATTCACCAAACTAAAGTTAGGATGATAAGGTTTTTACAAATATAGCAAAGTCCCAATTGCATATAAAAAATGATCCTTTCTGGAAAAGTGTATGTCCATATACCAACTTATGTTACAAGTTTAAATTCATATACTTTACCATGCTATTACTAAAAACTTGTATATGTATATGTATATATAAATTTCGTGCATTATTTTAATTAACATGTGTTGGGAAATGGTGGTTCGACAAGTCTACTTCGAACACCTTAAATAGGGTCAACTTCCTCTGAAGCGCAGTTAACTTACCGTAATAACAGCTCACTGACAAGGATATAAAAACAATAAATGAGCCATGCATTTGTTAATCCAGTTCGGTTATAACAACCTACATTTGGGGGATCCCAATCCAGGAGATACTCCACTATAATCAATACTGAAAATAGTACACAACAACCTTCAACTCACTTAACACGTATCCTCCATAAAGGCTTACCTTGCATTCAATGCACAGGTACTGGTAGTCACAAACGCGTACTGACACCACTGTATACAACAAGCCTAGAGCAATGCATCCAACAAGCTGGTTGTCATGTCCTTTGGGTCTCTGAGAACTCCTTCCTCCGGCAACTTCTCAGGTGGATTTTGTGTATCAAACACAGGTGCAAAATATGGAGATAAAGAGGGACTCAAATGAGAGCTTCTACAATAATTTCTTTCTCTATGATAAGCTCTCAAAATGTGCACTCTCTCTCAACCGAGACTGTCCCATATTGTATATACAGCAGTCTGATTTGAGTGTAAATTAAGCAACAATTAATTCTCTTAGCACACAAATGGAATAGGGCGGTTTTCAAGATAGATCTGACATTCCTTTGACTATCCTCATTTTATCAAACTTGTCTTGTATGGATATATGCACATATGAGACAAAATGGACAAGACAACACACATAATCAGTCTGCAAACCAGGTAAGAGTCTGTCTGCAGTCTGTGTTTGTCTGCAGCAGCATAAAGTAATTTATTGTTTTTGGTATCTGGGACAGCGGCTATGAAGAATGTCTTTTGTCTATATGCCAAAAATTGATAATAAAGAGATTTTTCATTTAACAATATGAAATTGTTTATGTGATAAATTTTGTAGGGTTATTAATTATTTTTATATTTATGTTAATGTATAATTATAATTCAAAATATTTTACACGTACTGTTTATGTATATTAAAATTTTATTATTATTTATTAACAATATTTTTTAAAAAAAATTACATAATAAATTTATTTTTTCTATAAAATATTATATATATTCAAATTTTTATTAATTTATAAATTTTGAAAATATGTAATAAAGCTGTTAGATAATACTTATTTATTCATTTATTTATCTGCAAACCAGGTGAATTATTTATATGTTCTAAAATGATATCATAATCGAATTTCAAAAAAATAAATAAATAAATAAATAAATAGTTCGAGTATGATCTTGTGTGTAATTATTGAACTCCGGAGTCCACATGTTAGGGGTTGGGCCTGTGTTAGTAACAAATCTAGTGGCCCTGGATCTGGTGATTCTTATCCAGTTCAGGGAGTTGAAAGACAGAGATGATCCACACCGTTATGGAGTAGGAAGTAGATTATGAGTGGACCAGATTGTTTCCGGAGTTGTGGTCCTAGGTGTGGCTAACAATTGACACTCTGAGTATTGAGGCGTATTACTTTCCCCCCCTTTTTTTTTTTTTAATTCTTTTTCCATTTCTTTATATCCTTTCAGACAATGTAATTATTTCGTACCGCAATCATTCTGTGGGGTATTGTCTCGTTTGCCACCCCACCTGACTGCCACGTGACACTGGCGCTTGAGTGAATACTCTTTTGTCATCGGCACACGTCACTATGACGTCATTATCATATCAAATTTAATTGATAGTTTTTCTTTTTATCAATTTTGTTGTAATTTAAATTTTTTATTCCTCAATAAAATGTGTACTTGTACATTAATTTTACAATTTTTGTATTTTTTTTACTTAAAATAATATTTTTTTCAATTATAGCAAAAAAATATATATTAATATTAAATTAATTTTAAATTTTGCAAAAATATTCATTTTTTTTTGTGTGTATGGATAAAATATTAAAATAATTTAATTATTTTAATTAATTAATTAATTAAAAAAATACTCCAAATCGAAACAAATAAAGTATATGGAACTAAATATTAAAAAAATGCAACTGGCTCATAAGAGAATAGACAAGGCATTGTTAAAAATTGCGATTAAATTAAAGCAACATTTTCACACTGATATGTAAAAAATTATTAAAATTGCATTATTTAAATATAGACATTCTTTCTTAATCAGTGAGCAAATTCAAATTCTAAACCTTGTTAGTTAGGTGATTTAATATTTTATTTGTATTATCCTAGCTAGCTACTCAATTACTATTATTATTATTATTATTATTATTATTATTATTATTATTATTATTATTATTATTATTATTAAATCTCAAATTTTATACACAATATAATTAATTATTCATAATGCGGTTTGGGAAAGTCATTATCCTTTAAAGGCGACGGCTGTTGAGCAAATCCATGATTTAATTAATTAATAATCTGTTAAGAGAATTGGAATTTGTTTAGTTTGAGTATGAGTTTCTATATATATATATATATATATATATTAATTTATTTAAATGGTATTTGTATGTAATATTTTATGAGAAAGGTAATATCTTTACATATATATATATATATATATAACTATAAATATTACATGTTATAAAAATATAAAAATT